CTGCGAGAAGTACGAAATACAGGAAAATTGTCAATGGTAGACCCATGTACTTTAAATACCTCTTACACTAGCCCGTTTGCTCTTAACTTGCAATTGGACAATCAAAACCCGATCTTGTACTCCGAAGAAAAAATGGCTAGGCGAGAATGGACGGATGCATGATTAGCTCTCGCGTGTTTCTCGGGAATTATCTGTGGCATTGGAATCAATTAATAATTGGCTCGTCGGCTGACCGGGCGTGGCTTTGATGCAAGTGTCGCAACGCCGGCATTACCGGCCTCGGTAAACGTTTTAGAGTTCGAAAGTGAAAGGAGGCGAAAAAATGGCCCGAGGGGCACTTGGTCGGGTTCACGAAATCGCTCGTAAAGGGCTCTCCGGGTGATGACTAATGCCGCGACGACATCCAGTTCACTTTTTCTCTCCATTTTAAGGAGCGTCTCCTTCGGCCTGCCCTTTTGACCCAAACTTTGCTCCTATCTCGGAGACGGATGGATCACGAAGTAGTATAAGGAAATACGACGCTATGTACTGAAATCGTCCACCCTGGATGGTTCCCATGGATGGAAATTTCTAAGCATTTTTACACACTACATGTAGGAGGTGAAATTAACGAAGGCGGATCTACTATTGACAAGTCTATATTTTCGTAGATTCACAGATTATTAATTGTTAAAAATTGGATATGTAAGCCTCAAGGAGACGTATAGAAATTGGTCCAACTGTTCCCTTCTATGATTCTCGACCAAGTGCCGTCCCGTCCACTGTTCGGAGGGACTGTCTTGGTCCGGCCGTACCAATTGTTTAGGTAATGCTCATATCTTCTAAACATGCTCGCCTTTCCTCGCCCATGATTCTGGGAATAGGTCTGCCCATGGACCTCCGATCATTTTGCCTTGCCTCTTCGAAATATTTCCTTCATTCACAACTGAAGTTTTACGTTAAGAAACGTAAAATGGAAAAATTACACATCAAGTCACTGTTAACGAGTCTATATTTTCCGTAGATTCGCAGATAATTAATTGACTTATTGTTTAAAATTGTATGCGGAAGCCTCAAGGAAACGTATCGGAATGGGTTCAACTGTTTGCTTCTATGGTTCTCGATCACGTGCCGTTCCTGTCCACTGTTCCTAGAGACAGTCTTGGTTTAGCCGTATCAGTTGTTTAGGCAATGATCACGTCTTCTCGCTCGTGATCCCTGGAATGACCTCCGATCATTTTGCCTTTGTTCCTTTGAATTATTTCCTTCACGGGTATGCCTCGAAACTAGAATATCCCGAATAAGAGCCAACTGTTCGCTTCTGTGGTTCTCGATCAAGTGCCGTTCCTGTTCACTGTTCCTAGGGACAGTCTAGGTTTAGCCGTATCACTTGCTTAGGCAATGGTCACGTCTTTTAAACAATCATCGCGTCTTCTCGCCCGCCATCCCTGGAATAGGACCACCCATGGACCTCCAATCGTTTTGCCTTTGTCTCCTTGTGAATATTTCCTTCCCGTTTTCGTGTAGAATATGCTTCGATAAGTTTCCGTTTGGGTTCCCATGTGAGGCCCATCAATATTATCACCGGTGGGAAGATTACATCCCAAACGTACACATATATAGACCAGTTATACTTTTCTTTTTTTCTTTAAATCAATGAACAATTCCTCTGGTGTAGACATTTGTAGGAGGTGAAATTACCGAAGGCAAATCTACTATTGACAAGTCTATATTTTCCGTAGATTCACAGGTATAGTTATAAACTTATTGTTCAAGAAGACGTATATAGAATAGACTCGTGCGTTCCGTTCTGCGATCCTCGACCAAGTGCCGTTCCGTCCACTGTTCGGAGGGACCGTCTTGGTCCAGCCGTATCAATTGTTTAGGCAATGCTCATATCTTCTAAGCCTTTGCGGTCGTATGTCTACTCTCAGCCACCAAAATTCTCTTGATCTTGGGAAAATGCGACCGCAAAGGGTTAAACATGCTCGCCTTTCCTCGCCCATGATTCTGGGAATAGGTCCGCCCATGGACCTCCGATCATTTTGCCTTGCCTCTTCGAAATACTTCCTTCACATTTGCGTATCAATAATTAAAACTATTCTTGAGATTAACCTTAGACAATTTCAAGGAGCAAATTCTGTCGGGAAATTACGCGCGGCAACGGGATAGCATCTTCGACCCCGCAAAGAAGCCTCGAGAACGGAGGAAACGAGAAACACGCGATAAAAAATTACGCAAGCTCCTTCGCGAATTTTCGAGAGTGCACTCGGTCGTTTGTAGACTTCCTCGGTAATAAACTCAGCCTTTGTCGGCGGACCTTGAGTGACTCATTGCTTTCGTATACGGACAGTTCGCTCGCGCATGATTTGCACGTAACATACACGCTCAATAGACAAATACCCCTGATCTGTATACTAACTGGAAAGCTGATACCTATTTGTTCTATACGGAGAGGACTTTGACGAATTCAAAGCACTCCAGCGCCTCCACACCCGGGCAGCGGTACTAAACAAGTAACGGGGGCGCATGCGCAAGTTTTGGACCGTCAATCCGTTAATTGCGGCAATGACGAATGTTTAAGGCGAAATTAGCGAGGCGAATCTATTCTTGACAAGTCTATGTTTTCGCAAATTCACAGATTATTAATTGACTTATTGTTAAAAATGATACGCGTAAGCCTCACGGAGACGTATAGAAATGGGTCCAACTGTTCGCTTCTATGATTCTCGACCAAGTGCCGTTTCTATCCACTGTTCGTAGAGACCGTCTTGGTCTAACCGTATCAGTTGTTTAGGCGTATTCTAAACAATAATCACGTCTTGTCCCTTTGAATTATTTCCTTCGGTATAAAGGACAGAAAAGACATAATTTAAGGGTCAAATGGTGCGGAGGGCATATCGGAAGAAAGCTTCGACTAAAACAAAATGGTTATCTTTTTTACTTGTATGTATTTTTATAAAAATGGGAATTGTTTTTTTCCAGTCAATTAATTTGACCCCTCTTGTCCTATCCACGGTTGAATGACGCGTTGTTTGGACGCATGCGCAAATACTACGATACTAGTTTATGTGCCCATGACCAGAGGGCTTTCGTCCCGCCATTTTGTAGGATATCGGCAATCCGGTTAGTATATGGATCAGTGAAACGTACACTTACACGCTCAATAGACAAATACCGACACGGATGATGTACTCTTTCTCTTTCCCGTCGACTTCCCGTTCCGCTCGAACGTAAATGCATAATAAAGTATACGCACATGGTAATGCGGTGACACGTATTTTACGTAAAATACTTCCCTTGAGTAATTCAAGTAAAATACCACGAGAAATATGGCGATACCGTAACCTCACATTTTCAAAGTGGTCAAAGTATACATCACTTGCGAATAAACATTTGAGTCGAGAAAAGAAAGGAATAAAGAATAATGGCAAGTAGAAGCAAACCATCGGGTGCATTCAGGGGAGACAACTGTTGAGTGATCGGTTAGCGCTCATCTTCTGAATGGGTACGTTTACTCGACATGTTTACTGATCGGACCATTCTGATTGCCATTTTCAGCAGAAAATCCCAACATGTTCCCAACTCATCGGTAACCGCTTTTCTCCTCTGAGTGCACCCTTTAAAAAGACCTATGCCAGTTCCAGTTTTCCATACATTCCATGGAAAATGTTGAATTTCAAGCGTATCGGGAATACGAACTGCGGAAATATAAGATCCCATGTTTATGTAATTTACGTGAGGTATGAAATACCTAGTAATTGACCGTAAAGGACTACGAAAACGACCTACGATATTTTACTTACCCAACCAGGCGACGCATGAGTCCACTTCGTGAGTGCATCGTTCGTGGAAGGAGTGACGTCATTCGCGGGAAAGAGTCGACGTCGAGTCAACGATAGACGTTCTTGTCACTCTATTCTCGGGACCCGGCTATTGTTGAATATGTGCATAATAATAGCCATCTATTGGCTGTTATCTGAAATTGAATGCAACTTGTTGCATAGGGTCAAAGAGCGGTTCCTTTTTTTGCGCGAGTAACGTGGCCTCCGCCTGCGCAGCCGGACTGCGCAGGAGCGAAGATGGCGGTTAACTCATCGCGCTGTCGATTAATTGGAGACCGAGTGGGACGTACGCGTCGATATCGCGAGATTGATGGAACGATGGGCAGAAATAACTCCCTTTCGCTACTAACGGTGACCCTAGTAGCATAGAATAATTTATAAATATTTCTTTATAATCTTTGCTAAATATCTCAAGNAATAAAAATACATTTTTTACTTCACGACTATTATTGGACACTTCATTTGGTATCAAAAAACAGGAGAAATTTTCCTAATATTTTCGTTCCGCTATTTCATTACGGGACGTGTAATTTTGATTTTAAATATTTTTAAAACGTTTATAATGTATTCGGCAGATAATATTGCTAAATATCTCAAGCGACAGATTTTTCTAGTTCAGCTGAATTTTATCCTGAAAATACGTCGTAAATAATTCTCTTCGTAAAGGCAGATCTAGGGTTGACCAATCGAATCGTAGTTCCCCTCTTGTACACTTTAGCTCTAATTCGAGTCATCCGCCACTCTTTTGTCGTCGCATAATAGACACACACACACGCACATACACGCGCGATTATTTACGACCTTAAACTACTGCGAATAAAAATTCCATGCAAAACTCGGATTAACGATCAAACTTTCGAGATATACGCAAAAAAGTATGTGCGGAATTAATTAGATAACCTCCCTCATTTTTAATGTTAAAAACTGCAGTTTATTCGATTGAATTTTATGTAATTAAGGTGAAGCGAAACACGCTGAGAAATTTGATTGACGTCGGTAAAAAAGATTCTTCTAATTACCTACGTTGCCGACGTTGGCATTTATATTAACGGCAGGGTGGAATTATATTCGGTATTGTACAAAATGGCGTACTCCATTTATCGTTTACGTACAGTAATTATATAGAAATAGAAGTGAAGTGAAATAATGAATATAGAAATTTAACTGAATTTTCAGCCCAAGGCCAATTGTACGGAGACAACGTAGGAAAAAATGTCGACACGCTCCTTGTCTTACCCGAAGGATCTTTGGGGTCTGGATTGGAAGATGACTCGGAGGAATTCCCCTACTTCTTCAACTCGTTCAGGCCGCCTTCCTTCCTTGATTTCTTCAGCGGCATGCAAGGTAATTACCCCTGCCCTTGTCTTTCTAACTCATTTGCATGCAATTCACCGATCTGTATACTAACTGGATAGCTAATACCTATTTGTTTTATACGGAGAGGACTTCCACGAATTCAAGGCACCCCAGCGCCTCTACACCCGGGCAGCGGTACTAAATAAGTAACTGGGGCGCATGCGCAAAAGTTTTTAGCCGTCAATCCGGCAATTGCGGCAATGACAAATGTTGAACCGTCAGGTCGCGAAGATAAATGTTTAAGGTATAACGGACAGAAGAGACGTTTATTTCATTTACGGATAAAATGATGCGGAGGACATATCGGAAGAAAGCTTCGACTAAAACAAAATGATTATCTTTTTTCTCGTTAGCATTTTAATAACAATGGTTATTATTTTTTTCCCGTAAATTAATTTGACCCCTCTTATCTTATCCACGGTTGAATGATGCGTTGTTTTAACGCATGCGCAAATAGTACGATATTAGTTGATGTGTCCATGACCAGAGGGCTCTCGTCGCTTCGGAACGTCCCGCCATTTTGCAGGATATCACTTATTAGCTATCCAGTTAGTATATAGATCAGTGATTGAATTTCATTTTCAGAAAGCTTCAGGACTACGCTTGTCATTTGCTTCTTCCTTTTGGATACATTGTAACGTCACTTGCACTTTGCCACATATTGAGCAAACACCTTCGTTACGAGCGACTAGGATATTTTAGTCAGTTCCTTAACTATTACTATTACGATAATAAAGCAACCTTCGGCGAACTTATTAAGATAAAAATCGTGCAGTAGGTACACATGTCATATAATTTTAATTGGTTGTAAGGAAGGTATCCGCTTAGTACATTGGCAACATGCAAGTATCTGTACTGTAGAGATACTGTGACGAAATTTTGTACAACAATGTTTTTGAAATATCGCCCTAAGGTGAAGTGAAGCGCGTCGAGAAATTTTATCGACGTCGGTAAAAAAGACTCGTCTAAATACCTACATTGTCGACCTTCGTATTTATTTCGACTGCCGTGTCGAATTATTTGGGTGTTGTACTAAATGGCGTCCTCCACATATCGTTTTCGTACAGTAATGATAAAGAAATTCAAGTAAAATTCCATAAATCCAAATAAAATTCCAGAAATCTCCTGGATTCATGGGTTTTTATGTCGTAATTGAGTGCAGAGTGCCACCCTGCGCCATCTGTGATTTTAGTGTCAACTAAATTTTCTCTCCAAGACCTCTTGTTACTATTAGAACCAAAATAGCATCAAGCTCTCATATTTCGATCAATATACACTTATTGAAGGCCTTAATATAAGAAACGAAAATGTCACGACAATTGTACGATCCTTTAGAACACTCTCGTAATCGATAAACTCACTTTTGAACGGGATAAAGGTAAAAAAAAGTGTCTTATGCGCTGATATGCTAAAACGATGAGAATACGAGGTCTCGGAGTGAAAATTTAGTTGACACGGAAATCACAGATGGCGCAGGGGGTCCCTATGCAATCAATTAGGGCATCAGAAACTACGAATCCACGGGATTTCTGGAGTTTTACTTTGATTTCTTTATAATTAATGTAGGAAAATGACATGTATAGTATGCCATTTAGTACAATAATGTAACTCGACACAGCTGTCAGTATAAATACGCACGTCGGCAACGTAGGTATGTAGAAAAACCTTTTTTACCGACGTCGATCAAGTTCCTCGACGTGTTTCCCTTCACCCTAATGGTATTTCGTTTCGGTCTTCCATTTAATATCTTTTGTTGCATCGTATATCTCACGAAGAATATTGTTAATATTTTTAGAGGCCTTGCTGAGACTCCGCGCACAGATGGCTGATATGCTGTCGAAGGTTCCGCATGGAGGCTTCATCGGTACTCCTGGTGAACTTCCCGAAGGTGCAAACACCACATCGACTACCAAGGTCGGTACACTCGCAATCATATCCTGAAATCGTTTCTCGCGTGGGCGAGGCTCTTTACGGCCTAACGAGCTTTATTACCGAGTCACGTTCTAAGCAAGCGACTTTTAGATTCACTCACACAGATGGTGCGCATTTGCTACATGAACGCAAGATATACGGAGCCTGCAAATCACGAAGTAACTTAAGGAGATACAACGCCATCTGTTGAAATCGTTCCCACTTTAGGGGTCCGAATCTTGAAATTTTTTCCGCTCTAGCGCCTCGATGACATTTTGTAATTAAAAATTATCGTCTGCTAGCGTTCCGGTAGTCTTTATCGCGTTAAAAACATTCTGTATATCATCTGCGGGTTATCGTTTCACTTAGCGTATCTTAATTACAAAATTAAAAGCATTTTAGATCATTTACGTCGGTGGGAAATGTTTTGGATGTATAGGAGTGGAGTTCCCTCATTTTCCGCAAGTGGCGCTAGCATCATTAGATCAGCGAAAATCTATACTTTGTAATATATTAGAAATATTTTCTGGTACTAGGGTTATATGTGTGCTTCGTACATCCTTAGGCCATGACTTGAGGTACCTTTACAATTGCTGCATTACTGCAAAATTACATGCAACGAACCGAATCGATTGATTGAATATAGACAGATAGCTATCATGGACGACACGGAAAGAATTGCAAGCCAATCAGGACGTTTTGCTGCAATTCAGCAAGTGAAAAGGTAGCTTTAGAGGGATCGGAAGGAGGCTCGAAAGTAATCATTTGTTGCGCGATTTTATCGGCGAAATTGGTTTCCCGCGATTTTTCGAAATCAGTCCGCGGAATTGTCTGATATCTTGGTGAACGTGTATCCGCCCCGGAGAAACCATTTATCGATCAAGGAAATGTTCTGATAGAGATTTACAATTTCGTAACAACTTCAACAAGTATTTTTCCTCAGGCGGTAAAAAATCCCAGATAGAGAAAGCAATGCAAAATTTGCATGAACTTTGCCTCATAAAAGATCATGAAATGAGTCCTCATTTGGTACTCAGTCCTACAATACACAATAACCAACGAAAAATACTTAAATATGAAACAAAGTTAAGTACATGCAATGTCTCAATGTTTGTCCGCATATGTGCCCATAATTATGAAAGTGGTCTAAGTCAAAATTAAAAAAAAAAAATGAGTTTATCAGTTATTTCACGCCATATTATTTCAAACGAAATTAATTCAATGTAATTTCGAAACAAAAAATATATGACTTAGACCACTTTCATAATTATGGGCACATATGTCCAGCTAAATTTATCTTCCGCATTACCGATAAACAATTGCAGCGTCTGTAGCTCATATTTAAGCCATGGCGTGACAAATTTATCAAAAATTATCCTTCAAATTTATTGTGTAATATGCGTACATATATTGCAGACATTTCATGCAGCGAATGGTCTGCAAATTGTTTGTAAAATTGATTTTCCTCATCATATGCCGATTATGAATTTCTACCTGAAATTGGATTGAAGTTCGTGTAACTTTTTCGTTGGTTCCGTTTAAGATGATACGAAAGGCGCTGAGAAGTTTAATCGAGGTCAATGAATTAAAATTCATCTATACCCTTTTTGGTAGTAATGCCATTTTGATTACTCAAGTGGGATCATAAGCTGGCGCGTCCCGTTGCCGACATTAATATTTATGTTGGTCTTTTACAGTCTACGTTGAGAATGATACGTATATTGATCGAAATATCAGAGCCCGACGCCATTTTGGTTCTGGTCTAGGCTGAGTAAAAAAAAATTTCTTTGAAAAATCCAAATTTTGAATGTGTCAGGACAATTCTTAGATGATCAGGAGTGATGTGTCAAAGTTTCGGACGGTTTGGTCTAATACCCTTAAAAAAAAGTGTTGTATTCATGTCGACTGATTTGAAGGGTGTTTCACTTCACCTTAACGGCCATTTATTATTAAATTAATGGGACTTTAAATGTAATCGTTGAACGCTTGGTTGCAGATCATCGACGGCCACGTGGTCACGATCAACCAGACGACATACTCCACCGGCGACGACCTGAATGGTTCGGTAATCCGAGTCAGAGTAATCGACATAAAACCACAACAAAACGGAACGGTAAGACCCGACACCGATTCCGATGTGGAGGCCGTTCCTGGAACCGACTCGCCGAAGACGACGACTGTCTCCAGTGACAAGAGCCCCGAAACTCTGGAAGACGACTCCGACAACGCCATTCCGAATCCTGACGAGATCACCGCTTAGGAAGGAGTCCGTTTGCGGAAACTCGAGTCCTAGGTCTCTGCGAGCCACTTTTCCCGAGTTATCGAACTAAATCGAACCGCTAAAGGATGCGGCACGTTCCCCTCGACTTTTACACATTTTTTATAGCAAGCGAAACCTCCCTAGTAGCACGGAATAATTTATCAATATTTTCCTGTAATCTTTGCCAAATATCTCCATCGACGGATCTTCTTTCAAGATGCCTCGTAGATTTTATTCCAAGATATCTGAAATATTTGTTGAGAATCCCAATGACATGTTTGGTTTTAATAATCTATAAACATGTAATGAAAGTACATTTTCCACCTTACGATTGTTATCGGACACTTTGGTATTAAAAAAAAACACAAATGTTTGCAATATTTTCGTTCGGCTATTTCATTATGGTAGCGAAACGTCTGATTTAGATTTCACATATTTTTAAAACGTTAATAACATATTCGGCAGATAATATTTAAAAAATACTTATATATTAAAATGAACCGAGATATGTTTTGTATATCTATAAGAAGAATATGGCGAAAACACGTGGAGGTAATATTATACAAATATAAAAATAACATTCTTAAGCAAATATTTGGCAAATATCTCAAATGTCTGTTGAATATTTAGAAATCGTACGATTTTCGTTAAATATATGGAAAATGTAAGACAAATATATTGTGCTATTAGGGCTGCTAGAGAATATAGAAAAGTCGTCAACGAATCAAAACGGACGATCTTATTTTTGAGAAATGTTAATAAAGATTAATATTAAGCGTTAAGAGTTGTTGAAAATCCCCGTGAGTCCACTGGTAGAGTTCGCGTTAACCCGTTAACCGGGAAATTAACTTTTGTACAACTTGTTTCACAATGGGGACTTTATAGTAATATTATCACACCTTTCGCGAAGAAAAAAGTCGTCATGCCCATTTAAGGTGTCTTCCTGGTATGACGAAATATTTCGTCATATCCGGTTAACAGGTTAAGTGAAACACACTTGATGCGGGAATTAACCACACATATGCATTTGGCGCTGAACTCAGCCAAGATCATTGGTTTATTTTATTAGCGCGTCTTCCTTTAGCGATAAATTTAGCCTGGTGATTTTAAGCCTGCGTGAAATCTGCTAGGGGATTGGTACAAATACACAATGCATAAACTAAAGAATGTAATATTCATGCCCGGTTCCACCAGCCTCGGTTAAATCACTGATTACCTAACCGTAGGTTAAAATTCACATCTAAGTTAATCGTGGGTTAAAAACGTAAATGTTCCCCCACATTTATTTAGAGCGGGATTAGTTGATACTCCCATCGACTAGAAAACAAGATAGATGCACCCTTATCGAGACACGAAGTTATTTCACAGATACTAGCCTCAAGAAGTAAAGTTCTTTGGTTAAGAATTAATATAAAATATTTTCAAGCGAACTTCGATCATGAAGAAATTGTAAATAAAATCAAAAACGTCCACCCGTTTTGTCATAAGAAGATGTTAATATATCCTCAGTCTAATCCAAGTTTTCCTCATGTTCGTGCAGTTTGTAGGTTAATCTAAACGGCGGTTAATGGACGTTAACCTCCGTTAAAATGTGGGGGAATGGGCAACTCGTTGTAACCGAGGATTAGCTTTTTGACCGAGGTTAGTGGAACCGGCCATCGGATTCTTTATTTTTGTAATAAGACCTAAAAGTTGTACATTTTGGTTCTTAATAAAATGTGTTATGTACGGAGGCTTCTTGAACATTCCTGCAAATCCCTTTGCAGGTTTACGCGACTTAACGCATGAATTCATATTTGATGCGCGACTCGGTGGAAAGTTTTGATTCAGTTCGCGAAGTAATTTGATTTATCCGCTATTTTTATCTTGAATCGGTTCGTGGAATTTTTTTTCTGCTCGCACAGATCTGCCTCGAGAAAGTGAGGAAGGTAGAGGGTCTTTTCTAAGCGCGATGAGCTCGCCCTGTTTTTATTTTACATCTGACGCATTGTTACCGTAGGTGTAACTACGAAATAGTATAAGAAGATCCAATGTCATATATTAAAATTGTCCCCATTTTAGTGGTCCAAGATCTTCAGACTTTTCTGATCTGGTGTCGAGAGCGCCTCCTCGATGAAATTTTGCAATTAAAAATTATCGTCTGCTAGCAGGTCCGCTAGTCTTTATCGCGTTGAAAACGTCACATTCTGTATATCGTCCGCAGATTATCGTTTCACTTTGCGTACCTTAATTGCAAAATTAAAAGCATTTCAGGTCAGTTGCATCGATAGGAAATGTTTTGATTACGTAGGATTGGAGTTCCCTTATTTTCCGCAAGTAGCGCTCGCATCGTTAGATTAGCAAAAATCTGAGATAACGGGTCTCGATTCGGAGGCCACTTTCAGTGGAATTGACCATAGACGTTTTGTCTCCTTATACTACTTCGTGGGTGTAGCTGTAATTTGGAGCGTTTGTCTCGAAGCTAAGTAGCGATACACACACGATGATGCACACATCACACAATAAGCACACTTTCCCTCCACTGCTTCGTATCTTTGAATGCTTCATGTATTTCTAACGGGTCAAGGTTCAAGAGAACGACCGCTTTTTTCTTTGACTTGGTAGATGCTTCGAGAAATGATCTCTTCTCTGTGCAGATGATTTCTATCTTTATCATGTTCTTAGGAGGGACGCACTACCTAATGACAGGATGTTATCGAAGTGAGGGAATCCACGAATAGACATCATTAACACAGTTTACTGTAGAGCGAAGTCAACACTTTAAGGAGGTGTGAAAGTGGCATCCGAGGGGTCGATCGTTCATGAAACTTTCCTCCGATCTGGGTCCACCGAATTGTTTCAAACTTTACAACGTGAATGTAGAAGCTACAACGAAGGCCATGAAATTTCACTTTTTAAACAGCATTTTTTAAATATCTACAAACAAATTGTTAAAAAATTGGAATTTTGTAGACGTCAGGACCTTCCCACCGAGAACAGTTATGTAACAATAACTTAACCATTACGCAACGTTTGTAACATGTAATGTAACATATATATAACATCTAAGTAAGATTTGTATTACAATTTCCTCCTCAGCTATATAACACTGTTATAAAATGAATAATGTAACGTATACATAACATATCGATAATATGTTATATGTTATGTTAACATTACAGAACTGCAATGCTTACAAGTTTGTAACAATGTTCCTGAACGGTAATAATTCAACGTTATATGATATTAATGTATCTTTTGAATAATACTCATTATATATCATGTTATTCCAATGTTATGTAACTGTAACATAGTGTGTTTGGTGGGTTCCTAATAACCTCCGTATTCATATTGTAAAGTTTCAAACGATTCGGTAAATTCAGTTTGGAGAAAAGTTTCATAAACGAGACCTCTTTGACGTCATTTTTACATCACCTTAAGGCTTAACCTCTTTGTAACATTGCACTTACGTTGAGCTGCAATAAATGTTAGTCTTGTATTTACATTTAATGCTACAATAGCTGACTATATATGTTCTTTCATAGTAGTGCTTTGTTCATCGATAATAGAATTTATGGTTTCACCCCATTCCGTGGAAATTTACCTGCTGTCTCCGTGGGTTAAGAAAAGTCTGTCTGGTTGTAATTTTGCATTTTGTGCATTAACCCGAGGATGCCTGAAGTTACATTATTTTAATTATAATTTTGATTTCTGGTACGATTGTTGCTCGTGGAAGAGTTTAACAGTGAGCGTAAGTCTAAGCTCGATTCGGCTGCATATTTCTCTAATGTATCCTTGTGATAGATATATATGTATACATAAGCATTTATGTAGAGGACATGATATGCGAAATCAAGGCACAATTGTAAAGTGAGAGTAGATTGTATATAAACTGTATTAAGAATGTGTTAACTATATTATTTTCATATTTGGCAAGAAGAAAAGTGAGATTTATAATGTAATAATATACGGGTGTTGCGATTGACATTGATTTTGGAATTCCTTTCAACCGATGCTTTGTATTCCTTATATTTCATACTATCGCCTGAATAGTAGATGCACACCGATGACAATACAATATAAAGTTCAATACACGTTTAATGTTATTACCAAGTAAAAAATTAAATCCCTAAACTCCTGTAACCTGCTTCTTTTAGAAGATGTATAAGCAAGAAGAAATAATGGTAAAGTTGAGGTATAAATATATACTATATACTATAAATATACTATTACATATACTATAATGTACGATTGTTGCCAAAAATCAAAATACCTAGGTTTTCCATTTTGAATTTCGGTGTCACAATCCGCGGAAGATGGTGTTCACGGCGCTTATTTTTCTATTTTTCTTGTATGCTTTACTATTTCGCTTAAAAATTTGTGCCGAACCAGTTCATATGAATGGTCTCGCATTTTCACCGCCAAAAACGTTCCGTAATACCGTGAGCTACACATTTTTCACATTTTCGCTCAATTTGCTTTACGTAATAGACCCCCTGTTGGCTATAGAGAACGTACGACGGAAGTCTCCCATTCCGCTGTTCTATACAGCCAATCATAACCTCTTATTCAAGCTTCGTCGCTCCGTCGCTTGTTGCTCTAGCGCTACTGGAAATATCAGCCTAAGATTTTCCAGTTTCTGATCGTGCGAACCCTCTATTACATCCATAGCTGCGTGGTTTCAAGGTTAAACAGTAAAATGTGGATAGATCCAACCGATGTTTCAAAAAGGAAACCTCGAAGAATTGGAGGAACACCGGCGAGTGTATATGGAAATAAAATTATTCTTTCAGTACTATGCGGGGCTGTAACATGCGGATTTTGTGTTTAGTAAGTTGGATAATTTAATCTAACGTTTTCCTATTCTCGTTTACCTATCGTGATAGTAGCTAATCTTCATTTACAAATTTTAAAGCTTATTCATACATTGAATTAGGATCTGATTTAATAAACAGTAACTCAATTATACATACTAAAATTGCAAAAGATGTGTTCTAAGTTCTGAGTCATTCCTTTTTTAAACATTATTTTTTCTGTGTGTAGTGTCGACTAACGACTAAAATCTTTAATTTACATTAGACAAAAACAATGTGAGATACCGCATTACACGTAACTTATGTAATGTTATATTGTTTTTCCTTTGTTATTTAATATGTCTCAAATTATAAGAAGAGGAAACAGTCTTCCACTTGTATTTAAAATATGTGTGATTATTAATACTTAGTTCGTATACTTTCATTATGCTAATTTAATATAAAATATTATGGAGTAGTCTTGTAAACAGGTTGATCCAAGTAAATGTTTCATATTTATAGTTTACTGGTAGGCGAGAAAATGCAGAAGATGTTAAAAGATATAGGCCCAGGGGATGTTCAAAATCCAAACTTGTTTTATGATAAAGTACGACCTTACCTTAAAGAAGGAGGACAGCCGAAACCAATTAAAGCAACCAACTCAACAGTTCAGTAATCATGGATAACGATACTATACTCGTAAATGTAGACGTAATTAAACATAAAAACGAAAATGCTTCAAGGTACGTCATTCGAGTATACATTGTAAAACTGATAAGCACTGATATTGATGTAAACCTGTCATATATATATACATAGTGTAATAGTCTCATTAAAAATACAATTTGAAATAGTAAAACTTTCTTTATTCTCCAAGTATGTTAACACATTTTTTCACTAGTCTTGTTAAACAACATTAAAATATATTCATGTATTTTAATGTATTTGCGATAGTGAAAATAAACGGTACTATTCCTTGGATGTTTGGAATTTTTCAAAATTCAGATTCTTTGCAAATTTGGTTAAGACAAACTGTAAGAGACTTCTGGTTTGTTATTTTAAATTAATTGTGGCATATCGATTCAATTGGGGTGTGAAAGTTGCTTTTGACATTCTTTCTTAGTATCCAAAAAAGATTATTTTGTTTATGTATACCAAGAATCGAGATCAACTCTACCTATTCTACTTACGTTCGTTTAAGATTATCAAACTTTATGTCGAAGTAGTTTCAATTGAAATTATTTTTGTTCATAGCATGGAAGTCAAATCAGAAGATCGTGTAGACGCAACCGAAGCAAATCATAATCCTATTAAACCGAAAAGTATGAAAATGCGTACCTGTAATCAAGTTTGTAAGACTAATGCATCGTTAAATGAGGACGACAGTTTGGCAGATTTTAAATCTCCAAAAATAAATGTAATACCCAAAGTGGACAAGCCAAGTGGTAAACTCGCCATTGAAAAATTGAAGCGAAGAGTGAAATCCACATCTAAGGACAAGGGACGAGGGCGAAGTAAATATATTGCAAAAAATTCTGCGCAACCTACCATCGAGTCATCCTTCAAACCTGCCAATGCCAAAACGGCACATACATGTCCATTGTGTTTCAAGACTTTCAACGAAGAATCCACTCAATCAACACATATGAAAACCTGCGCAGCAAAGAATAAAATCTCTACTAAGACTTTATTAAATGCTATCGATCTGCAGAAGCGTCAAATTGAAGAGAGGAAGGCATTAGGACTTCCTTCTACACCTATTTTACAGCCTCCAAAGACTGTGACACGCAAGCCACCAGTACGTTTGCCGCTTTCCTTAATTCTGCAATATTATAACATAATTATTAAGATGATATAATAGTGCTATCTAACGAGTCTTGTTTATAACACTTATCCAAATAGGATGTATGGAATCATTTGAAATTTTACAACAGTAACATGGAAGCCCTCAGAAAGATTCTGACCCTACTGAAATTTATTTTTCTTTCATTTTGTCTATTAACATTTTTAATATTGTATAAAAAATGAAATTTCATGATTGTCAGGACCTTCTTTAGGGCCTCCGTATTTACGTAATAAAAGTTCAAATGATTCGATACACCTAATTTGGAGAAAAGTTTTATAAATATGTTGACTTTTAGTATGTATATATGACACTTTCATATCACCTTAAGTTAACATAATTGAACTAATTGAATATAAAGTAAATGAATATACCTATCATAGGTTCCAAAAGGTGATGGTGAACTCGAATTAGCATTAGCTCTATCGAGATCTTTGCAAGAAATGGAAGAAAAGGAACAAATAGCGGAAGCTGAGCTGTTGGAAGATGAATATTCTCTGCAGAAGCCTGATAAAGCCTTCCAGGATGAGTCAAGATCGATTGAAAATCGTAGAGCTACTTTGCAAAACTTTGGATTCACTACTAACGTACCTTCGGTGCCACTGCCAGCTCGTAATAAAAGTAAAAAGAGTATGTTCAAAGTGTATTAACATTTTTTAAATTCTTTTAAAAATATTGTTCGGAGTTATAAAATGGAAAAATAGTTCACGATTATGATGTTCTGCGTTTTTATGTAATTCAGGGAAGGTGTTAAAACCGACAGCGTTGGAAATCCTTTCTCAAGAGGAAAAGGATCGACGCTTAGCAGAGAAAATAGCTGAAATACTCATAGCTGGTGATGTGATGACGCAAACATCTCAAGAACCGATACAAAGAATGGCAGAAAATGAGCTGATTAGACCAAGGAGTAAAGTACTTAAGAAACTGCAACAAATGGTAAAAACTACTATATTATACAACTTATCGAACATGTCAAAGCTAACTAATAGATAATTAGTCATCTCAAATACTTTTAGTATATCTTAAAGGAATTTGTAATTTCTTTTACTATAATTTCAGGAACATAAATTGTGGGATAAATGCAGCCTTTCGGAGCAGCATGATGAATTTTATGTTGAAAATCTCCTTCCGCTGTCGCAGTGTCAGCTAGGTCCTTCCGTAAGACTTAGTAATGGATAAGTTGATGTGAAATCCCCCCTCAAATCAGTCGACTAGAACAAGACAGTTTTTTAAGGGTATTGGATCGAACTGTGAAACTTTGACACATGACTCGTGAGCGCGTAAGAATTATCTTGACACTCAACATTTGTTTATTTTTTTTTATTTTGTTGACTTAGCTAAATCAGAACCAAAGTGGCATCGAGTTCTCATATTTCGATGAATATACAATTATTGAAGGTTCCGATATAAGAAATTAAAGTGTCAAGACAATTGTACAACAATTTAGAACATTCTGATAATCGAGAAATTCGCACATGAACGGGAAAAGGGCAAAAAAGTGTCTTATGCGCTTCTATGTTAAAACCAAGGTAACACGAGGTCTCGGAGAGAACATTTAGTTGGCAGTGAATGTATAGATGGCGCAGGGCGGTACTCTAGTTAATTAGAGTAATAAAAATCACGAATCTAAGGGATTTCTGGAGTTTCACTTTGATTTCTTCATTGACATTGTATGGAAACAACATAATATGTCATTTAATACAATACTCAATATAATAACCTATCACTATAAATCCAAATGTTGGTAATGTAGGTATTTAGACGAATCGTTTTTACCGACGTCGACTGAATTACTCAACGAGTTTCACTTCACCTTAAGGTGATATGAAAGTGTGATATACACATACCAAAAAGTCAAAATATTTATAAACTTTTTCTCCAAACTGGGTGCACCGAATTATCTAAAACTTTAACACGTGATTATGGAGGCTCTAAGAAAGAATGCGTTGCCCGTAAAATTTCACTTAAAAAAAAAAAAATCGTTTTTTCGTTCTTGTCCGAGATAAATGAAAAATTTTGTTCAAAAAATGAATTTTCACGAACAGCTTCCTTAGAGCCTCCATGATCACGTGTCAAAGTGTCAGGTAATTCGGTGCACCCAGTTTGTAGAAAAGTTTTGTAAATATTTCGACTTTTTGGTACGTATATGTCACACTTTTATATCACCTTAAGACCATTACAAATTATTAATAACCGTGTAATCGATCATGGATATTAATGAACTCTTATTCCATTATATGTATTATTATTTCTTCCACAGGGTGAATCAGAACCGTCTAAGAATCCCAGTAATTCTTCAGTAGATCCTGCAAAGATGCAAGACAGGGTCAAGGAAGCGGAAATTTCTGAGAAGGAGAAAAAAATGGAAACACCACATTCGTGTTCCGAAGCAGCATTTACGATTAAGCAAGAAGACAAGATGTCTCCAAAAAATTCCCATAGCGATTCCACTTCCACCTGTAAACAGGAATTCAGCGTTGAAATCAATGAACCATTTATCAAGTCTTTGGCATGCGATTGGAAGAACATTTTAAACGTCAGTTCAGCGAGTGACATATTAATTTACGTGAAAAATGAGCAACACATATTCACGCATAAATTGGTCTTTTTTGTGCGCTGTTCGAATATCATGCTGGACTTCATTCCATGCGACGATCCAAAATTTCCGCACGTGAAAGAGAGGATTTCCTGGCCGGAAACGGATTACTGTGCAGCCTTGGCATTCCTGGAATTTGTATATAGTGGATCCATTGACAAGTACTCATACATATTTGAAGATGAAGCCGCAATGACTGAAGTTCGATGCCTGGCGAGAAAGTACAGAGTCAAGGATGTTTTCGATTACTTGAATCGGGTGAAGTCCGATAAGAACGATAAGAATGTAAAAAGCTCCCCACGGAAGCCTGGACGATCTGAACCCGAGACCACGAATGACATTGTTCAGAATGAAGTAGATGAAATTCTTAACAAGGAACCGAATAAAGAGCTTATCTCTTCGCAGTATGGAGATGAAGCAAAGAGCGTCGTCTCTGACGCGAAGGATTCACGTCTTGATGATGACTTTGATAAAGAAGTGATACTATCTCAGAGGGAAATTGATGTCATAGATGGGGAAGTAGATGAAATTCTTATCAGGGAGCCGAATAAAGAGTTTATCTCTTTGCAGTATGGAGATGAAGCAAAGAGCGTCATCTCTGACGCGAAGGATTCACGTTTTGATGATGACTTTGATAAAGAAGTGATACTATCTCAGAGGGAAATTGATGTCATAGATGAGGAATTAATACTTGACACTAAGGGAAATAAGGATGCGTTTTTATGTCCATTTAATGACACTCGAATTGTTGCTTCTCCGGATTTGTTTGATGACACCGGAGATGACAATTCGGATAATACGAGAGAATTTCCCTCGACTACGTGTAAGGATGATTGCGAAAATGCGAAAGACGAGAACGAGAGCAATCTGAATGTGCTATTGGATTTAATTCAACAAGATTCACAGATTAATAGCCAATACAAAAGCGATTCGTCGAAGTCTGTTGGGGATAAAAAAGTAGACCAGAAGATCTCAAACGATCCCAGCTTTGTTGTTACATCTGAAAACTGTGAAGTCTACAACTTGGACACGGACGAAGAAACGGATGTAGAAGATGTGCCAAGAAAATTCAATCCTGCTGTAATCTCCGAAGGTGATAATTCCAGGATTTTGACCGCGGCTCCGGAGAATGCAGAAAATCCAAATTTTCTTTTGGGTGAAAACTCGAAAAGTCGAAGTGCAATTTCAACTCCCGAAAGTGTCGGGCATCGACGCGTTTACATGGACGGAGAAGTTGAAAAGGGAATGGACATAAATGATTGCGATACAGTTTCAATACCTGACAGCATTAAAACACAAATTTATAGAACATTCGATAGCGAGGAAACTGAAAATTCCATTGTCACTCCGAACTGTGATATACTTCCGGAGGAGAGTATGGATTGCAACACTCAAGCAGAAACTCCAAAATCAAGCAAATTAAATGAAAATCCCGCCACGAGGTGCGTAACGAAGCAGAAAAGCATTTTGAGTTTGTTCACCGAGAAAGTTCAGGGCGAAAAGGCAAAAGAGGCAGACCCCGAAGATGATTTAATCATAAGAGATTCATTCTTCTTGAGTCAGTACAACATTGAAAATAGAGATTCGATAGAAGCCGATAAATTTACAGCAAGGAGGGTAGATTGTACTCGGAAGAGCAGGTTAAAACCGAGTAAATTACATGAAAATCCTGATGAAGAATGTACGACAATTAAGCAGAAGAGTAACCTGAGTTTATTCATTGAAAGGATTCAGAAGGAAAATGCAAAGGACTCGTTAGAGTCGGATTCAGAGGACGAGTTGACCATCAAAGAGCCGTTTTCCAGGAGGAAATGTAAAAGCCCACTTCACGAGTACGATTTATTGTTTCAAAATCATTCCAAAATGCTCGCCCTAGGGGTCAACGAAAAAGATGTGTTCTCAAAGTTTGCCGTAAGGAAGCCCGAAAATTCTCCGGATACGCAGGATCGAAACGAGAGGGACAGTTTTGAAAAATTCTTCAAAAGCGAGGGCTTAACTTCGAAAGCTGTGCCGAGGAAGAAGAAGAAGAGGGATGCTTTAAGTATCTTCGAAGAGGCTGTTCGGAAAAATGCAGAAATGAGACGGGATGGTTTTTCAAATCGTTTGAAAAGTCCAGATCTATCGACGAATTTAGAAGATGATGTGTCGAAATGTTCATTGTCAATGTCGCAAAGAGTAGACGAGAGGGACAGTTTTGAAAAATTCTTCAAAAGCGAGGGCTTAACTTCGAAAGCTGTGACGAAGAAAAAGAAGAAGAGGGATGCCTTAAGTATTTTCGAAGAGGCTGTTCGCAAAAATGCAGAAATGAGACGGGATGGTTTTTCAAATCGTTTGAAAAGTCAAGATCTATCGACGAACTTGGAAGATGATGTGTCGAAATGTTCATTGTCAATGTCGCAAAGAGTAGACGAATCTGCGAGCGAAAACTCAGAAATTGGACCTACTCAAAATACCGCGAACGACGATGAGATCTCAGGGGAGGATTTTGAAAAGGAATTAAACACTGAAGAATTACTTTCGATGAGCCAATACAAAAATTGCCCACCCAAAGGAAAAGACGCCGGTTCAAAAGATCTTCAGACAGAGTCGAAGGACTCTCCTGATATGCCGGAAGAAAATGATAAGATCAATTCTTTTACCTGGAACGAGAGCCTAATTTTGAGAAACGTAACGATGAGAAGAAAGACCTCGAGTATGCTTCGAAACGTCCTTTACAAAAATGCAGAAAATAATGCTAATGAAAGGCTTATCAGTTCAGAAAGTTCCTCAAAATATGTGGAAAAAGAAAAGGAGCCTCGTAAAAGTCCAGAACGATTGATAGACGTAGAAGCGGAATTATCGAGTACTCTCGATAATTCTTTTTCAAGGGAATTCGGAAGTTCGTCGATTTCTTTCATTCCTGAACGCCCGAAGAATAAGTCGAGGATTTCTTTGTCTTTATTGCGAGAAGCGAGCAAGAATTTCAAAAGTCCTTCCAGGGAAATCGCGATAACCGATAAGGTTGTCGATATTTCGGAAGAAATAAATTCATCGAACGAGGAGAATGAGAGTAACTTGGACTCCAGCGTTTTCACGGAGGACGAAGGAAACATTTCCATGTATTCGAGATATAAAAAAAGCCACAAAGATAACAGCATTTATTTATATCGGGCTGCATTAGAAAGTGGGAATAAAAATGATATCTCTACTCCACGATCGTCGATCGATATTCCCCATTTTAGGGGTTTTAAGATTTTTAACAAGGAAATTGTTGATGAGAAAAATCCAACCACTTCAAAAACATTGTTAGACGATACAAAGCAAGTTGGAGAGGAAAATGTGATTTCGTTGGATTCCGATAACTCCGTATCAAATGATTCGAATTTTCCCTTAAGTCATGATTTGGAGAGTACATCGTTTCGTGATAAATCTGAAATAAATTTGGAAAATGAATTAAGAACAATCGGCGATGACGTTAAAAGTAAACATTTCAATGTTCAGAAAGAGTCAAATGAAATTCTTCCCAGGAACGTAGAATCGAACGAGAATCCATTAAAATTAATATCCCGAAATGGCAAAGAAATTATGACTGTCGGCAGAGAAATTGTTGACAATGTTTATTCGTCATATTTAAAAAAAAGAAAATCTAAGGAGAGCGAAAAATTGGAGGAATTTAGATTGAGGGACTTTGGATCAAACAAAAGCGTTTTGGAATCCACTTCCTGTTCAAAAAATGATAATGAGGATGTTATCGACATCGACACTGAAACGGTTGATGATAACATGTTAAATGTTAAAAATATAAAACCTAAGAACAATGAAAAAGTAAACGAGCTCGATCGTAAGCACATGAAGCCAAGTGAAAAAGCTTTGAGATCTTCTTTAACAAGAAATAACGAAATAATTAACACGATCGCTACGGAGACTATTAACAAACGCGTTAACTCATTTGATATTAAAGACCTTGAACCTAATAAAACGAATATTGGCTCGGAAAATAAAAACTGGACAAAGGAAACTGTTGATTTTCGCGATAAAAAAAATGCCGGACTTACAGTTGTCGAAAAAGGAGTAAGTATAAATGGAAACATAATCGAGGATGATGAAAAGGAACGAGATAATAAAATTGCCGAGTCTCGAGATTTCGTTGATTCGCAGAATTTTCCAGCGAAAGAAATGTCCATCGATGAAGAAGTCAGTCTTCTTCTTCAGGAATGCGTTTCGTCGAAAAGGCGAAGACTTGCAGAAATTTGCGGAGTGTCTTTATCGAGTCCGATTTCGATATCTTCCAGTCCTGAAAGATCGCCAGCCATTTCGGAAGCCTACAAAAATAAAGAAAAGAATGATTTAATCGATAAAGTCGTAGATACGGAAAATGCGTCCGGAAAAATCTGCAAAAACGTTTGCGGCTTTAAAGGAAATTTATTAGCTACGGAAATACTGCCTAATGATCCTAAGTTAAGGGATGAAAAGAAAAAATTGCATGTTAATGCTCGGCAATTTGGGAAGAAATTAACGAATTGCAACAATGGCTCCGCACGTTCCCAGAATTCTGAGAGCGATGAAGAGGAAACGAACGATATTCGGAAATTACGTCTGAAATCGGTGTCTGAAAATATTCTTTCAAGTAAATTGAAGATACGTCCAAAAGATTCGAGCTTTATATCTGAAATGTATCCCGATAGCTTCGTTTTCTTGAACGACTCCGACAGTGATAAGGAAAAAGCATCCGATGTTCAAAAGCTTCGTGGGAAATCAAAATCTGATGATAATTGCGCAAATACGTCAAAGGCATGTCGGGAAAATGCAAATTCTTACGATTTTGATAAAAAATCGCAAACTCCTGCCGATTCTGGAAGCACTCGTATAGCGAATGAAAAATCGAAAACTCTCCGAGACAATTCCGACAGTGATAAGGGAAAAGCTACGGATGTTCGAAAATTTTACGCCAAATCGGTGTCCGATAATAATTTGTTAAATATGTCAAGACTGCATTGCAAAGACGCGAGTATCGAAGATTTAAAAAATATGCGAGGTCGGTATAATTCTGGAAACGCTTACAAATTGAAGGAAAAGGCGGAAAATCTCTATGATGATTCCAGTTCCTTTGACGACTCTGATAACGATAATAAACTAAATACAAAATCCAAAACTCATCGTGGTGGTTCCATTTCCTTTGATGACTCCGACAGTGATAAGGAAAGCGCGTCCGATGTCAGAAAGTTTCATATCAAATCGACTTCTGAAAATAGTTTCGTAAACAAATCAAAGATACATTACGAAAATGCAAATTCCAAGGATTTTGATGAGAAATTAAGAGCTGCTTCCAATTCTGGAAACACTTATAAACTGAATACAAAATCCAAAACTCATCGTGGTGGTTCCATTTCCTTTGATGACTCCGACAGTGATAAAGAAAGAACATCCGATGTCAGAAAGTTTCATATCAAATCGACTTCTGAAAATAGTTTCGGAAACAAATCAAGGATACATTATGAAAATGCAAATTCCAAAGATTTTGATAAGAAATTAAGAGCTACTTCCAATTCTGAAAACACTTATAAACTGAATACAAAATCCAAAACTCGTCGTGGTGATTCCATTTCCTTTGATGACTCCGACAGTGATAAGGAAAGCGCGTCCGATGTCAGAAAGTTTCATATAAAATCGACTTCTGAAAATAGTTTCGTAAACAAATCAAAGATACATTACGAAAATGCAAATTCCAAGGATTTTGATAACTTATTAAGAGCTTGTTCCAATTCTGGAAACACTTACAAGCCGAATGAAAAATCCAAAATTCAAGATGATAATTCCATTTGCTTGGACGATTCTGACAGTGATAAAGAAACAACATCCGATGTCCGAATGTTTCATGAGAAATCAAAGTCTGAAAATAATTGTGCAAATACATCAAAGGCATATCGCGAAAACACAAATTCAGGCGATATTAGCATCACACCACGAGACCGTTCCAGTTTCGCTTTTACTCGATTAATGGACGGTTCGACAGCAGACGAGAGTGGAATTCGTATCGAATTAAATCCCGAGGAAGCTTCAACGAGAAAGAGTAATTCCATCAAGAGATCTCTTTCCGATTCGCCGAATTTCCCCAGGAAAAAACGGAAGGACTCGAATTCATGCGAAGTATTGGAATTGCACAGCAAGGACTTCAATTCCCCGTTTATTTTGAACAGAAGCGATGACTTCGAGTCTTGCGAGTCTTTGGAGAAGCACGATTTGGTTGTTTCTTCAGGAAGAGAGCTCGAGGGGGTAGGAAGATCCGATTCGGCAATTTCTTCAGAAAAGTGGCAGAAAAACGTCGAAGGTTCTATTTCTTCAAGAAAAAGGAACAAGGATTCGTCGATTTCTACGGGACGAAAACGAAAGAATTCCGATCCATGTGAAGTCTTTGATAGATGCAGCGATGATGCGATTTGCCTCGACGACTTCGACAGCTTCGATGGACTGAAAATTCCTTCCAAAGATCCGAAGGAATCTTCTCATCTTTTCGAGGATAAATCAAGGAGTATCAGGAGCTTCAAAGTTAAGTCAGCTTCGGAGGGGAATTTCCAGAGGACTTCAAAGAGTTATTCTAGGACGCCTGAAAAAATCAAAAGCGCGGTTTTAGAAGAATCACCTTGTGGGAATTTTAATCAGAGGGGAGACGGAAGTAATCAAACTACTCCTAATTCTAGAATCGAGACGAATTATGTCACTCCTCCTCTAAATTACAGTGCCATGGATACACCTCAGCTCAAGGTGAGTCACGATCAGCTGCTTACAATTTCGATTACTCTTTTAGGGTGATACCCAGACAGCATAAAATATTCATAGAATATAGAAAAGAAGTTGGAATATATTCCTCATGTATATTCGACATTGGAATGATATTTTAAGTACAATGAATGCCTCCCCTGCAGGTACGGCATCGCCTGTGCAGGATGGGAGGGCATTGATGTCTCCCAGTGTACAATATTAGATTATGTACACATGATAATGTTTCCCAGATATACTCTAAATATTTAATGTTTTATAAATATATATACAATATTGGTTTAGCAATGTCATTTGAAATATGGAATACCATTTTATAAGTACTACAAGTGTTTGAAAAGGTTTGTAATATAACAGTGAAATACTAAAGTTAACAATTCTTTTATACATTTTCACGTACACCCTTATTTAAAAAAAATCAAAACATTCTAAATATTTCGTGCGATAATAATAATATATTATTACTTTATTTTGAATACACATACGTGCACCAATACTTTATATTCCCTGGGTAAATACTTTATTTTTTGTAAAAGTAGGGGCTTATGTTTCAATATTTTATCTCACCAAATGTTAACACTTATTTAAAAATAGAGTACCGAAACATGAACCTTTCGTATTTTTATTTGCGTGGCAAAAAATATCATTCAGATATGTATATGACATGCTACTTATGTGTAAGGAGTATCAATTCCATGTTCATACAATATTTCGTTAAATATATTTCAAATATAAAAAACTGACCAAAACTACGTTCACCCTATGTTCAAAAAATGTACATAGCACATAAGTCCATATCCTATTAATATTGAAATAATTTCAAAGAATATTCTATGAACCTCTGTGCTATGTATTTGTGCTGTCTGGGTATGAATGATTCCGAGGCCGTCGATCGACGTGAATAAAAAAAAAAATCTCTCTAACAGTGATGCTTTACTAAATGAAAGTGCATCCACGCGTGGAAATTGTAAATGGTATATTGTTACTTGCCGTTCGAGTATTTACATCCGAACTAATAATTTCTGATTAAACGTGCGTCCAGTTTGTAGATTTCCATTAGGTGCGCAATTATTATTCTGATGCCGAGCCACTAAAAACAAATATCCATGTTTATTCTTTTCATTCAGAGAGAATTGGACAAGTATGGAGTGAAGCCTTTAAAACGTCACAATGCAACGCAGTTGCTTAAACATATTTATGCGCAACTCCACCCAAGGGTTCCTGATTCAAAGGTTAAGGAAAAAGAAGCACAGCCACTTGCTTCAACTTCGGATGGTAGAATGCAAGAAGCGTGTTTACCCCAAGAAAGGGGTCAAAATCCAAGTACTGCAAGATCACTCTGTGACGAGTTCCATTCCAAAAAAGGATACGAAGACCCCGATAAAACTAGGTAAATCTAATTCCTTACAAATTTTCGTCTTAAGATGATATGAAAGGCGCTGAGAAATTTAATCGAGGCCGATAAATTAAAATTCATCTGAACCCTTTTTGGTGGTAACGCCATTTTGAATACTCAAGGATAACAAACTGGCGCGTCCCGTTACCAACATTTATATTTATGTTGGTCTTTTACCGTCCACGTTGAGAATTATACGAACTAAAGCGTTCCGTATGTAATTTCAGGAAAGTAATGATGAAGAGATTGACGAAAAACTGTCGAAATCCCGTGAATTCATTATTCTAACGACTGCTTAGGACCAACGTCGCCATCTCTGACGGTTAGCTGCAACTAAATTTTTGCTCTAAAAAGACGTGTTACCCCAGGAACAAGCCAGCATTTTCTTGCAATCGTTGGTGAAAGTATTTTCCATATTTTCCCATCTGACTCTGTAATATTCCATTTCTACGGTATTCTAAATTGCTCGAGCTAGGTCCTGAAACTCTTCATTTTCGCTTCTAAGCCTCCAAGAGGCGTAAAACATCGAAAGCATGTCTGGACCACGCCATGTTGGTTTCTAGTCCATGATAAGTAAATAAATTTTGTATGAAAAATGAAATTTCACGAGTTTTAGGACCTACTTTAGGACCTCCATATTCCCGTGGTCAAATTTGAAACGAATCGGTACACCGAATTCGGAGAATGCTTTCCCTAACAATGTGACTTCTTAAATATATATAAGTTGACTCTTTCATATCGCCTTAAGGTGAAGTGAAACTCCCCTCAAATCCGTCAATTCGAATAAGACGCTTTTTTTTTAAGGTATTGGATCGAACTATCCCGAAAGTTTTACACATGACTCGTGATCGCCTATTAACTGTCCTAACATTTTTAAAATTTGGATTTTCGAAACTAAATTTATTGAGTTAGCCTAGACCGGAACCAAAATGGCGTCGAGCTCTCATATTTCGGTCGATACACAAATGTTGAAGGCTCTGATATGAGAAACGAAGGTGTCAGGACAATTGTACAACAATTTAGAACACTCTGGTAATCGATAAATTCGCATTGGAACAGGATAAAGATTTTGAAACGTGTCTAATGCGCTTCTATGCTATAACGATGGTAACACGAGTAGAAAATTTAGTTCACACTTAAATCACAGATGGCACAGGGTGATACTCTTCAGTCAATTACAGCACCAAATACCATAAATCCAGGAGATTTCTTGAGTTTCGCTTCAAATTCACTATAATCATTGTATTGATTAATTAATCATTGTATCTTACGAGCCATGTGCTACATTATCAGTTAGTTCGGTGTAATTCCCTTAAAAAGGGGGCATATTCAAATTGACTGATTTGACGGGGGGTTTCACTTCACCTTAAATATGTTTAAAAAATGCAGAATATTATTAACATTATTACTATTTCTCCACAGCACCTTGAATGACAGTTCCGATGACATGATTATTGCCGAAGAAGCCGATTTCGAAGAATCCGATCCAGCCACTCTTGGAGATTCTGAGACAATTAATAATAATTTCCGCAGATTTATTAAAGCCAATAAAGTCATCTATAATATGATTCTAATGTACGCACCTTTAGGGTTAGAATCGTTGCACTCAATGATGAAAATTCAAGGCTTTAAATGTAGCATTAATAGCCTAAGGGATTTTTTAGATGAACAGGTATGCGCAATAACGTAGATGCAAATCAAATTACTCGTAGACATTTTGGAAATAACGAATATTGATCACATATTTCACGAAATATTGCATCACATGCCATATATTGTATTTCCATGAAAATTTAATTTTATGACTTCTCCTTGTATTCCAGCCGTTTTTTAAATAAAAATGTTACCATTATTTCAGGGCATCACCTTTAAAATTGAAAATCAAACTTCTCGAACGAGAAAGAAGAACGAGAAGAGTGGGACGAATAAAACTAATAATACAGCAAAAACCACAAGCAGAGGGAATAAATGAGACAGTGTTACAGTGAGACAGAGTCATTGAACAGATAACTGTTCAATGACTATTTATTAAATAGATTTTACAGTTTTAATGTGAGAAAAAAATTTGAATCGATTTAAGAAACTGTAAATAAATTGTATATTTAATGCATCTAGGATTGCTTTTAGTGAAAATTTAATTATATTTTTGTATGGTTGCAATATTTATATCATCAAAAAAGAAAACACCTATGTAAGAGAAAAAAATGAACTTGTTGAATCGCTACCCGGTCCCATGACCTTGAAATAACTGGAAGAATAATATCCAGTCTAGAATAAGAAAAATAAAAGGTTGCTAATGATATGTGAAATGAGTGAACTTGATAGATTTAATTACCTCCAGCTTCATTATTAGCTCTATTCAAATTACGATTATTTGTATAGATACTTGACAAGGATATTAAGAATTAAAATTAATTATTTTGACTCATAAACACCCTTGATTTATCCATAAAGGTTTGCGAAAGTATAAATATATATACAATATTGGTTTAGCAATGTCATTTGAAATATGGAATACCATTTTATAAGTACTACAAGTGTTTGAAAAGGTTTGTAATATAACAGTGAAATACTAAAGTTAACAATTCTTTTATACATTTTCACGTACACCCTTATTTAAAAAAAATCAAAACATTCTAAATATTTCGTGCGATAATAATAATATATTATTACTTTATTTTGAATACACATACGTGCACTAATACTTTAAATTTATATTCCCTGGGTAAGTGCTTTATTTTTTGTAAAAGTAGGTACTTATGTTTCAATATTTTATCTCACCAAATGTTGACACTAATTNTATTTCTATTACTAATCTATTGATTCTTCATTGGAGAGCGGAATTTACATGTTTACTATTTCTGAAATATGGCCATTCAATTTTAGGGAAGACCGGCGCCATTTTGAATTTTCAAACTTATCATAACGGTCGTTCTTGAAGTAATTCAAGTATATCAATTAAGTGGCGTTCTGATTGAACCAAAGGAGAAAAAAGCAGCACGGAAATTAATCTTAAAAGGTATTGACATTATTTTTATATTATTCAATAGGAAATGAATCATTCAGAACCGATTAGAAAAGGCAGAAACAATATTTAGGTGAGATGTTTCAATCGATGTATTGAGACTTCAAGTAATTAATTTGGTTATATTAGGGCATGTTTATACTTGCAACCGAATTTATTTATGTTATAACCCACTATAGAAATTTAAAGCTTAAACATTTAATATTTTTATTCACTTCATAACTTTTATATACCCCCACCAAATACGGTTACGTAAGAATAATATAACCGTTACATAACGTTTGTAACATGTAATGTAACATGCACATAATATATAATATTTGTATTACTATTTCCTCCGCAGCTATATAACCCTGTTATAAAACGGATAATGTAACGTATACATAACATATAGGTAACATGTTATATGTTATGTTAATATTATATAACTGCAATGCTAATAAGTTCATAACAATGTTCCCGAACGTTAATAATTCGACGTTACATGATATTAATGTATCTTTGAACAACACTCGTTATATATCATGTTATTAAAGTGTTACGTAACGTGTTATATGTTATGTTAATATTATAAGTTTGTAACAATGTTCCCGAACGCTCATAATTCGACGTTATGTGATATTAATGTATCTTTTGAATAACACTCCTTATATATATCATGTTATTCCAGTGTTATGTAACTGTAACATAGGGTATTTGGTGGGCCGTACAATTTAATACAACTATTAACATGTATATCTTTGATGAATAATTGATAGCAATCAAGAGTTTAATGTCATCAGTGCCTCAAAAGGCGGATGTAAACAATATGCAACCACGTCGTGCATCACAATATGCAAATCCAACTCAAATTCAAGGCGAAGCATCGACGTCACAATCGTCGTTTATAACTGAAAAGAGTATAAAAATACTCAAGTCATACATATGTATCGATGTCACACCGATTACGAACGAGTGAGTCGAGAATTCCACCGAGTCTTTATAAATAATTCATAAGTATGCAGACAAAGGTTAAATCTAAGAAAAGAACTCCAGATTGAAATTCATCATCATCATACGATGAGAGAGAATCGATTTACAAACAACTTGCAGAACATTTGCTGCGTGAAATGTCTGCAATATATGTACGCATATTGCGCAATAAATTTGAAGAAAAATTTGCGGAAAATTTGTCACGCCATGACTCAAATATGAACTACGGACCTTGCAACTGTTTATCAACGATGCGTTAAATAAATTTAGCTGGACATATGTGCCCATAATATAATTATGAAAGTGGTCTGTCATATATTTTTTGTTTCGAAATTACATTGAATTAATTTCGTTTGAAATAATATGGCGTGAAATAACTGATAAACTCATTTTTTTTTTAATTTTGACTTAGACCACTTTCATAATTATGGGCACATATGCGGACAAACATTGAGACATTGCATATACTTAACTTTGTTCCATATTTAAGTACTTTCGATTTATCATTGTGTCCCGTAAATGTGAGTTCTAAATGAGGAGTCATAAGCATGACTCGTTTCGTGATCTTTTCTGAGGGAAAATTCATGTAAATTTTGAATAACTTGTTTATTTAAGCAACTTTTTCGTCGTTTTTGCCACTGTGCGTTCTTGGTCGTTTTATAAAACACCTAAGAGATTTATAAAATGATTAGCTGGAATGTAAAATAAAGTGAACGAAGATTTGACTATCTGGTCGCGTTTTATAAAACGAAAGCGTTTTAAAAAACGCGGGATTTAAAAATGTGACTATATGAATAGGCAAAAGGAAACAAGACATCTTACCCAGTATTAAAATTAGTAAAATATTGCAGAGCAAAAATTAAGAAGAGTTACGCGAGAAGAAGCAAAACACCAAGTGCTACATTCATTCCTCAAGAAATTGTGAAATATGATAAGCCTGGAATACATGAAATTCTTAAATGTTCACTCCCTGGTAATTCTTTGCGCTATTTGATGCTTCTATTATTACAAATTTATATGATTTTCTACAGAATTAGACGCCATTCTTGAAAAAAAAAAAAGATAGTGGACCTCGGAAAACAGTAACGGATGATTTATATAATGTAACTTATGCAATTTTCACCTCAACTGGTAAAGATATGAAAAAATATTTCAAAAGTGTCTTATGCGCTTCTACGCTAAAACGATGGTAATATGAAGTCTAGGAGTGAAAATTTAATTGACATGGAAATCCCAGATGGCGCAGGAGTCCCTCTGCAGTCAATTAGGACCTCAAAAACCATAAATCCAGAGGATTTCTGGAGTTTTACTTCGATTTCTTTATAATTATCGTACGAAAACGACAGGTGGAGTATGCCATTTGGTACAATACCTAATATAATTCGACCCAGCTGTCAGTATAAAAACAAACGTCGGCAACGTAGGTATTTAGAAAAATCTCCTTTACCGACGTCGATCAAGTTCCTCGACGCGTTTCACTTCACCTTAATACACTTATCAAAAACATTTTTTCATACCTCCATTAGTTTAAAAGAAACAGTATTAGTAACAACGGTAACTTTCTAAGAATCACCCTGTATATAAATAAATTTATTTCCATTAAATGTTTAATTATCCTCAATGGAAAATACTTTTCAGAATCGTTCTCCAATTTCCTAGAATTGGGTGCAGAATATGATATAACCGGGGAACAAACTAAGGAGGGTTTTAAAATTTGTGCCTTAAAAAAACATGTTTCATTATGTTTAAACAATGCTACGAGTCAGTGGCCTCCCGAGATCAACAATTTCCTTGTAAAATTACGGTGAGTGAAGAAACCACATTAAGACATTTTTATGAATATATAATTAATCCTGATGCATTAATCAGAAACCTCGTTAAGGGGATGTGAAAGTGGAATCTTAGGAGTCAATCGTTAATGAAACTTTTCTCCGAATTGGGCGTACCAATTTCTTTCAAATTTTACCACATGAGTAAGGAGACCCTAAGGTAGGTCTTGAAACACGCGAAATTAAATTTTTTTTAAAATTATTGANTCGTCATTGAGATTTTCAAGAAATATTTCAAATATCTTCTACATGAAATCTACAAGAAATCATAAAAAATCTGTCGCTTGAGATATTTAGCAAAGATTACAAAGAAATATTTAGAAATTATTCTATGCTACTAGGGAAAAATCTTTGCACTTTCGGTTATCGAAGTAGGATGAGCCCTTAAATTAAATTGTTTCCTTATCAGAGGTCGTAATTTTAATCACTGTTAAAGGGCAATGGTAATCCAGTGCCTATCATGTGTATCAGTCTCAATACCACAGCCACGGAAGAAGTAATGCTACATACGGCTACACTTGCAAGAAGACACATGGAAATTAGTTTCCTGGGCTCTAATTTGCAATCGCATAGCTCGGATCAGTGCGCTTGGTTAGATAACAAAATCCTTGCCATGACAAAAGGAGGCGTTTGCCTTATCGGTAATTGGGCTGACTTATCTCCATCGCAAAAGAAGATCACCTTAAATCGTAAGAACATTTCCATCAAACTCCTAGTTACCTAAGATAACATGTTTACCTTGAATTGGTGAAGTGAAACCCCTCTCAAATCAGCCGATTCGAATAAGACACTTTTTTTTAAGGGTATCGGATCGAAGTCTGAAACTTTGACAAATGGCTCGGGATCACCTAAGAATTATGCTGACAATTTAAAAATTTGGATTTTTTTAAACAATTTTTTAACTTAGCTCAGACCAGAACCAAAGTGGAGCTCTCGTATTTCGATCGATATCCAATTATTTAAGGCTCGAATATAAGAAGAGAATTGTCAGGACAATTGTACGACAATTTAGAACACTTTGGTAATCGAGAAACTCGCATTTGAACTAGATAAAGGCAAATAGTGTCTTCTTTGCTGCTGTGCTAAAGCGATGGTAATATAAGATCTCGGAGTAAAAGTTTAGTAGACACGGAAGTCACAGATGGCGCAGGGGGTCCCTCTGCAGTCAGTTGGGGCCTCAGAAAGCATGAATCCAGAGGATTTCTGGAGTTTCACTTCGATTTTTTTATAATTATTCATTCTTTACCGACGTCGATTTCATATTTCGACCGATATCCAATTATCGAAAGCTCGGATATCAGAAACGAAAGTGTCAGGACAATTGTACGACAATTTAGAACACTCTGGTAATCGAGAAACTCGCATTTGGATGAGATAAAGGCAAAAAAAGTGTCTTATTCGCTTCCGTGCTAAAACGAAGGTAACACGAGGACTCTAAGAGAAAATGTAGTTGAAACTAAAATCACAGATGGCGCAGGGTGGCACTCTGCAGTCAATTAGGGCATCAAAAACCATGAATCCAGGGGATTTGTGGAGTTTTACTTTGATTTTTTTATAATTATTGTACGAAAACAATATATGGATTATGCAATTTAGTACAATACCCAAAATAATTCGACACAGTTGTCGATATAAAAACGAACGTCGGCAACGTAGGTATTTAGAAAAATCTTTTTTGCCGACGTCAATCAACTTCCTCGACGTGTTTCACTTCACCTTAAATATGCATGACGTTATATTTAATTGATTTAAATTAGGTTTGGAACAAAACGCTGTTGAAACGAGCACAAAAATGAATGATCCTGCCTCGATCCAGTCACGGAGTTTAATTGGACCTGCCATATGGACCTTCTGGAATTATTTAAACAATGAAAAACAATGCGACACTCTTAAGCGACTAGCAAAGTTACTTCCAGTCTGTTATTAACGCTTTTTATTGGTCCTCGATGATCGATGCTAATGCAATTTAATGCATTCTTTTCTTCAGCGTGTTCGGTGCACCTTTTCTTGCACATCAAGATGATAATGAAGATTGCTTGAAATCACGTGTAGCATTGACGATCTCTAGAAGCAATGGAAAGGCGGAAGATTCCTTGTCTCGATATATTTTCTCCAATCTCAGCCAAGTATACTACCTCTAGAAAAAAATCTCACTGAAAGGAAGAAATATTTTTTTAGCGTCCAAGAATCACTACGTCAATTCAAAGGATAATTATATCACACAAACAATCGAATACAATCGAATGCAACATTTTCTTCGGAATTAAGACGATTTATTTCAGTGAAATAATTATTCCTTGAATTATAAAAATATTTCTTTGGTTCAATGACATTTTCTTTCTTAGCGCAATTTCTTATCCATGTGAAATTCTACAATCTCGATAGATAGTGTTTTCCCTTAAAATTATATTAATACAAATTTCAGAACTTGAACCATTTTAAATTTACATTCTAACATGCGCACATGTATTTGCAAATAAATGTTAATTTTCTTAAAATTTCAGTTCTTGGAGATAGTCAACAGCAAGAATGTATCTTTTGACGAAAAAGCAACATGTCTTTTACAGAATTATTTCAAAGCTTCTCGTCGAGCACGAGGAGACTCTCTTCCTACCCACAGCATTGAAATAATGTAAGTATTATTTATATACGAATTAATTAAGGTAAAGTGAAAATCCCTCAAATCAGTTGATTCGAATAACATACTTTTTTTTTAAGGGTATTAGATCAAACTGTCTAAAATGTCGGTACATGTCTCGTGAACACCTAGGAATTATTCTGACACTTTCAAATTTGGATTTTTGAACAAAATTGCTTAACTTAGTCCAGACCAGAACAGAAATGGCGTCGAGCTCTCATATTTCGATGGATATACAATTGTACGACAATTTAAAACACTCTAGTTATCGAGAAACTCGCATTTGAACGAGATAAAGGAAAAAAAAGTGTCTTATTCGCTTCCGTGTTAAAACGAAGGTATCTCGAGGCCTCGGAGAGGAAATTTAGTTGACCCTAAAATCACAGATGGCGCAAGGTGGCACTTTGCAGTCAATTAGGGCATCAAAAACCTTGAACCCAGATTTCTGGAGTTTTACTTTGATTTTTTTATAATTATTGTACGGAGACGATATATGGAATATGCCATTTACTATAATCCCTAATATAATTTGACACGGCTGTCAAAATAAATACGAACGTTGGCAACGTACGTTTTTAGAAAAATCTTCATTACCGTCGTCGATCTCATACTTCGATCAATATCCAATTATCCAAGGCTCTGATTTGAGAAACGAAAGTGTCAGGACAATTGTACGACAATTAAAAACACTCTAGTTATCGAGAAACTCGCATTTGAATGAGATAAAGGCAAAAAAAGAGTCTTATTCGCTTCTGTGGTAAAATGAAGGTATCTAGAAGCCTCGCAGAGGAAATTTAGTTGACCCTAAAATCATAGATGGCGCAGGGTATCCCTCTACATTCAATTAGTGACACAGAAACCATAAATCCAGAGGAATTATGGAGTTTTACTTCGATTTCTTAATAATTATTGTACGTAAACAATATATGGAGTATGCCACTTAGTACAATACCCAATATAATTCGACACGGCCGTCGATATAAATACGAACGTCGGCAACGTAAGTTGTTAGAGGAATCTTTTTTTCCGACGCCGATGAAATTTCTCGACATGTTTCACTTCACCTTAATTGAAAAGATATTGGAAATATTACGAAAATAAATATCATATTGAGTGTTGTTTTACAGGACCGCATTAGCCGAAGGACATGCCAGGCTATCTCTGCGAATTATCGTCACATACGAAGATATATTGGTAGTTATCTTTTTGTACGAACAATCATTATGCTATCTTTACGGGTGCCCTGGAGCTTTACCTCCGCTGATAACTGGTTATGAGGTAGAAAAAATTCACGAAGTAATGAATGCATTCGAAAATTGGCTCAAATGTTATCTCACAACTTACTTGGATTCTAACGACGAAGAGGATTAGCATAAATATTTGTACGTTGAAATTGTCATTTCAACTTGTGGGTCTTTTTAAGTTATGTAATATTCCCTAGAATTAAATTATAATATTCCCTAGAAGAGGATTAGCATAAATATTTATACGTTGAAATTGTCATTCCAACTTCTGAGTCTTTTTAAGTTATGTAATATTCCCTAGAAGAGGATTAGCATAAATATTTATACGTTGAAATTGTCATTCCAACTTCTGGGTCTTTTTAAGTTATGTAATATTCCCTAGAATTACAAACACGTTATTATGAACACAACTTCAAGAGTACGATCTAACAAGAGTAACAAAATTAATCAATTTCAGGTCACGTATTGTTTATTGACAATCGTACTGAAATAATATATCGCTAAGAAATAACAATTGGAAATATTCGGTATCAAAATTTGTCTGGAAAAATGACCTTATAACGCAGGTCATTGTTACAATTACAGGAGCATCGTACTTATACTTGACCGCTGCTTAGGTTGGCTTAATTCCTTTTTCTCAATATCAAAGATTTGACACAGCAACGAAGTTAAGGCGATGTGAAAGTGGCGTCGAAGAGATATTGTTTATAAAACTTTTCTCCCAATTCGGTTTACCGAATAGTTTGAAACTTTACAACGTGAATAGGTAGACTATAAGGAAGGTCCTGAAACTCATGAAATTTCAATTTTTTAACTATTTCTTCATGGATATTTAAAAAATGTGTCATAAAAAATGAAATTTCGTGAGGATCAGAACCTTCCTTACAGCCTCCACGATCACGTAAAATTTAAAATCAAAATCACACGTTTTACTCCCATAATGAAATAGCGACACGGAAATATTTCAAAAGTTTTGGTATTTGTTGATACCAAATGCACTGTCGGATAATAATCGTAAAGTAAAACATGTATTTTTATTATATGTTCATAAATTAAAAAATATAACTTCTCAGCACACTCAGTTCGGGGAAAAATTTCATGAAAGATCGACTGTTCAGATGCAATTTTCACATCCCCTTAATCAAGAGACACGGTAGCGTCTCAAACAAACTCATGGCCCTTAATGAGCTCTCACTGTCTCTTTACTCTAATATAACATTTATATACTTCACAAATCTAACGACAAATGAATAACGGACGACCTAATGTTAAATATTTACTACATGTGCGCAACGGCATTAACGTAAATATCCACATAACCTTATAATAAAATCCCGTCACTCGATGAATTCCGCGTTTATGAATTCCTAGGAATAAGAGCATTCACTTCCGGTTGTAAAAATTCAGATACCAAGGCGGAAACCATTTCGTGCTGGATGTCTTTTAATCGCGCAAGATCCCTGAAATGAAAAAGATAATGATTTCCTTAGTTTAGTACATTTTGCTAAATTATTTAGTATAAATAATTATAAATGTTCTGTAATCGCTCGTTTGGTAAGCGCATCATCGAAATGTCATCCAATTGCCCAAATGCCATCCAAAAAAACGATATATATTCTTACAAGACATGACAAGACAAGACAGGACAATTGCTGTACCTCGCCAATTTTTAAATATATCTTGACAAAAAAAATGATATATTAAGTTCAATAATTGTACTATGAAATCACGCTTCGGTTTTCAATCAAAAAATGCATTTTAGTTATGGGAAAAAATTCTTGAATTTCGCCCATGACAACTGCATGTAACCCCTTAAAAAATCTGTCGCTTGAGATATTCAGCAAGGATTACGAAGAAATATTTATAAATTATTCCAGGCTACTAGGGAAATTGTTCTAGCAAGAAGTGGCGCAAATTACTTACAAGTGGACATAAGAAAGCCTTAAGAAAACGCAACGAATGTGTACAGGGTTTGTCTTGAAAAGTAATGCGATTTAATCCTTTGAACACGGAGCCATTTCGACATATGGGCGAAATTCGTCTGACCGGGCAGGCAATATTGGACCAAACGTCGGGCGCCTGTAGGCGCTCTTAGTAGCCAAAGGGTTAACAGCAATCGGCCCTTAATGATGGAAATTATTTTCTCCGATTTCAGAATGAATTAGACATCACTCTGGTATTAGTCAACTCAGCGTTATTCTACGATTTATCGAATCGCATTGTTTGTTATGTGAAATTAACCATTTGTACACGGAGCCATTTCGACATATGGGCGAAATTCGTCTGACCGTGCAGGCAATATTGGACCAAACGTCAGGCGCTCTTAGGAGCTAAAGGCTTAATTGTGAAGCGACTATACATAAAAACTTACTTCTCTTCAGGCGAGCCGCACAATTCGCTGTAGTACTTAATTTTTGGCTCTGTGCCGCTAGTCCTCAAAGTCATAATTAATCCATTGTTAAACGTAAACGTAATCATCTGACTGGACTTGGAAACAGGCAGGGTTGCTACATTTCCAGGTTTGGTATTATCATAGCCCGTTGTCAAGTCTCGGATGCCCGTTATACGATATTTCCCGTTAAGGATGCTGTTTGGATACTGCAAACATATTTAACAGATCAAAATTATTAATGCATTTATTCATTCATTTTTCGAGTCCAGAATGGTCTCACCATTTTGGATCTTTTTTTTTTTTAATAAATTCGAATATAATCCTGCCTTAATACCAAGAAATACACATTACAACTATTTGAAATACTTGAAAATGTGAGAGTAAAAAAATTCCAAAAGAAAAAATTAAAAAAAGATGAAAAGAAGTTTCGAAAATAGACCCCGTAATCTAAAGGCGAAAATGAACATACAAATATGACGGATTCCTTCGCAATAAAGAGCGAAACATTTTTTAATAAATTAAATATACAAGGTGTAAACATTGAAAAATATGTAATAGGCTGTCCAAAATTATTGCGGTTTGTTTTGAAAAACGCTGCCCGTGAAATTTCATTTTTCGAAAAAAAGAAAAAAATCATTACAAAGGTAATGCAAATATTTCAAATGTCTGGTAAATATTTACAAAATGTACGATATTCCTTAGAGATATCCGAAATATTTGTTGAAAATCTCAGACGTATTTAATTTCAATAATTTATAGACATAGAGAAATATTTTTTAACTTATTAACATAATAAAAATACATTTTTTACTTTACGACTATTATCGGACACTTCATTTGGTATCAAAAAACCCGAGAAATTTTTCTAATATTTTCGTTCCGCTATTTCATTACGGGAACAAAACGTGTCCTTTTGATTTTAAATATTTTTAAAACGTTTATAACGTATTCGGCAGATAATATTAAAAAAATACTTGTATTAAAATGAAACGAAATGTTTTGTATATCCGGTAGAAAAATATTATGAAAACACATGGTGCTGATATTATATAAATATTATAGGGATAATATTCTAAAGTAAACGTTTTGCAAATATTTCAAACGTCTGGTAAATATTTACAAACTGCAGGATATTCTTTAAATATATATAAAATATTGTGCTATTAGGGGGACCGGGCCTCAAAGAGTTAACCGCACTTAGGACACCTGTGGAAGGTAAAATTAATAGTAATTATTTCTAAAGAAATATTAGACGCACCGTCGAATTGAAGATCACTCGACTTACGTTATCGTTCCCTCCGAGTCGACGTCGAAAAACGGGGAAAGGAAGTACAAAGACTGTACCATGGGAATTGCCAAAATGCCGAGCAGGAGCGAAGGGATGAGCGTCAGAAATCCAAAAAAGATAACTATCAAACCGTTCAACCAGTCGGCCTCCTTCGACATCCTCTTTCGAAAGCGCGACATTAAGCCAGCTTAAGAAACATACAAGAACAATTCTACTGAACACGAAGCATCGATTTGCCGCCAGAATCAAATCCATCGCCCCAACTTATCAGCTAATCCGCTCATTTTTCATAGAAAATCCCTCAAACGGATTTTCAATTATTCTCCGTACTAACAATAAGAATTTTATTAGTTCTTACTTTCCCAGACCTCTAAAAAAACTAGATAAAATTAGATGTTTTTTGTTATCATTCGAGTTTCAAATTATTCGGTGCACCCAGTTTGGATAAAAATTTCCTAAATATTTGGACGTTTTATTTATGACCTTAAGGTGATATGAAAGTGTGATATGTACATACCGAAGAGTCAAAAAATTTATAAAACTTTTCTCCAAACTGGGTGCGCCGAATTATCGGAAACTTTAACACGTAATAATGTAGGCTCTAACGAAGAACGCACGGCCCGTGAAATTTCATTTTTCGATGAAAAAAAATATCTTTTTTTGGTTCTTGTCCGAGATAAGTGGAATATTTTTTTCAGAAAAAGAAATGTCACGAGCAGCGCGTTATTCTTTAGGGCCTCCATGATCACATGTTAAAGTTTCAGATAGTTCGGTGCACCCAGTTTGGAGAAAATTAGTATAAATATGTAATGGATCCGCAAGCAATGAGCGGACGAGAAGAACGAGTTTGGAGTCTTTTAATTTCTATTACTTGTCCTTACAAGTCGGAATCTGGTAAAAATCTGTCTTTTCGAAGTTGAACAATTGCTGTTGCTTCGCAGAAAATTTGGAGAGCCAGGAGGAACGTTGGAGAAATCTATAACGAGGGAGAGAAAAGGCAAGTGATTCGTTAGAAACAAGGATCGTTGAGAAAGTACAAGATTTCGAGTTCCTAGGAAAAGAAATGGAATATTGGTTCGGTCGAAATTCTTTCGGAAGGCGCTCTGGACTTTAAAAATTTGAATAAGAGATAAGCCTTAGCTAACAGAATGCAAAAGTAGAAGACTTTGATAACGACCTTACAGCGGGATTTAGGCGTGTCATCAACAGATTAAGGTGAAGTGAAACACGTAGAGGAACTTGATCGACGTCGATGAAGAAGATTTTTCTAAATGCCTACGTTGCCGACGTTCGTTTTTATATCGACAGCTGGGTCGAATTATATTGGGTATTGAACCAAATGGCATACTCCACCTATCGTTTTCATACAATAATTATAAAGAAATCGAAGTAAAACTCCAGAAATCCTCCGGATTCCTGCTTTCTGGGGCCCTAATTGATTGCAGAGGGACCCCCCGCGCCATCTGTGATTTCCAGGTCAATTAAATTTTCACACCGAGACCTCGTATTCCCATCGTTTTAGCATAGAAGCGCATACAACACTTTTTTTACCTTTATCCCGTTCAAGTGAAAGTTTATCGATTACCAGAGTGTTCTAAATTGTCGTAAAATTGTCCTGACCCTTTCGATTCTCATATCAGAGCCCTCGATAATTGTATATCGATCAAAATATGAGAGCTGGACGTCATTTTGGTTCTGGTCTGGGCTGTTAAAAAATTGCTTGAAAAAGTCCAAATTTTGAATGTATCAGGACAATTCTTAGATGATCAGGAGTGATGTGTCAAAGTTTCGGACAGTTTGGTCCAATACCCTTAAAAAAAAGTCTTGTACTCGAATCGACTGATTTGAAGGGGGTTTCACTTCACCTTAAATGAAACAATTATTACTAATGGAAAATATAGCGGACATTACATATATTTTGACTTTTTGTTATGTATGTATCACGCTTTCATATCACCTTAAGACCCACAAAATTCTCATTCCCTCTCCACAAAATTCCCTTAACATCGAAATACTTATTGCGATCCCCTGCTGATGGGAGCCCTTTTGAAGGTGAAATTCACGAGCGATGATTCGGTTTTTCCTGGATTTTTCTCGATTTTCCGGAATTTTTCTCACTGTTCACTCATGCCGACTCTTCACCGACTTCCCTCACGCGCATCGATCATGGCCCGCCATTATTTGTTCGACAACTTGACCGTAATCTCCCGTAGATAAGAATCTGCCGAACCGAGTGCCTCGACTGCGACGCGAGGCAAGTTAGAGCTCCGATAAAACACCTTTTCATTTCTTTCCTTTCGATCGGTCGAGGCGCGACGTAATTCTTTCCTCGCTTCCTGTTACCGGTTGACCTTGGACCGAATGCACGCGTGTGCGAGTCAAACGTCCATGACGAGCCCCGCAATTCCCGTGGCCACGATCAAAGGATTTTGTCAAATCATTATCTGCCCTTTAATTAATCTATCATTAATACTAAACATACCAAGCGGGGTCAAATGACCCCTTTCAAAATTTACATTGAAATCGTTCATTCCTTGTTATTTCTTTCGCTCATATGACTTTCTGTAAATTCTTATATAATCTGATTATTCAATTGCTTCATTTCCCTTTCTTTCATTTTCTTTAATAATTTAAGAATTTCTTTCTAAAAATCAACGTTTATTTCATAAGGGATCAAATGACTCCTTTCAAAATTTACTTTAAAATCGTTCATTCCTTGTTATTCCTTTCGCTCATATAACTTTCTGTAAATTCTTATATTATCTGATTATTCAATCTCTTCATTTCCTTTAATAATTTAAGAATTTCTTTCTAAAAATCAACGTTTATTTCATAAGGAGTCAAATGACCCCTTTCAAAATTTACATTGAAATCGTTTATTCCTTGTTATTTCTTTCGCTCATATAACTTTCTGTAAATTCTTATATTATCTGATTATTCAATTTCTTCATTTCCTTTTCTTTCATTTTCTTTAATAAATTAAGAATTTCTTTCTCAAAATCAACGTTTATTTCATAAGGGGTCTGTGAGAACTATGATTCAAAGCGCCTGCGCAAGTGCGACACTAAAGTGCGCGCCGGATCGTGTGCGGCGCTGCTGTAAGAGGGAGCGCGGGTTTGAAAGAGTTTTGGCGGGTTGTTGCGGAAAAAGAATAGAATAGGCAAGCTCACTCAATATATATATNGGGTCAAGACAATTTTACGACAATTTAGAACACTCTGGTAATCGATAAACTCGCATTTGAACGGGATAAAGGCAAAAAAAGTGTTGTATGCGCTTCTATGCTAAAACGATGGGAATACGAGGTCTCGGAGTGAAAATTTAATTGACCTGGAAATCACAAAGAGACTCCAAAGACGAAACTGTTCAAAGCATACAAGAAATCTACCCTCAATTCTGCCGCAGAAGTAAGACAGTAATCGCAATCTGGATAACTTAACATAAAAACATTGAAGTAAACGAAATAGCAGACAAACTCGCAGGATTTGCAACCCTCGATAAAAAGGATCTGGAAAGAACCAACCATTGTCTCTAAATAACGCGAAAAGCTACTTCCGGAAAATAACATTTAAGAAGTGGAAATATAAATGCATTCTCTTGCAATCGATGTCGTAAGTTTGTTAAGGGTACAGTAAAATCCGTTCAATAACTCACATCATTACGCTATCTTTTAGGATGAATGAAATGAAAAGGGACAACTTCAAATCCCCTTAAAGTAGAGATAATTAATATTATACTCACCGAATTTGGTTCTCCTTCGTATTTCCTCAGTCGTTCGAAGATGGCTTTCACCGTATCCGGCTCGTGGCAAATCCAGTACGAATTTTCACTGATATGGTAGCCGTACCTGTTGTTTGAGTCAATATAAATGTTAGTAGCCATTAACTAAAATACCTGCCACTAACTTAAATCCATTAAAGTGAAATGAAACCCCCCTCAAATCAGTCTATTCGATTAAGACATTTTTTTAAGGATATTGGACCGAAACTTTGCCACATGACTTGGGAGTACTTAAGAATTATCTTGACACTTTCAAAGTTTGGATTTTCGAAAAAAATTGTTGACTTAACCAGAACCAAAATGGCGTCGAGCTCTGATATTACGATCGATATCCAATTATTGAAGGCTTTGATATGAGAAACGAAAGTGTCAGGATAATTGTACGAACACTTCTATAATCGAGAAACTCGCATTTGAATTGGATAAAGGAAAAAAAAAATGTCTTATGCGCTTCTATGCTTTAAAGGACATATAGTTGGCACTGCAATCACAGATGGCGCAGGGTGGCACTCTGCAGTCAATTAGGGCATCAAAAACCATGAATCCAGGGGATTTCTTTATAATTATTGTACGGAAACGACATCTGGAGTATGCCATTTGGTACAATGCCCAATATATTTCGACACAGCTATCAATATAAATACAAACGTCGGCAACGTAGGTATTTCGAAGAATCTCTTTTACCAACGTCGATGAAATTTCTCAACGTGTTTCACTTCACCTTAACTAAAATACCTGCGACGGTAGCAGAGGAAAGAAGCTCAATGTCTCAACTTACTCGTTGTAGATTTCCTCCAATTTGTCAAGAAGCGAGAAGCCAAATGTCTCCAAATATGCAGCCATTTCGGCGACTCGTAATCCCGCTCCAATCCCGTCTTTATCCAACACCAGGTCTCCGCACATGAATCCGATAGCTTCTTCGAATGCGAATATAACAGACTGCCCAGTTTTGATCAGTTCCGCAGCTTTATTGCCCATCCATTTGAACCCCGTTAACGTTTCCTAAAATTGATCGTTATCAGATTAATAATCAATAAGAAAAAAAATTACAATTACAACAAATATGATGATATGCGGCGTCATGAGATTTTAATGGAACAAAAAATTGGGCGATTTATGTAATTCGTCAAACCCCCTTATATGTATTTGGCTCGAAACTCTGCCGAGTTTCTTGATAAAGTGTTTCATATTATTTTCCAAGTTAGTACAGGAAGTTTTTAAAAACTTTTAGTTATATACCTTGGTTTTACAATTTTTGTTAACAAGTAAGAAGAAAGAATATAAAATAAATTTCTTAAGAAACTATTGTAATTCAGTGCACATCTCTTAATCGGCAAGTAGCTTTTTTATCTTGGACGTTAATATTTCAGCATTTCGAACAATATCTTACAGTAACTTCAATAGGAAATAAGAAACTATGATATGGGTATATTTATCTGTAAAAGTCACAGAATAAATGTAAAAGTATGAACTAATTAAAGAAGATACAAACCTCGAAACGAAAGCCCTCCTTTTTCGCCATTGATGCAAGTATTTTGCTAGAGACTGTTGAGGATATCATGCACGTGTTTTTCAGCTCGGTACCGGGATACCTAACTCGAATTACATGTATCATCCACCAGCCAAGTAATGCTCCAAGCTCATTTCCAGAAAATATATGCCACTCTGCACTGACAAACGAATCCGAGATCATTAGCTTTAAATAAATGTCACCTTTCAATATACACGATATCCAAAAGATGATTACAACTTTACAAAAGTACTCATCGACAAAGATAATTGTCGCTGAGATTTTAAAAATAAATAAATTTCACCTTGAATATACACAATATCCAACATATTCGAAGGATGATTACAGCATTACAAAAGTACTCATCGACAAAGATAATTGACGCTGAGATTTTAGAAATAAATAAATGTCTCCTTTCAATATACACGATATCCAAATGATGATTACAACTTTATGAAAGTACTCATCGACAAAGATAATTGTCGCTGAGATTTTAAAAATAAATAAATTTCACCTTGAATATATACAATATCCAACATATCCGAAGGATGATTACAGCTTTACAAAAGTACTCATCGACAAAGATAATTGTCGCTGAGATTTTAGAAATGAATAAATTTCACCTTTCAATATACACGATATCCAATTGATGATTAAAGCTTTACAAAAGTACTCATCAACAAAAATCGTTGTAACTTTGAGATTCTAGACAAAACTTATGATCCACATAAGCGAAAATTGATAAATCAATGTTTCATAGTCTACAGAAATAAGTTGGGATTTTCTCCGAACGCAGATGTGCCACCAAAATGGATTATGACGTTTCTCAAACTCACTTCTTTTTCTTGACAGCACAAGCTAATCTGTCAGCATCTGGATCATTGGCTAAAATAATAGTAGAGGCATTGGAATCTGCGGTCTGAATACTCAGATCAAGAGCACTTTTTCCTTCTTCTGGATTCGGAAATTTTACGGTTGGAAACTCGGGGTCCGGATCTTTTTGCTCTTCCACTGTGATGAACGGCTGAAAATTAGTTCCCCCTTAATTGTCAATGATTCAAGAATTAATAGTAGAATTTGAAATTACCTTAAAATTAGCTGCATGGAAAGCTTTGGCCATGAATTTATACCCGACTCCGTGCATTGCCGTGTATGTGAATTTTAATACAGTGTTTCGATTAACTTCAGGGTACAAGACATCGACTTTAAGCTTCTCGATATAAGTGTTAGTTAACTCTTCCAAGGGATCTTCATACAAAGGGTTTGCATAGATCTTGGAAACGTTCCAAGAAGATTCCAAAGGTTCCAAATTTTCGCAGATGTATTCCTGTATGTTCTTATCGTGTGGAGAAATAATCTGCACTCCATTATTCCAATAGACCTTATAACCGTTATCATCTTTTGGATTATGTGACGCAGTGACCATTATCCCTGCTGCAGCTTTGTACGTCAATATTCCAAATGGGATAAAAGGCGTAGGACAGACGTCAGAAAACAAATACACTTTGATGTTATTGTTTATAAGTATTGCCGCTGTCAATTCTGCAAACCTAAAGCATTAAAGATGTCCGTAAGAAGCAATAAAAATTATTTATTTCATTAAATAATTGTTTTAAATATTTTGTCTAGAGTATGCAATAAGAATCTGGATGTTATAAATTACTGATCCATCGAAACCTTTAAATGAAACCAATGGTTTCAAATTAATTGTCTATCGGGACGCTGCAATGTAATTGTAGTTTGATATATACAGTAAATAATTTGTATCTCTTATTTATAATTTTTACCTTAATTAAACTAGGTAAAAAAAACATGCAGTAATAATCTGGAAGCCATTACCAGCAAGCGTTGTGCAAAGACGGCACATGCTTGTTTACATGTAACTACATGAATTTCTTATCCGTTTCTGTATTTTTAACGGTTGTTAAAAAGTATAGGTTTACATTTCCTGGTTTCTATGGCAGAAGAGGATAAGAAAAGAAAACTGTTACATGTGAATACAAAATTGGTACACTGAAAGTAAAAAATTGTTTGAGTAATGTGATTTGGAAGCCAAATATTCAAATTAAAAACGATTCTCCACTCAATTGAAATCGACTCCAACAAAAGTGAGAAGGTAATTCCAGAAAACTAGGAAGTGTAGTTACGAAAGTTTTCCTCTGAATAAACACTAATATAACTAAGTGATAAATGTCTACATTCTGATTCCCCTGATGCTAACCTTTTGCTGTTGTGCCGTCCATCATATCCCACTATCACTCCTGAATCTTCCACATCAAAAATTGTATCCATCAAATATTTTGTAAGTCCTTGGGCAGTTTGAACGATAACTAGATCATTCATCTGACTATATCCTGGACCCATTCGACCTCTAAGTCCAGCGGTACCGAATTCCAGCCTTTTTAGAAATAAATCGGATAAAGTCTTCATATCGCCCTTGTCTCTGATGTCTCGAATCTCCTTCTCTGCTTCTGGATCCTAAAATTGATGTTAAAACAATGAATTTAGAAATTTTATCAATACAAATTTAGATACAATTTTAAAAGCTTATTTGAATGCTATTACCTTATTGCATTTTATCCAGTCATTAATTTTATTGTCTAATATTGAATTTCCAGTACAGATCATTAAGCGATATTGTTGAATCAAATCATAAAGCGCCATTGTTGTATCGTGAAGAACTCAGCTCCTAAAAATATACAACACAATCAGATAAACAATTTAAATAACCATACTTAAATCGTGATAATCTTATTCAAAAATATTATAAATGACACTGCAGGGAGTGCTACAGTTTATATTCAATACAATGCATCCATCTATGCAAAAAAAACACACAAAAGCTTAAATTTTTTAAAGTTTGTCTTAAAAATCTTGTTACATACACAAATATAAAATGTTGGTTTTTACCCTAAAAAAGTAACGAACGCAATCGTGCACAATGGACAATCGTATTGCCCAACTGGGTAATGCCGTAATCCTTGATAAGCTAAAATTCATGGCATTGAGGTCAGGTCGGGGTCAAGAAATCAACTAGAATCGAGTTACAAAACATTTTAAGCTTGTAAAATCAGAAATCAACGTGGAGACTCAACAATTAAGGCAAATTAACAAAATTAATAAATCCTATTTTACAATTTCAGGCTTCCAAATTTAACTGAGTTTTTCAGTGGTAATTTAAAATGCAACGAGAACTTGGCATCGATAAATTACTTATTTTTACAATGTAATGAAAAAATGGAAATTACAAATCCACTAAAATGTTCGCCGCGAGAAAATTGGTTAATTAATCAATAATAATTCATATATTAGAGCCTTGTCACAATCAAATATTATTCTTCAATTGTGTCTATGAGCGATATATTAAAACGATAATTAGTATAACCTAAAGTCACAAGTTGGGAACGAAGTACCGACAGCTTATTAATACATGTACCTGGTCCCCAGAATCGACGTAGCATTAATCTCGATAAATTATTCCTTATCTTGCTGATGTTTTAATCCTACTGAAGATTCAAATAACGAATTTGCGTCAAACAGCCATCAAAACAAATCCGGCATCCGGAATTGAACTACCGGCATTAAGGCGCATACTCAAGCTTTGAATTTACGTGGATGTAGGTTATATCAGAGATGAGTTGGGAGATTGCTCGCGGGCAGGGTCGCGCGATTATGGCGCGTTCGGCCACATGCGCGTTAGCATTATTTTTACCCGACTCGCTCGTCTATCATTTATTCCGTTAATGATAAATAAAACACTATGGACGTTATCACAATACTTATTATTAAACCCATTTGGCGTATATAAACTTTCTTTTATTACAACTTTGATAGAGCACACATTTTTGGCGGTAATTCCGTCGTTAGACTTTTTACTTCTTCTACTCATATATAACTACACGGCGGAATAAGGTGTATTTGCACGTGTCCTATCGGAGCGCCGCTTGCGGCGTTTGCCTGAACCGTGTATGCGGTACCGTTGTCCTAGGTGCTGACGCCACACGATCGCATCGTGTGCTGCCCTCTGGTTTCGTACGTTTGCTTTCACCGTTTTTTGCCCCCAAGGGCGGCGCAACGAATTTCTGGTAGGGGCCAACTCATCTCTGCCAAATCAGAGATGAGTCGAGAGATTCACGGGAAGGATCGAGCGACCGCGTCCTGTGCGACCTCCGGTGAAGGATGCAGACGACTAATGCACTTGCCACCTGTTACAACTCTGGGCAGCCGGAGAACCGGCTGAAAAAGTGAAGAACTCCTCACAAAAACTCCGAAACTCTGTATCTCCTCCGAAAAAAATCGCAACCACTAGCTCGAGAGATCAATTTAAACCGAACAACCTTCCCCATCAAGCTACCGTGGACGCAATTCGCATCGCGAGAAAAATTCACAAACATCCTTTAACATATTTTAACATCTTCTACCAACAAGTGCAGCAAGCTCGATTTCGATTAACTGCCCATGATGATTTTATAAAAAATGGCTGCTTCCAGGTGATCCACCTAAACCTGCAAAGGGGCACAAAAGTACAGGTAAAACGGAACATTGAAGAAACACCAGTAAGTCGCCAGATTCTCCGAAGTGGCCCACCTAAAGCTGAAAGGGAACCAAAAGCACAAACGAAACCATTGGGAAAGCGAGAAAGAGACGGTGATACAAGAGCTAATAACTTACTAAAGTTACCATTAACCTGCTCATCTCTGTCGATACTTCCCAAGGCAAAGACGCGGAATCTCAGAAATAAGGAATCGGGGATTCACAGAAAGCCCGCCTTTCAGTGGTTAACATAAATGTCGTCACATTGCATGCAGATGGCGCCACATCTGCAAAAAAAGCATCCATGTCTACCAGTGTATGCGTTGGAAACTTCCCCACAAGGCAAAGCGTAGAATCTCAGAAACAATGAATCGGGGATTCACAGAAAAGCCGCCTTACAGTGGCTAACATAAATGCCGTTTCATCGCATGCAGATGGCGCCACATCTGCAGAAAAAGCATTCATGTCCACCAGTGTACGTGTTCGACACATAATTCTTCCCCACGAGAACAAAGACGCATAATCTCAGAAACAATGATAATGAGTGTGATCAGCTTTAATTTACAGGGCATCAATTTATGACTCGCAATGAGTTATAAGTAGTAATAATAATGGTAATATTATAATACAACTTCGCTCGGATAAAAACACACATATTCGTCTAGCACATTTATATCGACTAAAAGCCTGCCAGGACGATACTATTTAATGCGACTAATTTTTGCTGTTAATATATCTCTCCTTAAAAACTCCTACGATCCATCCGGAGGAACCTACGAGGTTTAAGTGAAAAAGTGACTTCGCTTTGTCCCGGTAGCGTGAACTCTCCATTTAGCGAGAAAGGGAGAAAAAAAGAAAGAAAGAACAGGGACAAAAAAAGCAAAGAAAGACGGGCAATTCCCTCTCTCTCTCTCTTTTTCTCTTCCCGAGTCGACATTTTGGGGAAAACGATCACCGGCCGAGGACGGTGATCCAAGCCACGGCGAACGCTGGTGGATTAAGGCCGCCATAAACGCCACAGCGTGGTTGGGCAATTAATTTAATGCGTATCTCGTCATATTAATTCAACCTATCATAGTTCAACCAATTCTTTTCATCCATTAGTCTCTCTCGAGGAATATCAAATGCGGTCGGACACGGAGGCTCGTTCGTCCTTGAAGCGTCCTCAGGTCGCAGAGTCGGGAAAAAGTCGAGCGAATCGCGGATTCCGCCCGGCGAGAAGTGCGCGCTCGCATAATCGTGTGAGTATAAAAGAGAGAGCCGGTCGACAAGTTCGCAGCGATCGTTCCGAGTGATCGTCGATACGGAAAGGCACTACCTCCGCGAGTAGCGTCCGAGCACTGATCCATATACTAGCTGAATAGTTCATTTTTACGAAGAGTTACGCGACGAGCTTAAGGCACCCCAGTGCCACTGAATGTGAATGCGGTACTACTGAAATATACAGGATGGAAGTCACGGTTTATACAGCGCTATACTTGTTGAAAAAGGAACTGAAAAGTCCTGTACGATTTTTTCCTACAGTGCATACATTTCCTGTAATAACTAATTGAAGCATGGGGTCCTCTCCTGTATGCCTTCCGTTGGAGACGCGATTGATTGGCTGTGCTTTAATTAATTATTACAGGAAATCTATGCACTGTAGGAAAAAATCGTACAGGACTTTTCGACTCCTTTTTCAACAAGGATAGCACTATATAAACGGCGACCAGTTCTGTTACACCCTGTATGATAACTGCATAGCTGATTTGCTTTATACGAAGAGTTACGCGACGAGCTCAAGGCACCCCAGCGCCACTGAATATGAGTAGTGGAACCACTGAAACATATAGCAAACTGGAACGCTCGTCATGCTTAAGGTGATGTGAAAGTGGCATGAAAAAGTTCTCGTTAATGAAACTTTTCTCCAAGTTGAATGTACCGAATCGATTCAAGCTTTACAATATAAATATGGAGGGTATAAGGAAGATCCTGGCACTCATGAAATTCCAACCTTTTCAAGAATTTGTTTATACATATTTCCAAAATTGTTTGTAAAAAATGAAATTTCGTGGATGTCAGAACCATCTTTGTGACCTTCACGTTCACGTTGTAAAGTTTGAAACGACTCGGTACATCCAGGTTGGAGAAAAGTTTCATGAACAATTGACCTTTCAGATGCCACTTTCACATCCCCTTAACAATACACGATGAGCTTGTTTAAAAGCGAGATAGATTTGGATGTCCCTGCATCCTTGTCGCACGAAGTTCGGAAAGCATTTCTCCGAGAAAGATGAAACGACGGAGGACTCTTCGACACAGTTCGATTCCAAAATTAACCGATGCGTGCGCACGGTTTATATCGTCCGAAACGAAAATTTAGTATCAATCGCAATTGCCATTGTGCGGTGGGAGTGCCAAACTTAATCTGTAATTAGACTGTACAATGGCGGACATGAATGCCTCCCCTGCAGATACGGCATCCCCTGTGTAGGATGGGAGGGCATTGATGTTTCCCAGTGTACAATGGCGGACATGAATGCCTCCCCTGCAGATACGGCATCGCCTGTGCAGGTTGGGAGGCATTGATGTCTCCCAGTGTACAAAGCTACGCCAGCGGGCGTTCCAGTTTACTACATATGCAAAGTGTCTATATATTTGGCGCGAGACTCTACCGAATTTTCTGATATTTCAATGAGCGGTACCAAGCGACTACCATCTGCGTATGTGCAGAAAGAGCTGCAATGTTTTGGAGTTTTCCAGTAATCATACCGCTACTCCTTTGGAACGACGCGGTGTTTCCGCCGCATATGCAAATTCTATGATATTAGATGACGTGCTCATAATCCGAGGCGCGTGGTTGCTTTAAAAATTGTCACGCTATTTTGTGGGGCACAGCTATATCCAGGTAGTATGTAGATCAGTGCGTCTAAGCAATCACGGCGCAATGTATAGCCCGTAAAACCTGATTTAGATATATCCGTATCATATCCGTGCCATATCCGTAACATATCCGTGCCATATCCGTACCATATCCGTGCCATATCCATCCAGAACATACGCACGCTGTTATGATGATGTTACGCCAATTTTAGACGAAGAGGAAACCATTTTATGTGAAAATGTGAATCCATAAAGTTTGAAAAATGAGAAAAATCGACTACTTCTCCATCGTACTCCTCGCTCCGGGATTTATCGGGACCGGATCCAGTAAATCGCATTAATAATTACGCAGATTCAATCCTGGGCGTCTCGATCGACCCTTAAAATTTGACTTACTGGGTTTGGCCCTGATAAATCCCAAATTTCGACCGCGAAGAAGACGTAGTCAAAGACGGCGAATTTGCAACGTTAGGCCACACACCAAAGACGCAAATACTTAAAGAAGCGTTCAATTCACCTAGTTTATATCACTTTCGGCGCACTGATACTGATATGGACTGACGGATACGGATACTGACATGGAAATAAAACCATAGCTAGCTCTTCAAGGGCCCTGTGCCAGATATCATTTTGATATTTTTTCAAGTTACATCTCAGAGCCCTTCATCTGTTGCGCTTGTTTAGTTACGCCATTACAGAAACGTTATGAATAGCCCAATATAATTAATATAAATGTAAGAAGTCGTTATTTCCATCAGTGCACGGATATGTCTAAATCGGCCTCAAAGCCAGGTTCACACCTGAGCACGAACGCGTACACTGGGAGACTTTAATGCCCTCCCATCCTGCACAGGCGATGTCGTATCTGCAGGGGAGGCATTCATGTCTACAATGTACACTGGGAGACTTCAATGCCCTCCCATCCTGCACAGGCGATGTCGTATCTGCAGGGGAGGCATTCATATCCGCCATTGTACAAGGCAAAGAGAGACGAAGCGAAATCCTTGTTTGTATCATTTTTAGTCTACGAAAATCATTTTATCATTTGAGGCAATTCAAAAGCATCTTGACAAACAATACACGTCCACATTTGTATGCTCACTTTTCTTGCCTTGTACACGTTCATGCTCACATGTGTACATAGCTTACGGGGGTACACAGATTTGCGCGATTAATTAATAATGCATTTCACGGGGTGCATTATACGCAAACTAAACAAACAAAATATTCGCCTGTAATGTATTATTATCGCTACTTTAAAGATTAAGAAAAAAGATAGAGAAAAGTTCATCATAGTCATTATTTTGTATCGGATCGTTGAAGAAACGTGTGCATTACGTGGAGCGTTAATGACGTACATAATTTCAAGTAAACTATTTGTTAGAAATAAATGCCATTAAGTAAACCCGGGAGTATCCTTGTATCTACGTACTGAAATTTATTCCCCATCATTGAACATGTATAATCCATTTTATTTACTAAAAAAAGACGATTTTTCTCATAAAAAATTTCCTTCACCTAACGTCTTCATCCGTAAATGCGAAAATTTTCGTTGCAAAATATTCCCGAACGCGTTGGATACGGACATAGACATTGCTTACATTTAATAGCGTTTATTTATAACAAAAAGTTTACTTGAAATCATATACACCAATAAAGCTCCGATGTTTTAGCGATTCACGTTTTTCCAACGATCCAATATAAATACAAAATAATGACTACGGTCAACTTTCTTTATTTTTAATAATCATTATAGTAGCAGTGACGACATACTACAGGTGAGAGTATTTCGCTTGTTTAGTTTGTTTACAATTCAATTCGAAAAATTGTGAAGCTGATATGAAAGGGTCATTCTACATATATAGAATGTTTAAGTATTTAAAAAACATTTCTCCAAATTGGGTGCACCGAATAATTTGAAACTTCAGCACGTGGTGCTGAACGAATTCCTTTTTGATAAAAAATTTGTCCTTTATCCCAGACTCAAACCAAGAAGACATTTCTTTTTTTTTCCGAAAAGTGAAATTTCATGAGCACCACGTTCGGTGCATTCGGATTGGAGAAAAGTTTTATAAATACTTTGAAGTTTCATATATACAAAATGACCCTTTCATATCACCTTAAGACCTGGTCGTGTCGAACCTACGTACCCCCTTAATAAAAGAAAAAAGCGGTAGAGAAAAGAAAACGGAACAACGGAGTCGATATCACATTAGGTCGAAAGAAGCCTGACGATTCTGGCACTCGCGTCGCTGATATCGTCGGACCAGCCTGTACATCGTTCTATAACAATTTACATCGAAACAGATATCGTCCAGTTCATGAAGTAGTATAAGGAGACATAACGCGAATGTTCGGTTCCCCAGAAAATAGCCTTGTAATCGGGACCCATGATTTCGGATGTTTTCTGATCTAACGATGCGAGCGCTACTTGCGGAAAATTGGGGAACCCCACTCCTGTATATCCAAAGCATTTCCTATCAATGTAAATTACCTAAATGCTTCTAATTTTGCAATTAAGATCCGTAAGGTGAAACGATAACCCGCGGATATACAGAATGTAACGTTTTTAACGTAAAAAAGACCAGCAGGCCCGCAGCAGACGATAATTTTTAATTGCAAAAATTCACCGAGGCGCTCTCGGCCCTAGATGAAAAATCATCTGAAGATCTTGGACCCCTAAAACGGGGATGATTTCAATATATGGCGTTGTATCTCCTTATACTTCGTGATTTATACCATGAAGTGGTATAAAGAGACATAACGCGAATGTTCGGTTCCCAAGAAAATAGCCTTGTAATCGGGACCCACGATTTCAGATGTTTTCTGATCTAACGATGCGAGCGCTACTTGCGGAAAATTGGGGAACCCCACTCCTATATATCCAAAGCATTTCCTATCGATGTAAATGACCTAAATGCTTCTAATTTTGCAATTAAGATCCGTAAGGGAAACGATAATCCAAGGATATACAAAATGCGTTGTTTTTAACGTAAAAAAGACCAGCGAGCCCGCTGGCAGACGATAATTTTTAATTGCAAAAATTCACCGAGGCGCTCTCGGCCCTAGATGAAAAAATCATCCGAAGACCTTGGACCCTTAAAGATGGAGGATTTCAGTACATGGCTTTGGATCTCCTTATACTACTTCGTGGTCCAGCTGATGCATCTTATCGCGGTATCTCGCCCACGGCAACGACACTCCCCGGCGTCCAAGTAGTACGGTAAAGAGTCCTCGTATGTCGTTCCTTTCATCATTTTTTGCGCCTTTCGTCGTACACGTTACATCGAGACAACGCCGAATAGGGATAGGACACGCCGGTGAACGCAAACGCAAGTGAACATCACATCGACCCTCGGTACAATCACACGAATATGGAACCTTAGTCCAAAATCAATGAACCCTTTGCCATTCGAGTTGCCTCTCCAGCACAAAGGGTTAAACGTCGACAATACGGCGATTCATTTTTACACCAACGTTTCTATCGCAAGATTCTCCTAACATTACTGTTCCAGATCATCGCATACAATCCCGCTCAACGAAACGATCGAAATTTAAATTCACAACCATAGAATAATGCAAGATTTCGATGGGACAACGGCGACCGAACGCATGGACGCTGACAAGACATCGGAAATTAGAGAAGGATCAGACATGGCACGGAAACGTGGCGTTAAAGTTCCGACGAAAGCGGAGGATACATTAGTTCAGGGATTAAATTCTAAAGTGAACTGAATGACGTCAAGGAATATTCTCTCAATGTTGGATATGGTGTACAATGGCGGACCTGAATGCCTCCCCTGCAGACACGGCATCGCCTGTGCAGGATGGGAGGGCATTGATGTCTCCCAGTGATACATTAGTTCAGAGATTAAATTATAAAGTGAACTGAATGACGTCAAGGAATATTCCCTCAATGCTGGATATGGTGTACAATGGCGGACCTGAATGCCTCCCCTGCAGACACGGCATCGCCTGTGCAGGATGGGAGGGCATTGATGTCTCCCAGTGATACATTAGTTCAGAGATTAAATTCTAAAGTGAACTGAATGGCGTTAAGGAATATCCTCTCAATGCTGGATATGGTGTACAATGGTGGACCTGAATGCCTCCCCTGCAGACACGGCATCGCCTGTGCAGGATGGGAGAGCATTGATGTCTCCCAGTGTACACAGTCTGAATGGGGGCGATCCGTTAAATATAAATACTTCTGTTAGAAATGCGTGTGAAATTATTTGTATGACCGGAAACTTTACGTTTTCGCGTCATGCCCGATCAGTATAAATTGATCTTTAGGTCGACACGGACCGACAGGAACCGGTGCCAATCTGACAGAACTTTGTAGATCGATTCACCCTATACATATCGGTGCCGATCCGACAAAACATTGTAACATGCCTCTCAATGGCTGTTCAGGCTGTTCATAGGGAGGATAGCGTGAACAGTGCCATGAAACGAAGCTTTGTCAGGTCGACACCAACACATCGGATACTGTGTGTACACCTTAATACTGTACCTACAGTACAGGCTAACTGATCAGACCAGATTAATGCCGACAGAAATGAACGTATCACTTCTTACGGACGTGTTCACATTTCATCGAATCTGATTTGATCTGTGTAGCCACATCCGTATATAATACGTTCCTTTTTGTCGGAGCTGATCAGGTCTGATCCACTGTCGCCACATCCTAACACGCGTTTCGATGCAATTGTTTACACCATTGTTTATCCAGCACCGACAGAACTCGTGAAACGCACCAGGTACCATGAACAGGGTCACTGAACCATATAAAAAATTCCGTGTCGGATCGACCCCGACATATGTCGGCTAGGTGAATCCACCTTAAGGTGATGTGAAAGTGGCGTCAAAGAGGTCTGGTTTATGAAACTTTTCTCCAAACTCTACCGAATCGTTTCAAACCTTACAACGTGAACATGAAGGCTCTAAGGGAGATCCCGATACCCATGAAATTTCATTTTTTTAAATTTGTTTATAGATATTTTCAAAATTGTACTTAAAAAATGAAATTTCATGAGTGTCAGGATACCCTCCATATTTACATTGTAAGGTTTGAAGCGATTCAGTATGCCCAGTTCCTAGAAAAGCTTCATGAATGATTGACCCTCCAGATGCCACTATCACGTCCCCTTAAGGGGATATGAAAGGGTCATTCTACATACATGTATAAACGTGAAAATATTTATAAAACTTTTCTCCAAACTGGGTGTACCGCATAATCTGAAATTTTAACACATGGTTATGGAGGCCCTAAGGAAAATCCCAATGCTCGTGAAATTCCACTTTCCGAGCCAAAAATGTCTTCCTTTTGGTTCTTGTCCGAGATAAATACAATTTTTCTTTCATAAAAATGAAATTCCACGAGCACCGCGTTCTTCGTAATCTCGTGAGGAATTTTCAAATGATTCGGTACGCCCAATTAGGAGAAAAGTTGTAGAAATATTTGGAACTTTCGGTATGGCGGTATGATATACATGAGACTTTCATATCACGACTTATCACGCTCTAACATTTGCGTCCTTGCCTTTGTTCTAAATCGGTCTGCGTCCGCCGAGCGTGGCCGGCCCATTCTTGGAGTTGCGGCGGCGCCGCCGCGAGGAGTCCCCTCGCGCCATCTGGCCGAGAGTCTCGCAAACTAAGGCCCCGCAATCTCGACCGAGCCGCGTGGGGGTTCCCCTCGGCGACGGCGCCTCGGGCCGCGATTCTAAAGTACAAACTGGGAGAGGAGAATAGGCCCCGCGGTTAAGAATATTCACCCAGGGCGAATACGACAGTAGTCCGAGTCACAGGGAGATCGGCCAAGCCGTGTCCCTCTCTTCCACGCACTCACACACTTCTCTCTAGCGCTCGTCCCTTGCACACACGGGTGACCGGTAAGGCGAGGCCACGCAGACCCCGGAGTCCATGAAATAGCATCGCCGAGCAGGCATTCTCACGTATCCTCTTTCCCCTTTCGTTCTCTTTCCCACATCATATCCACAACGGAAATTCTCTCGGGCTCTCCCTCTCGCGCGCATCCTATAACAGACAAACAATCACCACGTCTCACCGTCTCATCTCCTCAACTAGGGCGTTATAAGTATTTTACATTCGTCAGCTTGTTTTTCTTTTTTTCCTTTTTTCCCCCGTTTTTTAATAAGTAGTTAATCAGTAGTAGTAGTAGTATGCATTCGCCGCGTCGCGACGATCAGGAATACGAGTCGAGAGAAGAGTCTCTCTTTCTCTGTTTCTCTCTTTCTCTCTCTCCCTTTCTCTCTCACTTTCTCTCTCTCTCTTTCTCTCTTTCTCTCTTTCTCTTTCTCTCGACGAGCGCGACGCGGTGGTCGTGCTCGCGGCTAGCTCCAGGTGGCGCTCGAGTCGACGGTGGCGGCGCTGGCAGTGGCGGCGAGAAGGGATCGCGGCGGCTTCCGGATAGTTTTCTTTAGGCGGAGGCGTCGTCTTTCTTTTTTTTCCTTTTTTACCGGCTTCGGGGTGACCGTACGAGGCGTATCGAGGGGCAAACGCGGAACAGAGGCTACCAGAGTTTTTCTCCTTTTTATTTAGACAAAAACGAAGGGACGGGTCGGCTCGGCGGGGCCGTCTGGGACTCAGTCCTGCATTTCCTCGGGCATCTCGTGAGGATTCAGGATGCCCGGCACCGCCATCTGCTGCCTCCTCTTGTCCTCCTGAGCCGCTCGCAAGGTGTTTTCCCGCTCCTCTAGGTACAGGTCCGAGTCGTCCTCTCCCGTGTACTCCTGGGGGGCACGAAGGAATCTCGTTAGTAATTGGCACACTTTAAGATGACATGAAATCCCCCCCAGTCAATTAGACACTTTTTTAAGGGTACTGGACCTTACTGTCCGAAACTTCACTTGTGAGCACCCAGGAATTATCCTGACACTTTCAAAGTTTGGATTTTTTAAACAAATTTCTTTACTTAGCCCAGACAGGACAAAAATGACGTCCAGCTCTCGTATTTCGATCGATATACAATTATTGAAGGCTCCGATATGAGCTACGAAAGTGTCAGAACAATGGTACGACAATTTAGAACACTCTAGTTATCGAGAAGCTCGCATTTTAACGGGATAAAGACCAAAACAGTGTCTTATGAGCTTCTAAAAATTTAGTTGACACTAAAATCACGGCGCAAGATGGCGCCCTAAATTCAATTAGGACATAAAAAACAATGAACTCGGGGGACATCTGGAGTGTTACTTCTATTTCTATATAGTTATTGTACGGAAACGACATATAGGGTATGCCATTTAGTACAATACCCAATATAATTCGACCCAGCTGTCAATATAAAAACGAACGTCGGCAACGTAGGTATTTAGAAGAATCCTTTTTACCGACGCCGATTAAATTTCTCGCCGTGTTTCACTTCGCCTTAAAATTCTGTATGCGTCTTTGGAATGCGATCTGACTTAGATGGTCTCGCCATATCGTGTTGTACAGCTATTTTATGTAATATGAGAAACAGAAAAAAAATTCAACCCCTGTTCCTTCGCTCTCAATGTAGCTGCTTCTACAAGTAGATCGGTTTGCGGGGTCCCTATAGCCGACGTCCATGATGGTGTTTATCGACACGATAATCTACACTCGCAGGGATAATCTACGTCTGGGAATACATCCACACTCACCCGGATCTGAACAAGGAAATCTCTGAGGTGCTCCTTGAACGCCGGAATATCTTGATCGAGGTTGAACAGGCCTTGAACTGTAATTTTGATCTGGTTGTCCGTTAAATGAGGAAATGCTGCTTTGAGCAAGCTGGCAACAAATTCCTGAACGTACAACATGTTGTCGGTCATGGGGCCTAGTGGTACCTTGATCCTTCCCAACTCGACCAGTGTAAACATATATGCCAAAATAGTTGCGTGCATTGTCAAACCTGCGCCAATGAAATGCAATTCATTAATTGAATGTAACTTACTTAAACGCACAAGGAATGAAGCATATCCGCAGATAACATGAACAATTCTCATTATTTTAAAACCTCCTCACTCGATCTTGGATCGACGCGTTAAGGGGGAATGGTACGTTTAAAAAAAGCCCGAGTTGACCGTGCTGCCACGTAACGGTGAGCAGGGGCAACACTAGTGACGTATTTTGATGTCAAGCAGCCTTATTCCAGGAACGTCGAGCGTAAGAGTAACAGGGTGCCAAATCGGGAATCGGCCAAAAATTTCATACTTAACGTAAAGAAATAAAGACATTTATAATGAAGCAATTCATTACAAAACAGATATCTATTGTACTACGCAAGAAAAGAACTCGATATTTATAAGTTGTGCGCAATTCCACGAAGCATGTACGTATTGCATTGAATGGAAAATTCTACAAAGGTCCCGATAAGGACGATCATGTAGCTAGCTGTTTCTGCCAGTCGTCCATTGCGCATCTTCTACAGCGCATAACGTCACGACGTACAACTAGCGCTCGTGGTGGAAATTCGCTTAAGTTTTGTGCAAGGGAAATGTCCTCGTTGACGGTTTCGCATATTCGCCCCCAAAAATGTAGAATTCTGCTATTTAATGGAGTTTCCCAGTAATATGGGGTAAAGTTGACGAGGGTACAACTTTCCATGCGTAGCGCTGTTTTTTATTATCATCAGTGGTTCCGTGTAAAAGTGCCATGAGCCTTGAACGAGGAACGACACAGGCCATGTTGGACCGCCATGACAGATTCGTAGGCTATCATTATGAATTTTTACTCATTATTTGTATTTTTTCTGACAAATAATTGAAAAATCTGGCTCCACAGGGAAAGTTATATTTTCAAAAGGCTATGATTTCATCCATTCGAGTTATTCAAAGTACATTATGTACAGACATTTTTGGGTGCGAAGTTTCCTCGCTTGTAGCTTTCGTAGGTGCGACACCACACACAGAGAAAATGATGTACCATTCCCCCTTAATTTCACTAATTTCATTAATCCGAAAACTGCAATAATTAGTTTTTCATTTGAAAGAGTCATTAAGGTGATATGAAAGAATCAGCCTAATATATCTAAGAAGTCAAACCGTTGGGGAAAGTATTCTTCTAATTGGGTGCACCGATTCGTTTCAAATTTTACCACGGGAATATGGAGGTCCTAAAGTAGGTCCTGAAACACATGAAATTTCACATTTCACCAAAAATTGATTTATTTATTATGGACTAGAAGCAACATGGCGTGGTCCGGGCACGTTTTCGACGTTTTACGCTTCATGGAGGGTTAGAATCTAAAATGAAGAGTTTCAGGACCTAGTTCGATCAATTTTGAATACCGTCGAACTGGAATATTACGGAGTCAAATGGGAAAATATGGAATATACTTTCACCAACGAGTGCAAGAGAATGCTTGCTTGTCCCGGGGCTAACGCGTGTTTTAGAGCAAAAATTTAGTTGCAGCTAACCGTCAGAGATGGCGACGTTGGTCCTAAACAGTCGTTAGAAAAATGAATTGACAGGATTTCGACAGTTTTACATCGATCTCTTTATCATTATATTACCGAAATGATATATGGAACACTTCATTTCTTATAATTTTCAACGTAGACTGTAAAGAACTTCAACATAAATATAAATGTCGGTAACGCGACGTCCCAGCTTATGATACCACTTGAGTATTCAAAACGACGTTACCACCAAAAAGGGTACAGATGAATTTTAATTTATCGGCCTGTATTAAATTTCTCAGCGCCTTTCATATCATCTTAAAAGCCTATACGTTTAACATATTCTGTACCAGTGTATACTTTGTACCGAAAGTATTAACTCGTCTTATGAACTTGCAGTTGACGAGCAGTTAATGCAGAAACTTATCGACAAAATAAGCGCCGATATTCCGGACTCACCAGCTGTATGAGATGTGTCAGTAACTACGCTAAATACATGCTGTAGAATGTCTGTGAAGTAGGTCTGGTAGAAGCTTTGAGCAGCCTGCTCCTCGTGCTCGATATTCTGCAGTAGCTGATGTAGGATTTGCAATCCCGTGTCGGCTACGTTCCTCATGGTGTGCTTGAAGGCCCATATTATGGAGTCTAGGACTAGTTTGAATTGTGCCGGTGGAATGAAAAGGAACGCAGGAAAACAGTGAACGTTCACAGCCTGTTGAGACGTAAAATCCAGTCATCACGGGACACGTAGAGAAAATGAACGAGATCTCTCCACTACGCGACGACCTATCGTTATACCTGCAGTAGTAGGAAGAAGTTTGTTCTGTGTTCCGGGAATTCTTCGAAGTCCTTGTTGATCATCTCGAGCGTGCACTCGAACACGGCATCAAATATTTTTGGTACTTCACTGGTTATGTGGTTCTGGAGTTTATTTACTATTGTGGCCATAGTACTGAGCACCTCTGGTTCTCTGGCGCAATGAACGTGCGTCTTCTGGTAGTCTAGCAGCACAGCATCCAATAAAGGCGGTATAAAATTCTCTAACACCTAGAAGGAATAACGAACACGTCAATCACTAATTATGGTTTGACCAATGACGAATTGCCAAGACATTTTTCTTTCACCAAGTTTAGGGACGCTATTCGCTCCAATCGCTAGTACACTCACCATTTGATGATCATTCGATCGGCTAACCCAATCGGAGATTAACTTGAGTGTTTCTTTCTTGACAACCCTCATGCTTTTAATCAATGGCTGTTTCATAACAACCTCACCATTCAATGCGATAGCCGCACTTATATTCTCGCTCATAACCTGTTAACGAATACATATAATATAGCAGATAGAGAACAATTTTACAGCGATGAGAAAAATACCTAAATCGACGTTAACCCTTTAACCACGGCTAAGTTGGACGTGAAGATTTACCGTCTGTATAAATAGCTTCACCGCGGTGGGCAATATCATGAAGTAGTATAAGGAGATCTAACGCCATGTATTAAAATCCTCCCCACTTTAGAGGTCCAAGATGTTCAGATTATTTCCGATCTAGGACCGAGAGCGCCTCCTCGATGAAATTTTGCAATTAAAAATTATCCGCCTAGCGTATTCGATAGTTTGTATAACGTTAAAACATCATATTGTGTACATCATACGTGGATTATCGTTTCACTTTGCGCACCTTAATTGCAAAATTAAAAGCATTTTAGGTCTTTTACGTTGATGAGAAATGTTTTGGATATGTAGGAGTGGAGTTTCCTGATTCTCCGCAAGTAGCGCTCGCATCGTTAGATCAGCGAAAATTTGAGATCATGGGGCCACTTTCTGCGAAACCGACCATTGGCGTTATGTCTCCTTACAATACTTCATGGGTAACATTTAATATGAATACGATATTCATTTCTCACTTTGCATGGGAATAAAGGGGGCCTCTATAGTGGCGCTTCGTAACTAAAGGGCTAAGTAAAATCGCAACGGTACGAAGTACATTCGCCATTACCTTGTATACATTTAACATATCTAAATATATCCTTCCTAACTGCACCACGTACGGATGGCCAATGGCTTTGCAAGCCCTAACGTTTGTCTTCAAGATGCTCGCGAGCTGCTTGACAGCTTCTTGGTCCTTCAATACGTCGACATTCTGCAAAGGACAGATTTTTTACGGTCGTAGAAAATGTTTATTTTAAGTTAACTCGAAATTGCTACTCCGCATAGACTCCGATTAATTACTTTGGCGGCTTGGCTGATGATATCGTCCCACACTTGGTTGGGCAGCAGCATGTACTTGTCTATAAGCTTTTCTTGAACCACGGTATCAACCTGAGCGTTTATCATGTAGCCCACAGCCTCGTAAAATGTATACACCTGATGGTTGATGGAAAAAGGAGACGCCATTATTCCCAGTCATTCTAATCGGAAACACCTTACCTACGGTAGGGAGATCTCTTACCTGTTGTGTTTGCAAATCACAAATAATACTACTGATATCCGATAGGATCTCCTCTATGAAGGGTACTGCCTCCCCCACCTGCACCATCACGAAATGCCGCCTACACTTGTGCGCTATCTTGATGAACGTATCGCAAGCCATGTCTTGAACACCCTCGTGTGTTTCTACAGGCACAAAGAGAGAAATTATATTAAAATAAGATATTCACGGTAACCCTGCAAACTATTATTCGAATTCACTTTAGATAACGCGATTCTTTACGTAATAATCGAAGCCTGCCGGCATTTTAGTTTCTCACCGTCATTGGAGATAATACGAGAAATTGCCTGAACCTCTGATAATTGAATACCCATATCGGAAGGATTATTTCTTATCTGGATCTAATCTAGTGAGAAAATTGCATTCACTTACAGGCATTTTGATTAAGGGAAATTATCTTTCTCGTTCTTATTGCTCGAGTGACAAAAGCAAGGTGACGATATAACTTGATATTTGTTTTTATAGACGTGTAGCTTTACTTATTGATAAAACTTTCCGTAGACAAGAAACGATTCACGGGCCACGGAAACGCATTAGTTATTTCAATAGTTTCATGCATTGACCTCAGACAATGATAAGATCTTATCTCAACAGTGAGCTTACGATGAACTTAAGAAATTTCTTTATTTCCTATGTATAATTAACGATGGATAAACTATTAATTCTTTTTGTCTTTCTGCTAATTACCCCAAATCCCTAATGAAATTCAACAATCATATCGATTGTGTTTATCACTATACTTAACCCTTAAACAGAAATTGAGTCGTTTTAGTCCATCACATTATATATTGTATACAAAAAATATGAGTCTCTCTAAAAAAAAAAAAAAAAACATTCATCTTTCTTTCTTCATTCCAACTATTATTAATCGCAACTACTCACGTGAGAATATGGTAAAGTGCCAGATTGCGCATGCAAAGTGCAAATCAATGGCACGATATTGGGTCAAAAGGACTGAATTTTTTCTTCAAGGATTAACAATTTCTTTCCCAAGGAGCGGTAAGCAAAACATCCTTACCATGCATGAACTCAAAGAGTTTGTTCACTACGGTTTTGAGGAACTTCCAGTGCGCCCTCAGAAAGCGTGGATACTGTCCAACGACGTACATGATGTTGCTGGCAATAATGGCCTTATTGTCTTTACCCTTCTTCTGTTCGCACAGGCCAAGGAGATCCTTGATTACAGTCACCAGGAATCGCTTCTCATCCTCCTCGTGCATAGCGCCAGAAATGCTGCCGATTGCCCAGCATAACTAGGAAAAACCACGGAACAACCAATTTGCATACACTGGATGATCAACTATCAACTACGGAGCGAACAAACGGCACCAAAAGGAACCAACTATCAGATATGAGGCACTAGGGTCGCTCTTATTTATTCTTAGTAAACATTTTCTTGCCATTTTTTTTTCGCCATCCCTCCTAGTTTGGTTCCATTGTGTGTAGAAATAGTTTGTGTAAAATTTGGGCTTAATTGAACAAAGGGGAAGGGTGCCCCTGGGCCCTTGGAAGTTGAGAAAGCCATAACAAAAAAAAAGTCAATTTTATTTATCTTGCAAAATATTAATTATATGCAAAAAAGTTTTATACAAAAGTTGTAGATCTATTTAAAATGCGCATGTTATTATGTACGACTTTTTGTCGTATGACTGTTTCTGAGAGAAATGCGAAACTATACTGTACTAAAAAAAGGAACAAAATACTAAATTAAACTATTACTATACTAAGTTACTATGGAACGCTCTTGCCTCCACAAACCACGTAGTACTTGGACTAGAACCCTCAGAAATAGAGGACACAGACTAAAAGTACTACGTGCTTTATGGGAACCCCTTAAATAAGCCTCTACTAGACAACTTGTAGTATTCGTGATCCGCTTTTTTGCATTTTTTTTTTAAACAATAAGTCATACGAGGAAAGGCGTCCATAATAATATGCGTATTATTAATAGATCTACAACTTTTGTATAAAGATTTTTTGCATAAAATTAATATTTTGCAAGAAAAACAAATAAAATTGATTACAAGAGCTCAGGGGCATTCTTTCCCTAGGTCCGATTAAGCTCAAATTTCACAGAAATTATTTCCACGTAAAATAGAACCAAGCTAGGGGTGAATAGCGCGAAGTAAATGCAAACATTGAAAGTAAGAACCACCCTGAGGCACATTCCGATCCAGGGGGGATAATTACCGTGTTGAGATTCTTCCAGGACCACTCGCTGCCGTTAACCTGATTCTGAAGCTTCTCCGTCATGACCCTCTCGGTGTCGACGTAATCGAGATGCGTGAGGTAAACCAGGGTCTCCCTCATGTTCTTATAAAGATTGATCGAGTCGGTGTCCTTCATGAACTCCCTGACGACCTCGCCGTTCTCGTTCTCGACGACGAGAACCTCTTCGGGCTTGGCCATCCGGCTGATCATGATGTACCGGACCTTGGTCAGGACCGGACAGTAGAAGAGTCGCCTCGGGGGGATGGCCATGTTGCTCTTGGCCATGAAGAGAGGCAACGGCGACATGCAGGGGCTCTCCTTGTAGAGGTCGGCCGCTAGGCCGTTCCAGTACTCCAGGCAGATCTTGAATATCTCGACCTCCTCGACCTCGGATATCAGCACGAGGTAGTGCAGCGCCTTCAGCAGGGTGTCGTTCAACGGCTTCTTCTCGACTAACTGGCCGTGCTCCTTCAGGTAGGTGCAGAGGAACATGGCCAGGTTCTGGATGAAGTTCTGCTCCTGGTCCTGGCCCATCGCGTAGGCGTTACGTATATTCGTGTCCAGCGGCAGCATCTGCTCCAACTGCTGCATCGTGTTCACGAAGAGGACGACGAACATGTCGTCGTAACTCGTCACGGTCACGGCGGCGATCTCGGTCAGGCATTTCAGGGTGACGTTCCGGAATATCGGCACGTTCAAAAACTGCAAAAGGTTTTTATTTCTTTTAAGGGGATATGGAAGTGGCGTCTAAAAGGTTTCGTTTATGAAATTTTTCTCCAAATTGGGGTCACCGAATTAAGGTAAGTGTACCAATGGCCGAACACTTAGATCAAGATTAAGCACATAAGGACCGATGTGAGGTACGGATGACTTGAATCGATGTAAAAAACAGAATTTCTAGTTTCCAAAATACATGCTATATATATGTATATATTGAGTAATTTATTATTTATGCTGCGGAGACATGGAAAAGTCGAATGTACCAGTGTTCGAACAAGCATTATTCATGGAATGCTTAATAAAAGGAAATATCTAAGGTGGTGTTCGGCAGCTGGGACGTGTTCGACCACTGGTATACCTACCTTATTTCAAACTTCACAACGTGAATATGCAGACTATAAGGAAGGTCCTGAAATTCATGAAATTTCAATTTTTTAACAATTTATTTATATGTATTTTTAAAATTTTGTACAAAAAGTGAAATTTCACGAGTGCCAGGACCTTCTTTATAGACTCCATATTAATGTTGTAAAATTTGAAACGATTCGGTACATCCAGTTCGGAGAATACTTTCCCCAACGATTGGATCTCTCAGATGTATTTACATTGATCCTTTCACATCACCTTAAGGCAATTAGATATTTAATTAAAGCGTACCGTTCTGTGATCAGTTTGATTTTGTTTGAATGACTATTTATAAAGTAGAGTGACTGCTCTTGAAGTTAAATAACAATATATTGTACATAAGTAACAGCAGATTACTGTAGTATGTAATAATCAAACAATCCATGTCTTTACCGACTTTTAATATTAGACCATTGCTTCATTTCTTTTCAGGAATAATAAGAAATTTAAGGTGAGATTCATAGCATGTCTGCATTATAATTCCAAACATTCTGAATTCAATGAATCTGTAAATCTTATTTTTATACTTTAGTAATTAAGCGATGACAAAGGGAAAATTTGAATTTTTATAAATGCGGATTCTCTGAAGAGTTATGAAAAACTTGAAGTATCGACAAATTTGTAGTATCTTTTTTGTTATATACATTTGAGATTAAAAGGTATTGAATGCAAAAAAAAACTCGTTGATACTGCAGATTCTATTGAGAGTATCGTATGATCTTTAAACTTAGCCTAACGAGCCTACCTTAAATATCAGGGTTGTGATCAGCTTCGTCTCAAATATGTACCCAAGTGGAATCCAATTTAAAAATCTCAAAAGGGTCTCCAACGTTACCGCAACCAATGGCACATTCTGTGAATTGTCCATTACAAATTGGCAAAGTTGGAAAATCTGTGAGAACTCGCTGCACATTGTGTCCTTCAAATGCTTCGCTTTGGTCTGAGTCATCTGCCCACTCGAAAAGTCAAACACTTCTTCCGACAATAATTTCAAAATTGTCATGTTATTCTGACACAAACTCTCGTTCGTTTTACTTGCGCCAACAATGTCGCCGATGAAGGATTCCCAGTTTTTGGGCCATTCCCGTTTCAAAACCTACTCGAACAAATATAATTGCATTAAAATACAGGATAACAATACTGAACTTAAATTGGTCTTAATAAAGATGTTTATAAATCCGTAAACTCATTAAATATTTCTTTCAATTGCATTTAAAACACCTTACGTTACAGAAGCTTTCGATATTAATTCCTTTAACATACCATTATGTATTTGATCACGACTTACCTGTACCAATATCATATTCAATTTATTCAAATATACTTTAGAAGCTTCCATGGTTTCAGGATCGCTACTGGTTTTGATAATAAGTCCTACTATGTACTTTTTTATACCCTCGCACTGATTTCTTGGCAACACTTTCCATCGGGTCTTTATCACTTGTTCCAAAATTTGTAAGGCATAGTACTTTGTTTGTTGGTTCTGAGAGACAAATAAAGGCGATGCGTAACAGAGAAGAAGACTAGGTAAGCTCATACTATTTTGATACCGTTAATACATAATCTACGAGATAAAAAAAGCCTATGCAGGCATTCTCATATAGCACAGATTCTTGATACTTAACGTCTAGTTTACAATTACCTGTGAATATTCAAGAATTGTATCAACACGAGTCCAAGCATCTGGATGCTCCTTTAGGGCGGTCAATACTCCTTGAGCGGCTCGTTGGTCGTCACCTATCCCGGTATACATACATCCTACTACATTGTCGAGGAGCGTTATATCCAACTTTTGGTTGAAGTCTAATAACTTTGACGCCTGCTCGGATAACGCCATTGCGTCCGATTAATTCTTTCGTTCTTCCACTTTTGATCTAAGTAACAGAATATGAGATTTCTTTTATTAATTGCTTAGGATATCATCGGATAATAACATTACATATAGGTATTTGTAGGGCCATAAGTTATATATAATCAAAATATAATTATAATTAAAACAACTCAGTTTAATCAATGAATTATTCACAAGTGAAATTGCTCTTTTAATTATGTAAATGAAATTCTGACCGACCATCAAGAGTACATTAAAAGTTAACTGTACGTTATTTGCTTAGAAGTACTCATTAATTCTTAAAAAAATAACATAATCTGTACCAAAAAAGAATATAAAATTAAAATAATTTTTAGCAGAACGTGTTACGGTACAATGAATAAACAGTTATGGATTTTCGATCCCACAAATGATAATTTATGTGATTCCATAATTTTAGTTGCGACCACGAACAATACCAAAGCGATCACGTAATACATTTATTCAAACAATGTACAAGCTGAATAAAAACAACCAAAGCACATATCAAGACGGCACACATTTCAGCCCATTTTTACATAACAAAGATAAATCATTAACCTTTAGACGTTAATAATCCAAAATGGTTGTTTTTACTTCCCATGTGATCATAAACTGAGCACGGTCATGATAAAAGAAGCATCTGAATTATCGCAAGAAAAAAGAGAGCCACATACCAAGGACTGTTCCAAAACGCTACGAAATAAATAAACCACGACGAACTCTACATCCCTTAATTATTCAAGCGCAGCCCTCTCTCATCCTAGATATACATACATAGAAATAAAGTCCAACTATCGCTACGCTACTCCAACCGTTCCGCTGTCCTACATATTCCGAATGGCCCCGAAGAGGTGCAGGACAAACACGAAGCTACAAGATGGTAAAACTCCCATTCCGAAAGAAAAATCGTTTGTCAAAGGCAATCCACGATAAACGTTCGCGAAGGAAAGTCTCGACGGTTTGTGCGCGTTGGACACCTAACCTAGATCTGACGTTCTCGAGTGCAGGTTATGTTTGCCGTTGGGTCGGGGCCCGGAGCGCCCGGGCCTTGGCCGAAGCCGGCGAGCGGGCGAAGCGACCGAAATCGCAAGAACCGAAGCAACAGGCTCGGTTTGTGGTTAGGGTCGCGGGGTTAGGCGGCGGGGAGCGGGCCCCGGATCCCGCGGCGCCGTCGGCGACGTCCGCGACGTCGGCGACGTCGACGAGGAACCGCGCGTCGGCCGATCGGGTCGCGCGCGAGCCTGCGCCGAGTAGGCGCGAGCTGGACCGACGACGTACCGTATCCTGATTACCGCGGCCCCAGGTCCTTCCTGCTGGTAAACAAAGCCTCGGGATTCGGCTGGGCGCTCGGGAGACACGGTACTTTCATAGAAATCGCCCAGGCGAACGAGAGGTGAAACGCAACACCGATACAGTCCGACGCCGAGGGTTCCCGCGCACGAGCGGCCGTTCGGTTCCTCCCGTTCCTCCAGTCTCTTCCGACAGGTTCCGCGCTGTTCCGCGCCGAGACGAGGTTTCGTCCACTGGCCAGGCCGATCCGCCGGATCCACCGAATCTCTCCACTGGGCCTCTCTTTCCCTCGCCGTTTCTCTTTCTTTCGCCTGCCTTTGCCTTCCGCACTTCGCGCCCTCTCTCTCCCTCCCGCCTTAAGGACACTTATTCGCCTCTCTCGCTCTCCTGCCTCGCTGCCTCTGTCTTCCTTCGCAACATCTCCCGCGCCGCGTCTTCGCTCGAAACCGCGGACCATGCCGACTGCTAGACCTGCCCACCTGGCTTATGCCTCATTTCCATGCACGCGGAGCGCGGAACCTGGAATGGCCTTGAGGCGGATTAACCAATCGGATTAATGCCTTAATCCTAAAGGCGAATTTACACGGTGCCAGGAACTCGTACGAGTCACTAGTTTTGTTCGCGTTGTCTGTTCTTTTTATCCTAGAGTGTAATGAGTATACATACTTATGGTACTTATAGTACACACCCGAAGTCGATCGCGCGACCCTGCCCGTGAACAATTTCCCAACTCATCTCTGGGCGTTTATTACGTATTTTTGACGAGAGCGCTCACTACTTGCACTTTCATCTCACGTGGGTTTATTCGCTGAATTACGTAACGCTATATGAAAGAACGAGATCACTAGCACTTCCGGTCTAGTAATATTTCAAATAAAGGTACATACCATAATTAGAAGTTCAACAATATAATTTTCTTATCATGTCATGTAAGCATGAATTATTTAACAGTTTTCAATGTTTAATAATGTAATATAGCCTCGCAATAACAAAAACTAACCTGTACATCCTAGTAAATTCTCTTTCTTCTAACGAAAATGGATCTGAGGCATCACGTAATTCCTTTCTTCTTCTAACAAGGTTATTATTACGTCCCCGAATACGATTGTTGCCAAAAATCAAAACACCCGCGAGGATTTCCATTTCGAATTTCAGTATCACAATCCATAAAAGATGACATTCACGGCGCTAATTTTCTATCTTTTCTTGTATGCTTCACCATTTCGCTTAAAAAATTGTGACGAGCCAGTTCATATGAATGTCTCTCATTTTCACCACCAAAAACGTTCCGTAATACCGTGAGCTCCTCATTTTTCACATTTTCGCTCAATTTGCTTTACGTAATAGGCCCTCTAATTCCGGGTATACGAAATCGTTAGTTCTTTGTCCACGATGGCGCTGATATCCTGGCAGCCCGTGTGAAGTTGGCAACTAGCAGTCCATACTTTTATAGTCAATGGACAAAACGGGTGGCATTGACCGAAACTGATGAAATTTGAAAACAAAACTGACTGATTCATAACGGAATACGATCAATCGGCGTTCCAGTATATTCTTGTTACAACGATGATAAATATTATTTGTTTGCCTATGTGGAAGGCATAGATGAAGGGAAATTTCGCAGTACCGTATTTTCAAACGTGATTTCAGTTATTCGATCCATTTTCATTGGGTATTTTCATTAGAACCGGCAGAATGCTCGTAAAATGAAACTCAACCCCGTGAATACGCATGTCAACGGGTTTGACTCGTCATCCTTTGTCATATATAGAATCAGCCGACTAAACAGTTTATTTAGGTAATACATACAAAAATTGAGTCAGCCCCATATGAAAAATTTCAATGTAAATCTAAGTCGATATATTGCGATGAAGAAAATATTTTATTCGTCATGATTCTGCTTTTTTGTTTATGAATAGATAATTGTATGAAATTAACTCAGAATTATGGCCAGAGGTAATTAAGACGCATGTACGAATGTACATATATAAGTTCGAATTATATATTTTGAATTTATCACAATGTTGAGTAGCATATGTCGAAGAGAATTAATTTAACGTCTGCTATCGTAGCGCTAATGAATGTGAACATTTGAATTACAAGTTTAAATAAGTCTAATATATTTAAAACTTTATAGTACAGGATATATTACTTTAATACGCTAATCACATTAATTTATACAATGTTTTTCCACAAGATGTGAACAGATGCGAGACAGCTACCTGCATTACATGAGTTGTACATAACGTTTTAATTGAACTTTATTACCATGTACTCTTGTGTTTATATCTTCGTGGTCATTTAAGCATCACTTTGATGAAATAGAATTCATATTACGACAGAATACTTTCGGCGATCTGGACTTTCTCCATTGAGACTGTGTCTAAAATATTGTATTAACGATTAAGGAAGGTCGATAAAAAGATATTAAACATAGAATTATGCTGACGTACGTCGCTATTATTTTTATTCTTTAATTCTTGATTCATAAACACCATGAGCTGAGTTATGGTGATTATATTTTTATCAGTTACTCATTGTGAATCAACTCACCTCCGGTTTCAGCAATTCGTTGATACAGTGAATTCGACTGTTCATTATATCGATCTCCAGTTTCTCCTTGCACAACTGTTAGAAGTAAACGTAAAATGTAAAAAAAAACATGCCGCAACTTACTACATACACTTACCATTCTTTTGATTTTTTTTTGAAACACCCCCGTTAGCTTCAACTGAAAATAAATTATCATATATCATGGAATATTCTACAGCATTTACATCGCATCGATATTACCAAATACAGATTTATGTAAATTTGAAAATACAGTAAATTGAGTAATAGATTTTTATTGTATACGTATCCTCTTCAACAAATTTTTAAGTCACATTGCAAAAATAATCGTTGAATTTGATGAATACTTACGTGCTCCTGGATACATTTAAACGCTGGTCTAATGTTTGAAATGCTTTCCTTTCTTGGCAATTTCTACGAGACATAAGAAAACGGTCAGGTTCGTTTTCGAAGTTGTTCTTAATTATTTTACCTTCGTTGTTTCATCTTGCAAATAGTAATAAGCTTTCTTGTTCATATTAACTGCAGTTGAGCTCTAAAAATTTATGAAGAGATATGACAAATTGTATGGAAATGTTACTAGAAAAAAGTACATACATGTCGATAACATGCAGTTCAAAAGGAATGAAATTTCTTTTAGTTAATGGTAATGCCTATCTACTCTTTGTATCATTACGCTTCCAAATGATCTAAACTGCAAAAACAATTTTTTCAAACACTCGTGAAATTCTATAATGTTATGTCATTTATAAAAAAATGTTATTTAACTGCTTTCTTTAATTGTGGCATGTCTATACATTAGAAACTAATCTAAGGAAAGTGTGACATATACTTACAAATATAGCACACGCTACTACGATTAACGTAGCAACACACGTTACAAATGTTATCATTCCGCAGTAAGGACTAAACCGTAGGATTAGTCTAAGATCATTGTCGGTGATTAGAAGTCGATATATCTGTATAAAAAAGGAAAAATTCATATAACAAAAATAACATTTACTTCTTCATTTCTTACATAATTTTGATTTCATCAGTTTTGATAAACATCGCAGAATTATCTGTCTACACTTTTAAGAATATGTTGCGAAGTATAATCAAAATTACTAAATCAAACTAAACATAAGAAACGGATATTTAAAAATTTTTTTAAATAGTTCCATTTCCATCGAACCTTCAATAAGGTTATTTATAACACTTTAATATAGTAATATTTTTGTTCTTACCAGTCCTTTAAGATCATATCCAGAAGATCGGTAATACCTATGGAGTTTTGTACTGTCCATATTTTCCGTTTTCGATTAGTTACATACACGCGGTGAGAGTAATTTAAACAATTTTTAAATATGCGGAGCGAAAGACGGTCAAAACGAAATGCTTGGCTTGAAGTCTGATCCGGTTGGCGATTTAAAAATTTTACGCATGCGAGCGAAGGTAGTCAGAAATTTCACGTAATAAAAATCTGTGAGATTAAAAACTCGGTCGAGTTTTGCGGCCGAACATTTGAAACAAGATATTAGAGTAATATCTAGGAGACTATTTGAAATGAGTTCCTCTGAACGATAACAATAACCTTGTCATTACGAAACATGAAAGTAAAGTATTTATTAAGCACGTCATGTAGCTCTTTTGTGACATAATTACCGTTTAAATTGTTATAACATAAGTTATTTAAGGTGATATGAAAGAATCAGCCTACGTATATCTGAGAAGTCAAATCGTTGAGGAAAGTATCCTCCGAATTGGATGTACAGATTAGTATGAAATTTTACCACGTGAATATGGAGGCCCTAAAGTAGGTCCTGAAACTCATGAAATTACATTTTTCATATAAAATTTGTTTATTTGTCATGAACTAGAACCAACGTGCACGTTTTCGATGTTTTAGGCTTCTTGGAGACTTAGAATCGAAAATGAAGAATTTCAGGATCTAACCCGAACAAATTAGAATATTGTAGAAATGGAATATTACGGAGTCAGATGGGAAAATATGGAAAATACTTTCACCAACGATTGCAAGAGAATGCTGGTTGGTCCTGCGGCTGAGACGTGTTTTTAGAGCAAAAATTTAGTTGCAGTTAAACGTCACAGATGGTAACGTTGGTTCGTCAAAATATAAACAGTCATGAATTCATAGGATTTCAATAGTTTCACATCGATGTCTTTGTCATCACTTTACCAAAATGACACGTGGAACGCTTCATTTAGTATAATTCTCAACTTAGACTGTAAAATACTTCAACATAAATATAAATGTCGGTAACGTGACGCGCCAGCTTATGTTACCACGAATATTCAGAATGACGTTACCACCAAAAAGGGTATAGATGAATTTTATTTTATCGACGTTGATTAAATTTCTCAGCGCCTTTCATATCATCTTAATCCTTGATAAAAAATAAAAGAAAATGTAACTTATTATTTCTAAATTAACGGAGCTGGAACACCGTTTGCATTTACCCTGTCGAATAAAACGTACACACATATCTACATACTGGACAGAAATAACTGTAAATAATAATTATCTTGAAAAGTACACATTTATTATCCGAGCTGATTCGACGCATTTAATTTAATGTTAAGATATACAGTACAATGTACAAGTGACACTTTTAACTTGCAAAATCATTGGAAATGTTCATCTGGTTGTAGACATTGTATCGAGCACATTGTGGTATATGTTTGTTAAGGATCTGACCTTTCCCCAGTTTGAAATCGGTTTAAGAAAAATGAAAATGCCTTGAATTCAACGACCGTTGATAGTTACCCGTCTTTTACAAACTATTGCTCTATACAAAATTATACAATAATAATTATTGCTACGCGTGGTGTTTATCCTATGCCAAAAATACTACAAAGAATATGAAGAAAAATATGAGAACTGCGAATATTTTAATCATCAACCACCGATTATTTGTCACAGACTGAAAGTATTTCAAAATTTCCGAATGCGCTGCTTCCACGTTCATTTCGGTATGCTCGATATTGCTATCTATCCTGGAACATTAAGGAAACGTATGTTATAATATTTCCCATTTGCCATGGTACTTGGTAATCAACAATTGAGAAATTATTTTACAAAAAACTAGTTTTTTGTAAAATTTCTTATCTTAGCCCAGACCAGAACCAAAATGGTGTCGAGCTCTCATATTTCGATCAATATACAGTTATTAAAGGCACTGATATGAGAATCCAAAGGGTCAGGACAATTTTACGACAATTTAGAACACTCTGGTAGTCGATAAACTCGCATTTTAACGGGATAAAAAATTAATTAAAATTAATTACTACTGTAGACGGAAATGTAAATTTACCCATACCTTTCAACCATCTCTTCCTGTTCTTTAACCATATGTGCTAGTTGCTGAAAGATACCGCCCAGCTCAACTATGGTCGATTCAATATTTTGCATGGTTTCTGCCCTTGATCTTACATAGGCATCCTGTAGATATCAATTTAACAATTATTTTTTTTATTAAACTAAATAAATTTCACCGTAAAACTATTTATAAGATGTAAGTAGCATTTGTCTTTTTAAGAAGCAATGGTTAAAACACTAACCGTATCGTCATACATAGGCCTATGCATTGTAAGTTGCTGACCCGAAGCTGTTTCGAGATCTATACTAACAGAAGGCGATGCATCTTGTTCTTGTAAAAGTAGCATGTTTTGAGTACGAGAGACTACTGTCGATGGTACCAATGCAGTTACAGATCCTTGTGTAAATTGGTCTCGTCGATTCTGTTCTTCTCGCATGTTCTGTAATTAGACAATAAATCAATTTGATATGATCTCGTTGACAATAGCACCTTAATCCATATCTTAGGATTATGCTTATTTACCTCGGATCGTACTTCCAAGACGTTCTTAAAATGATTCGACATGTTTGCCAGTTTCGATTGTAACGTCACGACTACCGAAGAAGAATGAGAGGCAATGTGTCGTATCTGCGAGGAACTCGAACCATCTCGCTGGTTTTTACTCATTTCCTGCAGTTTTGCTATTTGTTGATTTAAACTACTTAAATCTGTCTTTATAATATTGGTCAGTTCATCTATTTCCACTTGTCTGTCATTAAATATCGATTTTTTCTTTGCCACTGAAACAGGAGAAAAACATTTCAGGTTACAAGAAATTAAAAATTCCCTAATTCTGACGATTATAGTTAAAAAGAATGCAAGTTATATTAATCCTGTTAATGTTAATCTATTCTTTAGATGTCGCAAAATTTAATTAAAAATCAGATGTACTAATTCCTCGAGATTAAAATACCTTGAATTTTACAACTTTACATGCATACGTCTGTTGCACATTTCATGGTAATGAAACGTCAACCACAAGGATATATGCAGGATAGGTATCTTTTAAAACTAAGTAATTAACGTCATTTCAAGACCACGCAAGATTCGCAGCGACTCGAAACCTGACGATACATGGAACGCGATGCTTAAACTTACAACTCGGTAGCCGTTGCATATCCAGCAACAGTAGCCTAACTTAACTACGAAGTTGCCATCCTTACATAATGCGAGTTTCTCCAGCTTGGTGTACGTGCTGGCAATGTTCTTGCCGATGTTCTTAGCGATCATCATGAAGTTGGAGTAACTCTGAAACCGTCGAGCCTGACGAGTGTCGGAGAGGTTCTTTGGGTTGCTGGATATCCTGCCCCGCATAACGCGGATGGCATTGACGAATTCGTTGGTCCGATCCCTGGACGTCATGGTCGCTGCCGGAGGGGAATTCGTCCCAAACGAAACGTCTTCTTGGTAGGGTTCCTGGTGGTCCTCTAGCCCCAATTCGTGATCATCGTAACCTAACTTGTAGCCGTCACAGCCGCTAATCAGGTTCAGGATCAGGGGATCGTTGTACGATTCCGAGCAACCGCGTCGTCTGCGCGCAGGCATCGCATACTCGAAAATGTACCCGACGACTCCCCTTACCCTGGAGTCGGTCCTGAAACGGGAAAGTCGCCTTCGGAATCACGATTGAAGACCTGAGAATCCGACCGAACACGCGTCGTTCCTCGTCGACGCGTGCAAATCCGCTTGACGTTTCTTCTTTACGTTAATTGACGCGAACGTTCACCACCAGGTCAGGTGCCAGCGCCAGCGCCAGCTATGACTCGCCTCCACCTTCGTTTATCCAGGTTAGCCGGAGGAGAGCGACGTGGACCAATCAGGAGCGCCAACCTAACCTTCGGGGAAATCCCTACGCCCTATAATTGGAAGGCCGGAATCCCACTAACTTTTACTACGTGTCCATCCTACTCGAAATCCGGGATTTATCGGGTCCGAATCCAATAAATCGCATCTCTATCGTCCTCCTAAATCCGGGATTTATTGGGTCTGGACCTAGTAACGAGTTTATACTCAGCTTTAAACTTGGAGTTAAAACGTATATAAACAAGTTGAACTTCGGTTTAAACCAGTTAATCTTCGGTTTAAACTAATTCATCTTCAGTTTAAACTAATTCATCTTCGGTTTAAACAAGTTAATCTTCAGTTTAAACTATTTAAACCTTGTTTTAAATCTGCTGTAAACTTATTAAACTAGAGATAATTGGAATTTAAGTGGTTTATAATAAGTTTAAACTGCGAATAAATCAGTTAAACTTCAGTTATCTAGACTTGTTGAACCGGGCCGTAAACTCCGATTAACTCGAATAGGGGAATCAGATCTGAGGTTTGTTCCGTAATACCGTGAGCTCCTCATTTTTCACATTTTCGCTCAATTTGCTTTACGTAATAGACCCCGTGATAGCACGTCTTTGATAAACGCATGGACCAAGTAACGGTGTAAACCATGCCCGTATAATCGTCCGTTGCAAAGCAGACCTCCTCCTCCCACGTCCTTGCGGTCGCGCGCGCGAGAGCCCTCCCGCACGCCGCTCTGGCACTCGCACGTTCCGTGGCGAGAAGTGTTTTCCACGACCCGAGCCGTGTTCTCGGGATTGCCCGGGATTGCCCTCGAGTGTGTCCGCGAGTCGTCGCCAGCCGTGATCGAGGCCCGGAGGAAAGCGCGAGGATCGTGGTCTCGTCTCCCCGGAGGCGATGCTCGGCGTCGATCTCGTGGCCGTTAGTCGAGGCCGCCCCGAGTCCGATCGGCCGTAGCGCCGCTGCCCGCAGCCTGTAGCGGCCGAGGGCGTCGCGAGTCTCCCGGTGGGTCTAGGTCGCGCGCGGCCTCCGCGGTCGTCCCCAAGTCGTTCCTGCGCTCGCCAGTCCACGCCAGTCCACGCCAGTCTTCAACGGTCGGCCGCCCGCGCGCACCCCGCGCCTCTCTCGACCCCCTCGCCCGATGAATGCGCCTCTCGGCCCTCGAGGCCGCCCGCCGCTTCGCCAGTCGCACCGATGCTGACGCCCAGAGAGTGACTCCTTCGAACGAGCCGCCCCGACCGGACCGCCGGCGCCGAGACCATGATGAAGAGTAGCACCCTTCCCAAGAAGGAGAGCAAAATGCGAATACGCGCGTTCCCGGTACGACCCCTCTCCCCCTCGAGATTTTTACCGAGACCGCTTCCCAGGAAGCGAGCCGAGGAGAAGGCACCAGGAACTTCGCTTCCTTCGCGGTTCTTGGTACCTTAGGTCGCTTCCGTGGTTTATGCTTCAAGGGCACTTCCCTTTGTTATGGCTCGATGGATGGTAAACAATGACGGATGTCATTTTTAATCCCACTAGAGTGGATGGTTACGATTCGTGCTGTAAATAACTGGAAGGAATTCTTAATTTTCTGGGTGGTTCCACTTTGTTATGACCACATGGGTCTTAAAAAATGACCGATGTAATTTGTAATACCACTCAAGTCGATGGTTACGATTCGTTCTGTAAATAGCTGGGAGGAATTTTTAGTTTTGTTCAGGGTTCCACTTTGTTTTGCCCACGTGAGTCTTAAACAATGACCAATGTAATTTTTAGTACCACCTGGTTGGATGATCGTGGTTTGGGTTGTACAATGCCATTAGGAATAGTCGTGGGTTTTGTTGCCGATTCGATTGTGTTATGGCACAATGAATTGTTGACGACGACCATTGTCATTTTTGTATTAATATACCTGGAATGCATAGTTGCAATTTATGCTGTAAAATGTTTATTGAGGGTTTTACTTCGTCGTGATCAATGATGGATCTTGGTCAATAACCAATGTAACTTTTAGTACTCCTGGAGTGGATGATTTAAATTTGTGCTTTAAATAGCTGTTAGGAACGATTGTAGGTTTCGTTGGGGGTATGCCGTGAAATGTGTATTTTCTGTTTGGACTTTCTCTTGGCTTTTTTTTTTTTTTTCCCCAAGGGGGTGAATTGGACTGTAACAAAAATATATTTCACGTACTTGAAAAAAAAGAGGTACCGTGGATTGCTTCAATGATTTACGCTCGATGGGCACTTGTTTTTGTTATGTTGTAATGAATTGTAAACAATGGCTCCTCATTTTTAGTACCCCTGGAGTGAATGATTGCAATTTGTGCTATAAATAGCTGTTTGGAATAATTGCAGGTTTTGCTTGCAGGCATGACGTGGAATGCGTTTTCTGTTTCGACTCTTTCTCTTATTTGGCAGGATCTCTTTTTCTTCACATTTCTTTTTTAAAGGGGGTGGATTGGACTAACACAAAGATATTCCATGTACTTGGGAAAAGAACGTTTAAGTGAAACTTCCTTCGTCATTGTTTCTTACGTTGAATCGAATATTTGGTAAAGCAGTCTTTGTTTTCTACCGTGATGAATCATGGATGACGATCAAGTTCATTTCTGCTTTTATATTTACAAAGGATATTTATACCTTCATTTATAAAATACCGAGTATGTTTTAAGAACCAATAACGCATGAATTCATATTACCACTTACAACGTTTAAATATGACATTTTTTTTTTTTAACATGGCACATTTATCTTTTCTGAGGTTCATTCTGGACAATTTGGACTAGATGAGTGAAATTCTCACGCGAGGAATTGAAAATAACTGAAAATGCATTTTTCTTACATCAATTTCTATGTATATTTATCTGAAATTGTTTCGTCTTTATCGCCTATATAGATTTATGGAATCATTTCCTCCTGTTATCGCATTTTTAAAAGTAACTTGCTGTCTCATGCTCAATAGGTGTTATCTTTATTCTTGCTGAAATCAGGTGATTCAGTTTTATTTTCACTGTATACATTATTTGGTAGTAGTATCAGAACGTAATCAAATCTTTACTTTAATCGTAAAACTGTACCTAGTTCTTAAGGTGATACGAAAGGGTCATTCTATATACATGAAACGTCAAAATATTTATAAAACTTTTCTCCAATTTGAATGCATCGAATCGATGGAAACTTCGGCATGCTAAGGAAGAACGTGGTGCTCATGAAATGTCATTTTTGATGAAAAGTTTGTTTATTTAACTCAGACTAGAACCAAGAATACATTTTTTTTTAGAAGCAAAATTTTATAAGCACTACGATCTTTAATCACGTGCTGAAGTTTGAAATTATTTGTTGCATCCGATTTGGAGAAAAAGTTTGTAAATATTTTTATGTGTTATATATATAAAATTACCCTTTTATATCACCTTAATATATTGGACAGGAAATGTTTACTTTGAATGATATATGAGGTCAAATCTCGTATGATTTAATGAGTTTTTAAAGAGCGATAGCAGTTATGTATATCTTTGAGCAGGAAATACATATGTAGAATGATTCTTATAATTGAATACTGGATACTTAATCTAACTAATGATTTTAAATAATTATGAATCAAAATTGGACCTGTTTAAATTTCCTTTGTCGTTTGTTCATTAATGTGTAAAAATAAGATTACGTTGGCAAGCATCGTAAGCATGTAATTATCATAGAAGAGATACTTCATATCTATGAAAATTAAAACAATGACTTAACTTAATTATTGTGAAAATAATATAGATGTATAACGGAAGATTAGTATTACGATGAATTTTTTCTTCCAACTCAATGCTGCTGCAAAACGTATCGGAATAATTTTTGTCGAAATAAGAAACTTTGAATTAAATGATATTTTAACTTGTGCATTATTTACGTTTTCCGTAAAATACAATTTTTATTTTATATTGTAGAATTAATTATTTGTAGAAAGAAGTTATATACATAAATGCATGATATATATGGCTAAATTGTGAAGCTATATGCCATGTTTCGAGAATGAATTTATGATATTTTCAGTAAATCACTGACAGTTTAATTATATACTTTTTTCAATTAATTTTATAATATATCCTGTCTAATTTACCAATAAGTATATTTGAATCGGTTGATCTAATCAAATTTGATAGGAACTGAAAATTCATTTGAACAAGAGACAGTCTGACTTCACCTCGTTCTTTTTCTTTCGGCAAAATAAACCTCTCGAGCTTCCTTCAAAATTCTTAAGTCTAAAATCAGACGAGACATTTATAACTGTCAAGATTTCCGATCATATCAATTGTTGCAAAAGCTAAGCAAGATTTGTCTTGTTGGTAATCGCAGCTAAAATTGATTCTGTTAAGCTACATATAAGTTCTTTTATGGGTCGTGAAGGTGTGTCGAGAGTACTATGAACATCGTCATTGGTAAATATTTTTCAATGTAAACAGGGATTCATCGATAAGGAAATGATCATTGGTATGGTTATTTTTATCTGAAATTATTAGCGAAGCAGAACTTGTTGATTAAAATATTTCTTTCATTAATTAATTTCCGATGTTGCTTCACATAATTTGTTTGTATGCGTTCCATGACAGGTTTGTCAGTAATGAGTACACGGTTTTATCTGGTGACATAAATTATTGCCGAATAACAGTTTTATCTTTAACACGTCTGGATTTACCATTGCATCGATTTTAATCCATGCAATCTGTATTATTAATTATAGATTGCTTTAATCGTTTGGAAGACAAATTTTGGTATTAAGATTATTTCTAATTTCAGACAACTATGGACGAGAAGTATGTGGAGAATATTTGGGCTTTGTTGAAAAATGCCATTCAAGAGATCCAAAAGAAAAACAACTCGGGCCTCAGCTTCGAGGAGCTTTATCGAAATGCTTATACAATGGTGTTACACAAGTACGGTGAACGTCTCTACACCGGGTTGAAGGAAGTTGTAACGCAACATCTGGAGAATAAAGTTCGCGAAGATGTGCTGCGGTCGCTGCATAACAATTTCCTTCAAACGCTAAACAAGGCATGGAACGATCACCAGACGTCAATGGTCATGATCAGAGATATCTTGATGTATATGGATCGAGTCTATGTACAGCAGAACGATGTCGACAATGTTTATAATCTTGGTCTTATCATATTTAGAGATCAGGTGAAACCATTTACATATCTATATATGTATTTATTTCATTTTGAATATTAACAGGGTATCTGAATTATATCAATATATATTATTAAAAGGATTCGAAAATTGATTTTATTATAGGTTATCGGCAATATCAGTTTGTCATTCACTTTTGAGGTTAAAACACAACATTTGTTTTAAAGTTTAAAGGAGCGCATCTAAAGTAGGGAAATAATTTGCAGTTTAAATAATTAATCGTTTTGTACTGATGTAAGCCGTTACAATTATTATGTGAAATCAATATTCTTTTCCCTTATTTATTTCATTCCGAATATTAACAGGTTATCTCAATTATATCAATGTGCAATATTAAAACGACTCAAAAACTGATTTTATTATAGTTTATCGGCAAAATCAGTTTGTTATTCAGTTTTGAGGTTAAAGCACGGAATTTGTTTTAAGATTGAAATGAGCACATCTATAGCGGAATCATTTACAGTGAAAATAAATAATTGTTTTGTACCGATGTAAACTGTTATAATTATTACATAAAATCAGATTTCTTTTTCCTGATCATGTAATAATTTTCTGTTGAGTCATTCTCTCGATTGGGATATTGTTTCATGGATCGAAGCTACAGTTTCTTGCGTTAACCTTAATAAAATAGGAACGGATATTTATTCTTATAGATTTTTATCAATATCTGTTTCTCTTTGGTAAAAAATGATCCAGTTATCCGGGCAAGTCAACTCGTCATTAAAGTATACATTTGCGTTCCAATATTTTCGTCAGAGATTAATTTTTAATCATTTTAAGGTAATATGAAAGGGTCATTCTACAAATATAAAACATGAAAATATTTATAAAACTTTACCCCAAACGGTGCACCGAATCATTTGGAATTCTAACACGTAATTATGGAGGCCCATAATTCATTTTTGAAAAATTAATTTTCACGAACATCACGTTCTTTCATAGGGCCTTTGTAATCACGTGTTAATGTTTAAAATGATTCGGTGTATCCAGTTTGGGGAAAATTCGATATACATAAGACGTGAAAATATTTCTAAAACTTTTTTACAAACTAAATGAACCGATTCGTTGGAAACATTAGCACATGATTATGAAGGCTCTAAAGAAGAATGTAGCGCTTCAGAAATTTCATTTGTAATAACAAATTTTTTTATTTATCAGACTAGAACCAAGAATACACATTTTTTTTGGAAAACAGAAATTTCATGAGCACCATGTTCTTCCTTAGGGCTGTCATAATCACTCGATGAAGTTTAAAATGATTCCACCCTGTTTGGAGGAAAGTTTTATAAATACTTTGACGTTTTATATATATAGAATGACCCTTTCATATCAGCTTATGGTGATATGAAAGAGTGAATCTATGTATATCTTAGAGGTCAAATCGTTGGTGAAAGCATTCTCTGGATTGGGTGTACCGATTCGTTTCAAATTTTACCACGTGAATATGGAGGCGCTAAAGTAGGTTCTGGAGCTCATGAGATTTCATTTTTCATACAAAATTTACTTATGGATCAGAACCATCATGGCGTGGTCCGTGTACGTTTTTGATATTTTACGCTTTTTGGAGGCTTAGAATCGAAAGAGAAGAGTTTCAGAACCTACCTCGAACAATTTATAATACCGTAAAAATGAAATATTCCAGAGTCAGATGGGAAAATATAGAAAATACTTTCACTAACGATTGCAAGAGAATGCTGGCTTGTCTCGGGGCTATCACGTCTTTCTAGAGCAAAAATTTAGTTGCAGTTAAACGTCACAGATGGCGACGTTGATCCTAGACTGTCGTTAGAATAATGAATTTACGAGATTTCGACGGTTTTACGTCGATTTTTATATCATTACTTTACCGAAATGACATATGGAACGTTTCAGTTCGTATAATTATCAACGTAGACTGTAAAAGACTTCAATATAAATATAAATGTCGGTAACGGTACGCGCCAGCTTATGTTACCACTTGAGTATTCAAAATGGCGTTACCACCGAAAAGGGTTTAGATGAATTTTATTTTATCGACCTCGATTAAACTTCTCAGCGCCTTTCATATCATCTTAACGCTTCTAGTTTCGTTGTTGTGATTTATATTCATAGATTTAATATTGATTTGTTGATTTGAATGTACAGGTGGTCAGATATGGATGCGTAAGGGATCATTTGCGAGAAACGTTACTCGGCATGGTGGCAAGAGAGAGGAGAGGCGAAGTTGTAGACCGTATTGCGATTAAAAATGCGTGCCAGATGCTGATGCTGTTGGGTATCAACAGTCGGCAAGTGTACGAAGAAGACTTCGAGAGGCCATTTTTACAGCAAAGTGCGGAATTCTATAGAGTGAGTCAGTCGATAGTTCTTGTTTAAATCCGTTTCCCGTTTGCTACCTTTACGGCAAATTAATAATGTACCTTGCCGTTGTCTATCTTTCTAGATGGAATCTCAAAAGTTTTTAGCTGAGAATAGCGCCTCGGTGTACATAAAAAAGGTGGAGGCTAGGATTAGCGAAGAGTCGGAGAGAGCGAAGCACTATTTGGACGAATCTACAGAGCCACGAATAGTCGAAGTTGTCGAGGAAGAGCTTATCAAAATACATATGAAGACTATAGTGGAGGTATATGACCTTTTAATTATTAAACCAAAGTCTTACTTCTTTTCCACCCTTGGTACATTCATCTATTGTCTTAACGTGAAGTGAAACTCCTCTTGAGTCAGTTGATTCGAATGCCACTTTTTTTTTTTTTAAGAGTATTGGACCAAATAGTCTGAAACTGATACATGCATCTTGAACACTTAAGAATTATCCTGACACTTTCAAAATTTGGATTCTCAAAGAAAAATGTTTGGCTTAGCCCAGACCAGAACCAAAATGGCGTCGAGCTTTCATATTTCGATCGATATCCAATTATTGAAGGCTCTGATATAAGAAACAAAAGCGTCAGGACAATTGTACAACGATTTAGGACACTCTGGTAATTGGGAAACTCTCATTTGAACGGGATAAAGGCAAAAAAGTGTGTTGTGAGCTGCTATGCTAAGATGATGGTAATATGAGGTCTCGGAATGAAAGTTTAGTTGACCTTAAAATCACAGATGGCGCAGGGTGGCACTCTGCGGTCACTTAGGGCATCAAAAACCACGATTCTTGGGGATTTCTGGAGTTTTACTTCGATTTCTTTATAATTATTATACAGAAAAGACATTTGGAGGATGCTATTTAGTACAATACCCAATTTAATTCGACCGCAGCTGTCGATATAAATACGAATGTCGGTAACATAGGTATTGGAAGAATATTTTTTACCGACGTCCATAAAATTTCTCGACGTGTTTCACTTCACCTCAATGAATCCTTATTTAACTTAATCAAACTTAGGGGGATGTGAAAGTGGCATCTGAAGAGTCAATCGTCCATCAAGAAACTCGGTAGAGCTTCGAGCCAAATACATTTGAGCGAGAAACTCGTATTAAACTTTTCTACAAACTGGGTGCAACGAATCGTTTCAAACGTTACAGCGTGAACGAGGAGGCTATAAGGAAGGTCCCAACACTCATGAAAATTCATTAAAAAAAAAAAATGTGAAAATGCGTATAAACAAATTTAAAATAGATTAAAATTTCGTGAGTGTCAGGACCTTCCTTATACCCTCCACATTTATATTGTTAAGTTTGAGTCGATGCGGTGCACCCAGTTTGGAGGAAAGTTTCATGAACGAGAACTCTTTGAGTACACTTTCACATCACCTTGACAAAGTGCCCCGTGGAACGGGACAAGGGTAAATATTGAATTAATGGGTGTTTTTTAATCGTATTTGTAGATGGAAAACAGCGGCGTGGTACATATGCTGAAGAACATGAAGACAGAAGATCTCGGATGCATGTACAAGTTATTTTCTAGAGTGAACGATGGGTTACGTACTGTTGGTGATTGCGTCTCTCAGTTTTTAAGAGAACAGGGCCGGGCGATAGTTCAACAAGAACACGAGTCCGCTACGAATGCGATTCACTTTGTGCAAAACTTGTTGAACTTGAAGGACCGCTTTGATCATTTCCTCAAGTGTTCCTTCAACAATGACAAACTCTTCAAGCAGATGATAGCGTCGGACTTTGAGCACTTTCTTAATCTGAACGCAAAGAGCCCGGAGTACCTGTCGTTGTTCGTCGACGATAAACTCAAGAAGGGCACTAAAGGGGTAAATTGCATCTGAAATGAGCTTCATGTATAAGATTTAATCCGATACAAAGTAAAACTGAATGACCACTGTTTTATATATTATTCATCTAATAATGCACGGTGTATGCATAATTAAAATTTTTTAATGCAGATGTCGGAGCCAGAGGTGGAAGGGATTCTGGATAAGACGATGGTGCTTTTTAGATTCCTTCAGGAGAAAGATGTCTTTGAACGGTACTACAAGCAACATTTAGCGAAAAGGCTTCTTTTGAACAAATCCATGTCCGACGATAGCGAGAAAAATATGATATCCAAGTTGAAGGTGCGTTTTATTTTCTATCTTGGACTTCTAGAAATGGGAGAAGCAGTTTTATCTCTTGTACTTAGCTTAGAAAATACATATGTCTAATGTAATATTTTTTATATTCTTGTGATTATATTTTAGACCGAGTGCGGGTGTCAGTTTACGTCAAAACTCGAGGGCATGTTCAAAGACATGACTGTCAGCAATACCATTATGGAGGAATTTAAGGAGCATGTTCTAACCTCTGGGGTGAGTATTATAAATTATGTTAATAATATTGATAAAAGTTCGTGTAGTGCTTACGGACTATTGATGTGAAACTTCTTACTGACCCTTTCATATCATCTTACGATGTGAACCTTTCATATCATCTTAAGATGTGAACTTTTCATATCATCTTAAGATGTGAACTTTTCATATCATCTTAAGATGTGAACCTTTCATATCGTCTTAAGATGTGAACCTTTCATATCGTCTTAAGATGTGAACCTTTCATATCGTCTTAAGATGTGAACCTTTCATATCATCTTAAGATGTGAACCTTTCATATCATCTTAAGATGTGAACCTTTCATATCATCTTACGATGTGAACCTTTCATATCATCTTAACATGTGAATCTTTCATATCATCTAGGTATCACCTATCGAGTCAGTATATAGATTAGCGCGCATGGCCTTGGGAATAATTAAAATTATTCTACCATGTGGCCAAAGATATCTCGTTTAAAAATTATGCTCAACTAAACTGTCTTATTTCTGTTTTGACATTTTCTTGATATATCATATTACTTCATATTCTTCCAGACAAATCTGTTCGGGGTGGATTTAAGCGTAAGAGTGTTAACGACTGGATTCTGGCCGACACAATCTGCGACTCCTAAATGCACCATACCTGCTGCACCCCGAAATGCTTTTGAGGCCTTCCGACGATTTTACCTTGCCAAACACAGCGGTCGACAGTTAACGCTGCAGTCGCAATTAGGTTGGTTGAATCAAAAAGAGCTGCTTGGTGTCCTTAAGGTGAAGTGAAACCTCCTCAAATCAGTCGACTCGAATAAAACACTGTTTTTTTAAAGTTATTGGATTATGGCACATATAATACGAAATGTAATTTCACATTTATGGTATGCAATGTAATTTCACATTTATGGTACGCAATGTAATTTCACATTTATGGCAAAAAATGAAATTTCACATTTATGGTACAAAATGAAATTTCACCTTTATGGTACGAAATGTAATTTCACATTTTTGGTACAAAATGAAATTTCACCTTTATGGTACGAAATGTGATTTCACATTTATGGTACGCAATGTAATTTTACATTTATGGTACAAAATAAAATTTCACCTTTATGGTACGAAATGTGATTTCACATTTATGGTACGCAATGTAATTTCACATTTATGGTACGAAATGTGATTTCACATTTATGGTACACTATGTAATTTCACATTTATGGTACAAAATGAAATTTCACATTTATGGTACGCAATGTAATTTCACACTTATGGGACGAAATGTAGTTCAATTCGTACATTTTTCATCTTCGGACGGGCACTGTAACTATTTTATTGACTTTTTTACCGGTTGTTTTAATTGCCGTATTTTTTTAACAGGCAATGCGGATCTGAATGCCATATTCCACGGGCCACGAAGAGAGGAAGTCAGCACCGGAGGTTTCGATACGCCCTCTTCTTCGAGTTCCATAGGAAACGGAAGTGGAAGTGGAAGTAACAGTTTGCTCAGCCAACGTAGTAGCGGTAGCGAAAATATCAGGAAACACATTATCCAGGTTTCGACTTATCAGATGTGCGTCCTGCTACTTTTCAACAATAGAGAAAGGCTTACGTACGAGGTTTGTTCGATAGATATAATTGTTTTCTCGTTTTCTTTCGACATCCGAGGCTCCTGAAAGGCCTCTGCGACGTATGTTTTAATTGTTCTTGTCTATAATCCGCTCCAGGAGATTCAGAATGAAACAGATATACCGGAAAGGGATTTAGTAAGAGCACTGCAGTCCTTGGCGATGGGCAAAGCCACCCAGCGGATCCTTCTGAAGCATCCGCGCACGAAAGAGATAGAGCCTAGCCATTACTTCTCCGTAAATGACAACTTTACCAGCAAACTGCATAGGTACAACTTTCTATTCTATTATACTTTTATTTTATTTATTTGCCTTCTACCTATATTGTTCTCTACTCTGTCATGTTTGTATTTTATCTATATCTTTCTCTCTGCGTTCTATTACACTAGGGTTCTTCAAATTGCAACACCAAGAATGGAAAGTAAATATTAATGGTGGTTATAGATTTAAAGTGATACGAAAGAGTCAGCTCATTTGTTATATATTTATTATTTATTATATATTTGAGAGGCCAAATCGTTGGTGAAACTATTCTCCGAATTGGGTATACCGATTCGTTTCAAATTTTACCACGTGGATATAGAGGCGCTAAAGTAGGTCCTGAAACTCATGAAATTTCACTTTTCATACAAAATTGACTTATGGATTAGAACCAACATGGCGTGGTCCGTGTATGTTTTCGATATTTTACGCTTTTTGGAGGCTTAGAATCGAAAAAGAAGAGTTTCAGAACCTACCTCGAACAATTTATAATACCGTAGAAATGTAATATTCCAGAGTCAGATGTGAAAACTGGAAAATACTTTCATTAACGATTGCAAGAGAATGCTGGCTTGTCTCAGGGTTAACACGCGTTTTTAGAGAAAAAATTTAGTTGCAGTTAAACGTCACAGATGGCGACGTTTGTCCTAAACAGTCGTTAGAATAATGAACTCACCAGATTTCGATCATTTTACATCGATCTTTTTATCATTACTTTACTGAAATGGCATGGAACGCTTCAGTTCGTATAATTCTCAAAGTAGACTGTAAAAGACTTAAACATAAATATAAATGTCGGTAACGTGACGCGCCAGCTTATGTTACTACTTGAGCATCCAAAATGGCGTTACCACCAAAAAGGATATAGATAAATTTTATTTTATCATCGTCGATTAAATTTCACAGTGCCTTTCATATCACGTTAATTGATATACCTGATGAAGATGAAATTAGGACACGGTTTAAATTTTATTTCATGCTGAAAATACGTGAAAGTTATATCATTCGTTATTGTGACGAAGTAGATCTTTCTTTTTTTACAAAATCTTGTGTATTTATCTCAACTATTTGTAGGTGTTACAATTTTAATGACATCAGGTTATGTCATGTCATGTTATGTTGGATTTTATTTTTACGTCGATCATGAAAATGCTTCAAATAGGATGAGAACTGTTAAACATAAAAATTGAAAATGTCTTCAGGGTAAAGATCCAAACAGTAGCAGCTAAAGGAGAGTCGGAGCCAGAAAGGAGAGAAACTCGAAATAAAGTCGATGAGGACCGCAAACACGAAATCGAAGCTGCCATAGTGCGCATCATGAAGGCTCGTAAACGCATGCCTGTATGTATTAACTTTTCTTTCCTCTGACATTGTTGCGAACGAATGTTCATTACAATTATGAAATGTTAATATTAGCACAACATCCTTGTGACGGAAGTAACGGAACAGCTACGAATTCGATTCCTACCTTCGCCGGTCATCATCAAGAAGCGAATTGAGGGTCTAATCGAACGCGAATACCTGGCTCGCACACCAGAAGACAGGTAAATTAGAGTGATTACATCCACTTAAGATGAAGTGAAATCCCCTACAAATCAGTCGATCTGAGTACAACACTTTTTTTATTAATTATTNGAACTTGACAACGTCGATAAAGAAGATTTTTCTAAATGCCTACGTTGCCGACGTTCGTTTTTATATTGACAGCTATATCGAATTATATTGGGTATGACACTTGGGAATTTTATTCATTAGTTTTATTAATTAATATTTTACGTTTGTGCTTGCAGGAAGGTCTACACGTACGTCGCCTGAACTCGATGCCTGATGACCTCGGATATGTACAAACGTCTAAGTGATCGGTAATGCTGCACAGAGTATTAAAACATATTTAGCTGCATTCCGAGGATGATAAACAAAGCGACACGACATTAGTCCTTTTTGATTTTGCAATATCGTCGCTGTTAATTATTTGAAACTCTCCTTGGGAGGTAAATTGTTTTTCTGGGGACTAAGGCCCTTGCTCGTATCTCACTTTTAGTAGCGCTTGTAAACGACTTTTATGGATCTTTTGGATTTTATGGATTTAGTTAAAGATGATCGGACCGCTGCTAAAAGACGTCATACTCCTTATATGGCGCCGTAGGTCCTAAACAGTCGTTAGAATAATGAATTCACCAGATTTCGATAGTTTTACATAGATCTCTTCATCGTTACTTAACCGAAATGACATATGGAACGCTTCATTCCGTACAATTCACAACGTAAAGAGTAAAAGACTTAAACTTGAGTATTCAAAATGACGTTACCTCCAAAAAGAGTATAGATGACGTCGATCAAATTTCTCGGTGCCTTCATATCTTAAGGTGAAGTGAAACATTCTTCAAATCAGTCGATTCGAATACAACACTTTTTTTTAAGGATATTAGACCAAACTGCCCGAAACTGACACATCACATCTGGTCAACTAAGAATTGTCCTGACACATTCAAAATTAAAATTTTTTAACAACATTTTTTACCTCAGCCCAGACCAGAACCAAAATGACGTCGAGCTCTCATATTTCGATCAATATACAATTATCGAAGGCTTTGATATGAGAATCGAAAGGGTCAGGACAATTTTACGACAATTTAGAATACTCTGGTAATCGATAAACTCGCATTTGAACGGGATAAAGGCAAAAAAAGTGTTGTATGCGCTCTATGCTAAAGCAATGGTAATACGAGGTCTCGGAGTGAAACTTTAATTGACCTGGAAATCACAGATGGCGCAGGGTGTCCCTCTGCAGTGAATTAGGGCCCCAGAAAGCATGAATCCAGAGGATTTCTGGAGTTTTACTTCAATTCTTTTATAATTATTGTACGAAAACGACACGTGGAGTGTGCCATTTTGTACAATACTCAATATAATTCGACTCAGCTGTCGATATAAAAACGAACGTCGGCAACGTAGGCATTTAAAAAAATCTTCTTTATCGACGTCGATCAAGCTCCTCGACGTGTTTCACTTCACCTTAAGTCGGGCCCGATCGTTATCGGGGATGACGGTACCCAGGAGAGTGTCGCTTTTAACGAATGATCTCTTTTCCCGCAGGGAGAGACGTTACATTCCCAGGATGTACACGCCGTGTCTCCGGGCACATTCCTGCAAGCGTGACCTTAAGCGAGCCCGAGTCGAGTCATCGTCCAAACAGCGAATCGCAGTTTCGGCCACTAAGCGGATCGCCACGCAAGTTCTGCTCTCTTTTTCTCTCACCTTTCTCCCTCTCTCTCCACACCTGTCCGGCCTCTGTCAGCGATGAGATACGATACCTGTAAGTGGCGACGGGAGCCGAAATCCAAGCCAGACTCCCGGATGAGAGTTGGGACGATGGCGAGAGACGAGGCGAATCCGGGGCGAGTCGAGGCGGTTTATATATATATATAGATATATATTATGTCGCGAAACTTAGGCTACGTAGGCTCGAGAACCGTTCACCCTCTCGAAAAGGAAACTCCGTTCTTTAATAAACCGATTTTTGCCCAATTCCCGACTGTTTCTTCCCGACGGCGCCTGTCGTGCCGGGCGCCATCTTGCGGCGCCCCCGGCAACTATTCGACCACGTCTCGTTGTTAAGGCTAGCGACTCGGTGGAACGAATGGGAGAATGGAAACGAATGAGGAAGGATCCTGCGGATCTAAAGGGGGCTTCGTGGCACAGCGTGATAACAGTTGAGGAATTAAGCAAAAATATCTGCTCGTTCGGAATGTTATTGCGGTTTATGCTGGTCAAGATTTGACGCCTCGTTTTGAAATAAACTTCTTTTTCCTTTATGTTCCTTCGTGGATGCTGTTTTAAAGAGTAGACTTTGTTCTTCATCATCTGTAGACATCGCCTGTGCAGGATGGGAGGGCATTGATGTCTCCCAGTGTGCGTACGACACTTTCATATCACCTTAACAACACAGAAATTAATGTTTAAAACGCAATTATTGATATCAATATGTGGAGCGAAGTTTGCGCTTTAAAATTGTATACAACATGGACAGAAAGGAGAGGCAAGTTTACTCGAAAACGAAGCGTCAGGCCTTAAATATGAGAAACTGCAATAACTTTTTGGGCAAGTTCATAATCATGACGTCAACGCTAATCGAAGAAATGTTTTCCTACTATCATGACGGAAGAGAAAAGAATGCAGAGATTTTCTATCCACTCTGGCTGCTTTAGAGCCCATTCCTTCGGTTTTTATCGGCTTCAACTTCTTATTTTATTTTCATTTTTTTTTCTTTTTTAACGGGATTATCTCTAGAGTTTTATTGCCTCCGATTAGTTTTACCGCAACATAGAAATCGGCTCTATCGTTCATTTAGCATCGTGTCCCACATTCGTGAACATTATCCTTCTTTTGGTTCCAGAACTGATCGGCTTTTTTCCAGTTAATTTATTAAGTGAAAGTTAACGATTATTCTCTAAGGTTTAGGCAATCCTGTACGTCAGTTGACAAACGATAAAAGGGATTATTATACCCGTGAAATCTTGTCTGCCGCAAAATGTAGTATTTGCATGGCAACCTGCAAATAACTATACCATAGACACAATCTCCGTTACATTCGAATTTATGTTATCGATCGATGTTCTGTTTATTTCTGCGAGTAATTTTATTGCTATCAATTAATTAAATATAATTCCAAAGTGAATCTGACTTCCAGGTGTTATGTTTTTCTGTCGGAGAACGAAGAACCTTTCTTTTCATATTTAACTGTACTCGCTGGTGTTATTAAAAAACCTAAGTACCCTCTAGAGATCATTAATCCAAGGATTAGTCACCAGGCTTAAATGTTCATTGTAATATTACATGTATTTTTATTATACCTAATCTTAAACAACTGAGTTCTTTAATACGATAAGCTTACAGGAGTTGTAACCAATGATTCTCTTTTTCTTGTGTTTGCAATAATCATTTGCTCTTTTGTTTTTAGAATCTACCAGGTTTGGATTGAAACAACGGAAGGCTTGATGGGTTTTAAAAAACGAGTTCACTGATAAGGTGAAGTGTAACGTAAATCGTGAATTCATTATTCTGACGATTGTTTAGAACCAACGTCGCCATCTGTGACGTATAGCTGTAACTAAATTTTTTTCTAAAACACCGTTACTTACAGGACAAGCCAGTATTCTTTTAAAATCGTTGGTGGAAGTATTTTCCATATTTTTCCCTCCGACTCTGTAACATTCCATTTCTACGGTGTTCTAAATTGTTCGAACTAGGTTATGAAACTCTTTATTTTCGATTTTAAGCCTCCAAGAAGCGTAACAAATCAAAAACATGCACAGACCACGCCAAGTTGGTCCCAGTTCATGAAACATAAATCAATTTTGTATGAAAAATAAAATTTCACGACTTTCAGGTAGGTTAATTATTATTTCTACTGATTTGAAGGGGATCTCACTTCGGCTTAAGGTGAAGTGAAACACGTCGAGGAACTTGACAACGTCGATAAAGAAGATTTTTCTAAATGCCTACGTTGCCGACGTTCGTTTTTATATTGACAGCTATATCGAATTATATTGGGTATTGTACCAAATGGCGTACTCCACCTGTCGTTTTCGTACAATAAATATCAAGTAATCGAAGTAAAACTCCAGAAATCCTCTGAATTCATGCCTTCTGGGGCCCTAATTCACTGCGGAGGGATCCCTTGCGCCATCTGTGATTTCCAAGTCAATTAAATTTTCACTCCGAGACCTCGTATTACCATCGTTTTAGCAAAGAAGCGCATACAACACTTTTTTTTTCCTCTATCCAGTTCAAATGCGAGTTTATCGATTACCAGAGGATTTTAAATTGTTGTAAAATTGTCCTGACCGTTTCGTTTCTCATATCGGAGCATTCGATAACTGTATATTGATCGAAATATGAGAGTTCGATGCCATTTTGGTCCTGGTCTGGACTGAGTTAATACATTTTTTTGAAAAATCCAAATTTTTAATGTGTCAGGACAATTCTTAGATGATCAGGAGTGATGTGTTAAAGTTTTGCACAGTTTGGTCTAATACCCTTAAAAAAAAGTGTTGTATTCGAATCGACTGATTTGAAGGATGTTTCACTTCACCTTAAAACACCGACCCACGAAAAGTAAAAAAATATCTCCCAAAACAAGAGAACAAGAATAAATTACATTTTATTTTGACCTCTCAAAATCACATACAACGATTACCAGTTCGTTACAGATTCATTTGAATTGTTTTACAGACTATCGTTGAATTCGCTATTAATATGATTTTAAAAATCATACAGGTTCTCCACGTTCCTGGATACATATATAAAAATCTCCTACTGCAGTAGCCTTCGGTTTAAAAATTACAAGTTATAATACGCCTTCCTCACTACTCGGCGTAACGATGCGAAATAACGATTTAGTTACAAGTCTGGTCGAAAGGGGGCGGCGAAGCTACGTTGAAAAATCCCGCCTATGAATAGTAGTATCTTCCAGAGCGATTCTGTCCCAACATTGCACGTATGTTTCAAATACGTTCGTCCCAAGTTTTGCACCTTCCAGACTGAAGTCCATCGAAGATAATTTCACAGAATCTCGGTATCATCTAGTCTCCTTGACTGGCAGAAAGGCTAAACTTTCCCGTTGCGCTCCATCTCGTCCAGCGACTCTCTCGATGAATGTAAGGAACCTGGAAATGAAAATACTCATGAAACACTCATGTAAATCAATCAATAAGTTAGTTCATTAAGGAAAGCCGGTGTAAATTATGGTATTAAGGTGATATCAAAGAGTCAGCCTACAAATATCTGAGAAGTCAAATCGTTGGGGAAAGTATTCTCCGAATTGGGTGTACCGATTAGTTTCAAATTTTACCACGGGAATGTGGAGGCGCTAAAGTAGGTCCTGGTCCTCATGAAATTTCATTTTTCATGAAAAATTAATTTATTTATCATGGACTGGAACCAACATGGCGGGATCCGTGTACGTTTTCGATATTTTACCCTTTTTGGAGGCTTAGAATCGAAAAAGAAGAATTTCAGAACCTACCTCGAACAATTTAGAATACTATTGAAATAAAATATTACGGAGTTAGATGGGAAAATATGGAAAATACTTTCACCAACGATTGCAAGAGAATGCTGCCTGGGTTTTTAGAGGAAAAATTTAGTTGCAGTTAAACGTCACAGATGGCGACGCTGGTTCGTCAAAATATAAACGGTCATGAATTCACGGAATTTCGACAGTTTTACATCGATCTCTTCGTTACTACTTTACCGAAATAACGCATGGAACGCTTCAATTCGTACAATTCTCAGCGTAGACTGTAAAAGTGCAAAATATTCACGATATTTAAGGCAACGTGGAAGCGGGGTTTAAAGAACCAATCGTTTATGAAACTTCTCCAAACTGGATGCATCGAATCATTTGAAACTGTACCATGGAATGCTGGGGACCCTAAGGAGGGTCTTGACAATCATGGGATTCTATAATTTCTAAAAAAAAATAAGAAATTGTTTATAAGAAAGATAAAAAATGAAATAGCCCGGTTTTCTTACGCGAACGGCATCAAATCTCCTGTATTAGTTATGGCTACACGGAACAGATGTCTCCACCTTTGATGCGCGCTTATTTCGCATTGTTCCCCTCCATAGTGCTCCAGAATTGCCTGACTTTTGAGAAGCGTTTGCGTCCTGGCATGCATACAAAGGACAGAAACAGAGAGAAGAGAACGTCCATTAACCATGCGGGAAGAGCGTGCAAGAAGGTCGGGTGTTCATATCGGAATCGCGTATACAGGTCCAAAAACTTCTTTGCTGGAGGCCGAGAAATTTTCTCGGGTGATTTTCATGAAACTTTGAGTCATAGGTGTCGCTGCGGTAGGCGAAGGTCCGTGTAAGAGAAACGGAATTAAATTGTCGCTTGTTGTCCCTCCTGCGTTCACGTACAGAAGGTTCTTTAAGGGGATGTGAAAGTGGCACCTGAGATGTCAATCGTTTTTCACATTTTTTATCAAACTGGGACTACCGAATCGTTTGAAGCTTTACAACGTGAATATGGAGACTATAAATGAGGTACCAACACTCATAAAGTTTAATGTTTAAATTAAGGCGATGTGAAAGTGGCATCTGAAGAGTCAATCACTTTTCACACTTTTCATCGAACTGGGACTACCGAATCGTTTGAAACTTTACAACGTGAATATGGAAGCTATAAATGAGGTCCTAATACTCATGAAGTTTAATATTTAAATTAAGGGGATGTGAAAGTGGCATCAGAAGAGGACAATCGTTTTTCACACTTTTCATCGAACTGGAGCTACCGAATCGTTTAAAACTTTACAACGTGAATATGGAGACTATAAATGAGGTACCAACACTCATGAAGTTTAATGTTTAAATTAAGGGGATGTGAAAGTGGCATCTGAGGGATCAATAATTTTTCATACTTTTCATCGAACTGGGGCTACCGAATCGTTTGAAACTTTACAACGTGAATATGGAGACTATAAATGAGGTACCAACACTCATAAAGTTTAATTTTCAAATTAAGGGGATGTGAAAATGGCATCTAAGAGGACAATCGTTTTTCACACTTTCCATCGAACTGGGGCTACGGAATCGTCTGAAACTTTACAACGTGAATATGGAGGCTATAAATGAGGTACCAACACTCATGAAATTTAATTTTCAAATTGAGGGGATGTGAAAGTGTCATCCGAAGAGTCAATCACTTTTCACACTTTTCATCGAACTGGGGCTACCGAATCGTTTGAAGCTTTACAAAGTGAATATGGAGGCTATAAATGAGGTCCTAACACACATGGAGTTGAATTTTCAAATTAAGGCGAATACTTCATACGGCGGCAGCATTAAGAACAAAAGATCCTCAGAGTTTTTAGACCCGTGTACACGCCCGTTGTCGAAATAAGCAGTCACATTTGCATCCAGGAGAGCCCATAAGTCGCGATGGCGTCGATTCGTGCTTTCGTTAGGTCGTGTCGGAAAAAGCAGGTGGCACTGGCCCTTCTCCCCGAGGTGGACAAACCTTTCTTGTGGTTGCGCGAGCGCTGCTCCCTCTGGTGTGGCTGGAAGCCAGGGGCGCGCATAGGCGGCTCCTTCGGCCAGGAGGGTCCCAGGTGCAGCGGCATCATCGACGCCGATGGGGCCGGCGGGGGCGGGTGGTGGGATAGGCCACGCCCAGGCGGGAAGGGTGGGGGAGGCGAGCGCCTATGGCCGTAGGGGAGGAGGTGTGGTGGGGGCGACAGCGGCGGTGGAGGGGAGCCGGTCGCGTTGTACCGCTCGCCGATTGGCGCTCGCGGCGGCAGTGGAGGGGGCGACGAGAGGCGGCCGCCCAATGGGGGCGGTCGCTGGCTCACGTCGTAGGGCGACAGCCCCGGGGAGTGCAACGGCGGCGGCAGGAACAGCGGCAGCGGGGGCTCGAACATGTACGAGTGCGGCGGCGGCGGCGGCGGGGGCACGCCCGAGGAACCGCTAAACATTATCGGCGAGCCCGACTGGTCCGCGCCCAGGTAGAGCGCCGGCGACGCCACTGTCTCCCCGTTCGCCTCCAGACCTGTTTGGGAATTGAGGTTAAGTAAGCCGGGGGATCTCGTCGGCGTTCCTTCGTCTCCTAGGAGCTCCGCTGGGGTTCCTGGCCTAAATCGGGGACTTGAAGTTCAAATTTAGGGCGGAGTTACCTATTCTCTGCCGCGACTGTTCTCAAGGTGAAGTGAAACACGTCGAGGAACTTGATCGACGTCGATAAAGATTTTTCTAAATACCTACGTTGCCGACGTTTGTTTTTATATTGACGGCTGTGTCGAATTATATTGAGTACTGCACGAAATGGCATATTCCACCGGGTGTTTTCGTACAATAATTATAAAGAAATCGCAGTAAAACTCCAGAAATCCTCTGGATTCGTGTTTTCTGGGGCCCTAATTCACTGCAGAGGGACCCCCTGCGCCACCTGTGATTTCCAGGTAAATTAAAGTTTCACTCCGAGACCTCGTATTACCATTGCTTTAGCATAGAACCGCATACAACACTTTTTTTGCCTTTATCCCGTTCAAATGCGAGTTTATCGATTACCAGAGTGTTCTAATTTGTCGTAGAATTGTCCTCACCCTTTCGATTCTCATATCAGAGCCTTCGGCAATTGTATATTGATCGAAATATGAGAGCTCGACGCCATTTTGGTTCTGGTCTGGGCTGAGTTAAAAAATTTGTCCCAAAAATCTAAATTTTAAATATGTCAGGACAATTCTTAGATGATCAGGAGTGACGTGTCAAAGTTTCGGACAATTTGGTCTAATACCCTTAAAAAAAAGTGTTGTATTCGAATCGACCGATTTGAAGGGGGTTTCACTTCACCTTAAACAGTCCTTAGACTCTGAATTAATTCAAGTCATTCTGCTAAGATGAGATTATTTTTCATGATTCGAGGTGGTCACTTGTAATATTCGTAGTAATTTCGTTTATCAACTCGTCTGAAAACTTTATCCTCTATCCATAAAAAGAGATGTGCCAATTTTTATTACGTTCAATTAGCTACTATGGATTTTGAACGGTTAGAATGATAATTATTCCTATCGTAACAAGATACTGCATTTTTTTATATCATCGAACATGTCTGTAAATGAAGTAAATGCTTGAAAAATATTTCTTTAAGAGAAGATGTAATTACAAGTGCTCATGTCTAATGGTAATTGACCTCAAGGTTCAATGAATCTGTTCCTTTGATGAACCGCACTCTACCGGGATTATTTAGAACTAAATACTTGTGAATGAACCTACATATGTACTAGATTTTCAGTAACGAGCATTATTATCGGGGAATTGTGTAAACACTTGTAACTGAACTTACATATGTACTAGATTTTCAGTAACGAGCATTATTATCAGGGAATTGTGTAAACACTTACGATGCAATTTGGCTTCGGGTTCAGCTTCGTTAATGTTTTTCTCCACCAATGTCAATCGATGGCGAAGCTGACTTGCTTCAGCCTTCGATTCTTCCAAACGTCGTTCGTTCTGTCGTGCAACAACCTATAATAATAAAATTATATTACCATCTACGTCATCTGAAGGTGATATGAAAGGGTCATTCTATTTTACACATCGAAACATTAAATTATTTACAAAATTTTCCCCTAAACTAGGTGTATCGAATCATTTGAAACTTCGGTAAGTGATTACAAAGGCCTTAAGGTAAAACGCGATGCTCGTGAAATTTAATTTTTCAAACAAAAACTTTTTTCATTTAGCCTAGACTAGAACCAAGATCACATTTTTTTGTGAAAAATTAAATTTAACGAGCATCGCGTTCTTCCTCACGTGCTGAAGTTTTAGATGATTCGGTACACCCAGTTTGGAAAAAAGTTCCATAAATATTTTGACGTTTTATATACATAAATAAATATACAACCTTTTCATATCACCGTAATACCTTTTAAAACCTAGAATGGCATATTATTATTTCCACTCGTTTTCTCAACAGATATAGAGCAAATGTCCACATACCCACTGCTCGTGCGACTTCGTTTCCAGGATGGATATCTGGTTTTTGTACTCCCGTTCTTGATCAAATATTTCCCGTTTCAACATTTCAACTTGCTGTCTAAAAGTTAAATGTTCACAATCAAGTTATGACAAATGATTGTGGATATTAAGGTGAAGTGAAACCCCCCTCAAATCGGTCGATTCGAATAAGGCCCCTTTTTTTAAGGGTACTGGATAAACTTTGTCACACGACTCGTCATCAACTAAGAATTGTCCTGACGCATTCAAAATTTGGATTAAAACAAAAAATATTTTTCACTTAGCCTAGACCAGAATCAAAATGGCGTTGAGGTCTCATATTTTGATCGATATACAAGTATTGTACGCTCCGATATGAGAAACGAAGGTGCCAGGATAATTGGGCGACAATTTGGAACATTCTAGTAATCGATAAACTCGCATTTGAACGGGATAAAAGCAAAAAAAAGTGTCTTATGCGCTTCTGTGCTAAAACGATGGTAATACGAGGTCTCGGAGTGAAAATTTAGTTCACATGGAAATCACAGATGGCGCACAGTGTCCCTTTGCAATCAATTAAAGCCTCAGAAACCATGAACTCAGGGGATTTCTGGAGTTTTAATTCTTTACAATTATTATAGGAAGACGACAAATGGAGAATGCCATTTAGTACGATACCCAATATAATTCGACTGCAGCTGTCGATACGAATGTCGGTAACGTAGGTATTTAGAAGAATCCTTTTTACCGGCGTCGATAAAATTTCTCGACGTGTTTCACTTCACCTCAATGGAGTAATAATATGATTAGATAAATATATAATTTTGGAAGGCTTACTTATAGTTATGCAATTCGTCCTGCATCATCTGTATCCTTTCTACGGTCGAAGTGACTTCTCCTTGTTTCTGCAGCCACACCGCTTCCTCCCTAAAATAAATAAATAATTATGGAACTGAAATCACATGATTATATATAACGTGGTAACGTTTTACGACCTAAAGTGAAGTTAATATTTATTATCAACTCTTTCACGGTTAATAATAACGAAAAGCGCTGAAAAATAGTCGACTTTTTGTGCACGAAATTGCATCTATTTGTGATAAAATGCAATTATGTGCTACCCAAAAGACGTCGGGTGTAACTTGGGCACTTTTTCGTTTCCTCGTACGACTATACAATAAAAAGGGTAACAATAAAAGACTATACAATAAAAATAACACCTTTTAAAAATGCAAACTCCTTACTTTTGCCGTTCGGCTTCCTTCTCTTTGAAGAACTTCGACAGAACCTCCAGGCGCGTTTCCGCCTCCCTCTTTTCCTTCTCCGCAAGTCTGCACTGCTCGCTAAGAGACGTGATTTCCTCCCTAACCAGGTTCATGTGTTCTATAAAGGAAATAAATCATTTGTTAAATGAACTTGCTGCCAAGGATTCTACTTACGGGGAACTCTCTATAACATAAATGAAAAGAATGATTTGTAGTAAAATAATTGTAGATAAAAATAAAAGAAATTCAGGCACACCTTCGAGCAGTTGATGAGCTCCTTCAACCTCGCTTAATTTGATTTTCAACTCGTCCCTCTCCTCGAGAATTTGGCTCGCTTCGGCTTTAATTCGAGAAACATTGTAAATTTTGTCGAGGTCCAGGCTGTTGGAACTTATTTGGTTAACTAAGTCCAAAAGGTCTTTCACTTCCATCTCCTTGTTCTTCAGTTGTTTCCGTATATTGACTTTCTCAGCCGACATCTGAAACGAGTGATAATTTCCTCACCGTACGGTTCATATTTCATCGACAAAGAATCATATATTTACTTCAAATCCTGTGCTTACCTCAGCAATTTTACTCTCCAATTCTTCTATTTTATCCGTTAGTGCACGTTGTGTTTCATTCTTTAAGGTCTTCAGTTCTTCCCTCAGATACGAAACCTCTACCTCTAATTGTTGCCACTTTTCATTAGCACTCGCCAATTCCGACGAGAGGGCTTCATTCTGAAACGTTATAATCGAATCTTTAATCCAGCCGCAATTGCAGAAAATAATTTAGCGAATAATATTGTTACATAGCATTTAATAATGATTTGTACTGTAGAGGTGCTCTTAAGGTGAAGTGAAACCCCTTCATATCAGTCGATTCGAACACAACACTTTTTTTTAAGGGTATTGGACCAAACTGTCCGAAACTTTGACACATGACTCATACATGAGCATATATGAGCTTTATTTTTTTTATTACCATTTATATATTACCGTTTATAGCGCTGAAAGGGTTAAGTCTAGCCTTTACCAAGAAATTCAGAAGTCCCATTGAAGCCTAGATCCTAGGTTAGCGCTTCATTCTTTATAAGTTGGTTAACAAACCAGAAGTGGGAGTAAAAAAGAGATCGCATGTGTTAGCCCACGATATCTCACATACGGGAGGAAGAGAGACGAGTGCTGGGTGTAAGATAAAAAAAGAATGCAATTCGCTATGTATCGCCATAAGATTAAGAGAGACAGAGAGATGATCACAGCGCCGCCATCCGTTGGCTAACGTACTATTCATCGAGCATCCAACGTCCGTATCCTCAAAGAATTCAGAAGTCTCCATAGAAGCCCAGAAGGATACGGACGTTCGATGCTCGATAAATAGTACGTTAGTCAACAGATGGTGGCGCTGTAGTCATCTCTCCATCTCTTTTAATCTTATGGCGATATATAGCGAATTGTATTCTTTCTTTATCTTACCCACAATACTTGCCTTTCTATATGCGTCTCTCTTCCTCCCGAATGTGAGATATCGTTGGCTAACACATGCGATCTCTCTTTTACCCCCACTTCTGGTTTGTTAGCCAACTTTTAGAGCATCAAGCGCTAACATAGAATCTGGGCTTCTATGGGACTTATGAATTCTTTGGTATCCTTCTGGGCTTCTATGGAGACTTCTGAATTCTTTGCCTTTACCAATATGAAGTAATTATTATTTATTTGTCTGATTCTAATTTCCTCTCAAAGTAAGTTTTTCTCCAAAGTTTCTAAAAATGGACTTATTACTCTTCATCTTTGCGGTACATGTATGTCTGTTCGATATACACAGCCATGAACATCAGTTTATCAAATAAATGATATCGCTGGCTTGTTAAATATATTATATTAGACTGCACAAACCTCAAGTTTATCGAATTCATGCTGCGGCGAGAACGTGAAATAAAACAAAAGCATAAGGAGTTAATCCACACGTGTGATAATTCGACATGACTAATTCAGCTTAAAAATAAAGGGGAATTCCGTAGAAAAGAACATGCAAGCTTGAAAGAAGGAAAGAAAATTTCGTTTACAAGCTTACCTCTTGTGTCTTGAGATTGAGCTTGTTGATTAAAGATTCATTTGTTGCTTGTTGAGCATTTAGACGGGATTGCAGATCCTCCACGGTTTGAGCAAGAGGGTTGTCTTCGTTGTTCGTGGAGAGAATTTCCCTAAGCATTCGTTCCAACTCCAAACCAGCTTCCGTAGCGCTTTCTAGTTCTTTCTCCAGAACGACAATTTGCTCTTCCAACTCTGCCTTTGCTGTCTGTATTCGTTAAAATATAATTTATATTATTTCTCTTTCCTAGTTGTATATACATAATGTGCATATTCATTTCTTGAGCACCTGGCAAAAATCACATTAAGGGATCGCTCTACGTTATACTTTCAAAAAAAATAAAACACGTATTTATTTCACTTTTCTAAAGTATATGTTACCAATATGTATGAAACAGGAATCGCAGATAAGCCATTTGTGGAAGTTTTTAATGTTTTTTAGTATTTAAGACATTAGACGCGTTTTTCTCAAAACGATAAATTTTCATGCGGCACAGATAAAATTAAAAAAGATAAGACAAGCAACGGTCTAAAATTTTGGAAGCTTATTTTATACAAGTATGGCTATTGCTTAAACCAATATCAGGTCGAAGTGATTATATTATTATACTTTTTACATAAAAAAAATAACCGACAAAATGGTGAATTCTTTCAACGTCTTGTCTAAACCGACAGTATTTTATTTTTCACCCAAAATTATTGGTTCTCCGTTACGTCTCATCTTTTCTAGCATTTTACTTCTCAAGTGGTCGAGGCTCAGGCGCCACATAAGAAGTTTCATTTCGACTAATGAAAAGCTAAATAACATCTGCAAGATACATTTGAAGTACAACTTTGAAGAACATATTACCTGCGAAGCTTCTAGATCAGATTTCAAAGATATAACCATCTCATTGGACCCAAAAGATTCGTCCTCGATAGAATTTAACTGAAAATCAGTTAACAATGTAAGAATCATGTACACGTGTAAAGAATATCAATCCATATATACTGGTTTTAAAAATTGATCTTACTTTACTTTTAGTAGACTTTAGGTTTTCATCCAGCACGATGCATTCCTTAACGGATACCAGCAATTCCTTCTCCAATTGGTTTATCCTTGCTATGAGTTGGTTGTCTCGCCTCATATTCTATGTAATAAAAATAACAGACAATGCAACAATACATGACGTAAAATAACAAAAGCGTCGTTAAACTTTTGTATCTTCAACGATACTGTAAACATTTAATATATTTAAAATTCAAGGGAAATAAGCGAAGATTTTCTTTAATATTCAATCAAGTTATATGAAGACGAACTGTTCATTACATTGATTAAACGTACCTCGATGTAATAATAACCCAGCGAGAACAGAAGCGTCGTAAATGCTGTAATACCAACATACGTTAACGTTTCCCAGTAACTTCGACCAGAAGTTGCTGCATGTATAATGGCACTCTCCTCCGGTTCAGAAGGCTTATATTCAGTTTCCTATCGACAAAAATGCATATTAATTGTATCCTATGTATTAGGTGATTCGATAAACACTGCTCTCCTTAAGATGATATGAAAGGCCCTGAGAAATTTACTCGAGGCTGATAAATTAAAATTCAATACCATTTTTGGTGGTAACGTCATTTTGAATACTTAAGTGGTAACGTAAGCTGGCTCGCCACGTTACAGACATATGCATTTACATTGATGTTTGTTACATTTTACGTTGAAAATTATACGAAATGAAACGTTCCTTATATCACTTCGGTAAAGTAATGATAAAAGGATTCATGTAAATCTGTCGAAATCTCGTGAATTCATTATTTTGACGACTGTCTATGATCAACGTCGCCATCTGTGACGTATAGCTGCAACTAAATTTTTTTTCTAAAACACCGTTACCCACGGGACAAGTCAGCGTTCTCTTAAAATCGTTTGTGAACGTATTTTCCATATTTTCCCATCTGACTCTGTAATAGTTCATTTCTACGGTATTCTAACTTGTCCGAGCTAGGTCCTGAAACTCTTCATTTTCGATTCTAAGCCTCCAAGAAGCGTAAAACATCGAAAATGTGCGCGGACCACGCCATGTCGGTTCTACTCCGTAATAAGTAAATAAATTTTTGATGAAAAATTAAATTTTGTGAGTTTCAGGACCTACTTTAGCGCCACCACATTCACGTGGTAAAATTTAAAACGAATCGGTACCCCCAATTCGGAGAATACTTTTACCAACGATTTGACTTCTCAGATATATATAGACTGATTCTTTCATATCACCTTAAATAACTTGTCTTAACAATTTAAACTGTAATTATGTTACAAAAGGGCTACATGACGTGCTTAATAAATACTTCACTTTCATGTTTCGTAATGACAAGGTTATTGTTATCGTTCAAGGGAACTGATTTTCTGTTCTCTGTGAAAAGTTCCACAGTGGCTTGCATGTAAAAAACTAGATCACAGCAATTTTTCCATGAATCAATCCTGAGATATTGCCATTCAGAATACATGATTTTAGCAAATGGCAATGAAAAAGGATCGGTAATACACGATCCGTCTATTTCAACTATACATGTACGATTACGCACTTATATATGTATCGATCACATTGGCATTTTTCACAGCCATTAAATTAAACATCAATCATTATTATCAATTGATAATCATTGATTATCAATCAAAATTAAACATCACATAATTACAATAAAATATATTAATAATGCAGCGAACGAACCTCGTTAACGTCCTTTACTTGACTCTCTGTATCCTTCGGACAATTAAAGTCCGCACTGCACTCTCCAATTTCTGCCACTGTAACACGGCAAACAGGTACGTACGTCAAGAACAATACAACAATGCATACATACTGATATTTTTCTAACAAAGGAAAAAAAAATGTTATACGTTACCCTGATATTCGGTTTCTGTATTGCTTGTATCCACATCTTCATCAAGGGTAGTATTTATCGGTACGTGTTCTGTTATCACTACTTCATTGGTTACTTCTTCATATTGAGGAGAGACTTCGGTTACAGGCTGATCGATCTCGGTAGATTTTTCTGCATCAGTCTGCGACACTTCTGAAAAGATTACACTCTTTTGTCTTTATCCCGTTCAAATTGCAAGTTTCTTAATTACCTGAGAACTTTGTGTGAAAGACGCTGAGAAATTAAATCTACGTCAATGAAATAAAATTTATCTATGCCCTTTTTGGTGGTAGCGCCATATTGGATACTCAAGTGGGAATATAAGCTACTTCGTCCCGTTACCAATATTTATATTTATGTCAAAGTTTGTTTCACTCTACGTTGAGAATTATACGAAATGAAGCGTGTCATATGTCTTTCCAATAGAATAATTATAAAGAAATCGAAGTAAAACTGTCGAAATCCTATGGATTTATGGTTTTGAATACTTCACCACCGGCGCCATCTGTGATGTTTAGTTGCAACTAAATTTTGATTCTGAAAACACGTGTTACCCAGGGAACAAGCTACCATTCTTTTACAATTGTTTGTGAAACTACTTTGCATATTTTCCCACCTGACTCTATAATGTTCCACTTCTATAGTATTCTATAATAAATGATAAATAAAAAAAAGGTCTATAGTAAATTATTGGAGCTTGGCCTCAAACTCTTCATTTTCGATTCTAAGTCTTCAAAAAGCGAAAAACATTAAAAGCGTCTGAGATATGTGGGCTGCGGAACGAATGTTTACTCATAATTCATATTTTTTTTTAAGAAATAATTTAAAAATCTGGCTTCGCAGGGATAAATACAAACATTTTTGGGTGTAAAGTTTCTCTGCTTCCGCAAAAAAAGGCATATAGAAAAAATGATGTACCATTTTACCTTAAACCTGTCTTTTACATCACCTTAAAGTTAATCAGTAATACTTTAGCTTCACTATAACTGTCTTATAGCACTAAAAACTGTAATGGTATGACTTACGATTATCAGGCTGGCGAACCTCTTCTACATTCAGTAAATTTCGATTAGAGAAAAACTGGTTGAAGCTCGCAATATGTTGCATAAGAATGTTTGGATGATCGCTACCAGTAGCCTCATTTTCATCCTTCAGATTTGTATGTAATGTTTCTTGGCTATCTTGCGTATTTAATTCGATAGGAACATCAGGAAGAGAATCGTTTAATTTAACATAACTATGGTTGCCTCGATCTATGGAACTATCCACCTGTGGTTGAACATCGTTGTCATTCACTCTTTCAGTATCGATAACAGAATCAGTAAGTACTTCTGCCGTTGTATTCTGAATTTTATCAGCAAGTGAATCATCCTCCTTGACACTTATAACCACTGTATCCTCATTTTTATCAGTAGTTATATCTCCATTCCGTGCATTATCTACCGATGTGTCCTGATTTTCACGAACAGTGATATCTTTTTCAGGGGTAACATCATTAGTTACATAATCTGGCACTTTATCCTGGCTGTTATCCACTATTACATCATCCTTAGGAAGGATAGGCTTCTCTTCTATGGTTTCTCCATTCTGTTCCGTCATTTGCTCATCTTTGTTGGTATCTTCGTTTAAACTTACATGGGTATTTCCATCAGTTTTAGATTCATCTGGAATCTCCTTAATAGTTTCTTCTATGGGTGCAATATTATCTTCGCTTGAAGAAATTACATCCTGGACTACCTCGTCAGGCTTTGCATCCACAGGAACACTCACTGAAGGCACCGTGTTGGAAGATGAATCGATACCTTTCAATTTTACAGCTGACGCTTCTCTATTGACTTTCTCATCAAAGTTAGGAGAAGCTTCTTCTACGTGAAGTTTTTCAGTCGTACAATTATCACAGACCGTTGAAGCTTCCGTTGCTTCTAGTGGAAGAGAAACGTTTACATTCGAATCCACGTTAACCTCTTCTCCAATTTCTACACCGTTTTCTTTAGTCGAGAATTCTGTTTCAGCACATTGTTGACTAAAAGCACCTTCTTTTGCTTCATTCTGTTTTAAATTATCATTCTCACCCTTCTTTTCCTCTTTAGTATTATCTGTAACTATATCATCATTCACAGGTTCAGTTTCTTTCTTTTCAATACTATCAGCTGGTGCTGAAGAATCGACGGATTGATGTAACGATGCAGGCTGTTCGAGAGATTTAGATTCTGATTTCTCTGAGTGTAGATCTTTTTCAACATCGGAAAGTTTTTGTTCCGAATTATCGCTGGGAACCTGCAATGATGGCATGTTGGCAATGCCTGGCACAGTTGTTTCCTTCGATGCCGTGCTTTCTTTTTCTGGTTCAGGAGAAGCAAGTGTCACGATATCATCCGTAATCATAAGTGGAAGGACAGTAAGAATAGGTTGTTCATTCGATCGCACATTTTCCACAATTTTGGTAGAGTAACTAGGCTGATCGGACAATTCATCAGATGTATAATAGATCGTTGTTCCATCCACTACTTCATAAGATGGAGATATATCTTCTATATTTAGTGTAGTAGCTTGACCAGATTTATCTTTGTCTACAGAGATGGAATCTGATCGTTTTTCATCCAATGATTTCTTACCATTCGGTTGTTTATGAGGAGTACTTTCATCGATTGGCTCTTTTGCCTCTTCCGTTGATACCTCATATGTCAAGTTGTGATGAAAAACCTTATACTCTCGTAAAAACTTATAAGGGGCATATCCTCGTTTGTTTCGTATCTAAAGGAAAAACACTATAACTTTATTTCGAACTACGAAATAAATCAAAACTAATTAATGTCAGTGCATCATATGAATTCAAGTGCCAAGTGAATAAAATAGAATTCCAAAAGCTATAGATACCATAGCTATGAATTCATAAAGCCAAAAATGTTACAATTATGAATTCATAAAGCATTCTATATTGTCTTTTAACCGTTTGAGTCCCAAGTAGCGTGATCACGCTGTTTAGATTTCATATAGAAAAAACCCTGTACATTTGAACGCGATGGACAACTGACAGTGTTCTTAGAGTAATTGAAATAGCGAGCTCTATCGCCCCGCTTGACTCTCTTCGCCCTCAGTTAAGACAGTGCATTGTTCAGCATTTTTCGACACTGTTTTTTCAATGACCCCTGGGACTCAAACGGTCAATGCACAATAACATAGTTCCTATTTAGAGATTGTTATTCTATAGAGAAATGCAACGGAGCATACCTTAACACCCCAGAGATCCATCCTGTTCCCTGCGGACTTACTGAATACCTCGACCTCTTGGTTGATGTTAAATCCGAGGATCCCTGCATACCGAGAGTTGTACCGAATGATGGTCCTGGCCAGTGAAACCGGTACTGTGGGGAATAAACCGAGAAACGATAGAAGAAAATTAAATTAGTCGTGTAAACAAAAATATATGCGTTCGGTATCAATTAATAAGGCCAGTCGAAAGTATGGCTTCAATTACCGGAACAGTTGGGGTCGTAACATAACCGCTTATCTGAAATCGCAGCGGAACATAGAGACGTTGTTGCGATAAGTGCACAAACGGCGACGTATAAAAATGTTATCGACTGGACCATTTTCGTCATATTTCTGTTACTGAAAAGTTCCACATCACTAATGAAATGCAATGACACAGCCTTGGGACTCGGACGCACACGGACATACACACGCCATACACACGCGAGGAAAACGGAGTGCAAGCCACCTGGAGATCGGAGAACTGAGAAGTCACGGACTGTGAGGTTATGAGACGGAATAGTCGATGTAGGCCTCCATTACATTTCAAACCGACACTTAAGACCTTGATCATGTCTTCATCGTGCTCCTAAATCCGGGATTTATCGGATGCGGAACCGGGGGTCTATTATGTAAAGCAAATTGAGCGAAAATGTGAAAAATGAGTAGCTGACGGTATTACGGAACGTTTTTGGTGGTGAAAATGTGAGACCATTCATGTGAACTGGCTCGACACAAATTTTTAAGCGAAATAGTGAAGCATAGAAGGAAAGATAGAAAAATAAGCGCCGTGAACGCCATATTCCACGGATTGTGACACCGAAATTCAAAATGGAAAACCTCCTGGGTGTTTTGATTTTTAGGAACAATCGTATTCGAGGATGTAATAATAACCTTATTAGAAGAAGAAAGGAATTATGTGATGCCTCAGACCCATTCAGAAGAAAGAGAATTTACTAGGATGTACGGGTTAGTTTTTGTTATAGCGAGGTTATATTACATTATAAAACATTGAAAACTGTTAAATAATTCATGCTTACATGACATGATAAGAAAATTATATTGTTGAACTTCTAATTATAGTACATGTAAATATGAATGTAATATATATTTAAAAAATATGAGTAGATTCGAGTCCTCTTTCTTACTTTTAACGGCTTTCCATCTTCCCGCCTTTCCTGTCCTATAATCCACACCTCTCAACAATGTTCGATTTACAAGGTATATACCTTTGTTTGCAATATTACTAAATCGGAAGTGGTGATGATCTCGTTCTTTCATATAGCGAATACGTAATTCGGCGAATAAACCCACGTGAGACGGAAGTGCGAGAAAGGAGCGCGCTCGTCAAAAATACGTAATAAACGCCCAGTAAATCCATGGACAACGCGTTTGAGTTTTGAATTTCCCGCGCGGAATGACGTGCACTAGCGCTTTGGTGATGTAGTTTAGAACTAATGTTAGAATTGAGGCGAAGTGAAGGAGAGTCATGAGTCCTAAAGCGGGAATTCTTTTTTCATGATTGAGAATGTTTGACTATAGCTGACTATAGCAATTTAAATTCCAAATCCACGTGACAGCCTTTTAAATTCTTATGTTTGTATTTTAACCACAAATTGTCATGAAATAGATCTTAATTTTATCCTGAGTTCTCTAACTTCTATATCTCTTGTATTGTGGAGTGTTTGTTGTCCTAATTTTCGCTTATCTTGATTATTAGTTACTGCAAGTCATCACTTTTTGCAACCCATTTAAATTTTTTATACAAATTGTATAGAAAAGATTTAACACCACGTACGTTCTGTCATTTCTAATAGTGTTACGTAGTACATACATTGTATTACGATGTTATTAAACTTGAATTATTTTCAACAGTTGAAGCATATAATAATGACGGAATCATTGGATCATCTGTTGAAGCGCCAATCATGGAGTGGAATGAATTTGCAATATTTTGTCGATCGAGCAAAAGATTGGGCTTTGACTCATGGTACGTTAATTAAAAATGAAATATTTTATATTTTGTTAGATAACGTTTACCATCGTCGATGGTACCACCACAATGTTTTCTTTATAAAAATAGTGGATAGATCTCTGGTAGAGATAATTTGTTGTCAATTATATGTTGTATATGATGCTCCACGACTTGTATTTTTTAGGTAATTTATGGACGTACTTGTATCAGACATTGACATGAATTTGTTATGAATCAGGTTTTCTTAATTGACTACAAAAATTAAGTCTGTTTAATGAAAGTATTTGACATTTGATTAAAAATGGTTGTTTATATTATTAGTTAGAATGTAAAAGAATGTAGCATTGCATTCTTGGCACATTTTTTTATAGTTAAAGGAAATGGTAAATTGAAGTATTGCTAATAGTTTACGTAAGTACTAAGAATTTATTTAAGAGTACAAAAATATTGATAAACATCTTAAAGTCTGTCATATTGTTTTTCTGAATGTAACGTTATATTAAACATGTTTCAGTTATACAAAAATCCTATTCATACAATGTTCATATCTATTGTTGTATTAAAAAATCAAATTGTTTCAGGAATTGGGATGCGGTCGAAAGAATTTTTCAACAAAGATGCTGTGCAAATTGCACCGTTTATATTACTTCCATCAGATTATCCTAGATCGGAGTTCCAAAAAGCAGTAGAAATTCAAACAGTATTAGGTGCACTAATGCACAAAGTAGCGCATGATTATGATTTCTTGAAGGAATCATTGAAAAGGTACTTTAACTATTACATTTTTGTAGTACAGTATTGTTGTATATTAAAAACAAGTGTAATTTCCTGGTAACATGTTCTAGCACAATCAAGAGTGATGAATTTACAAAAAAACTGTTTGATATATATGAGACGGTGTATAAAGAAGGTTTTACTCAGGTAAGTCGAATATTTATTAATTTTTGGTACATTTATTAACATATTGTTTTGCAGAACCAATTCTATTTTATAAGATAGGAGCACGTTAGCACAAGAGTAATTTAATTTGTTCACGAAAATGTTAATAGATGTACATTTAACATGGTTCTGTATTAAAATGTTCGAAGCTCTTAAATGATCTGTACTCATTACTCTTAACAAATTTTATTAATCATCAAATCATTAAAAAAAGATAATTATACAGCTGTACTGTAGTCCATGCTGCCATTTAAGCTTTGAGTACAAATTGTTGATGATTATCTCCTTTACTTTTGCTATATTATGTTGTTTACTTTCGCTACATCCAATTAGAGGGATTTAAAATAAACAAATTTTCTGTTTCAGGATATCAGTGTTGGGTTGTTGCGTTCGGATTACATGTTACACAATGACGATGAGCATCCCGTTATTAAACAAGTTGAACTTAATACAATTGCAACAAGCTTTGCTGGTTTAGCTACTGCCGTTACAGATTACCACAGGTATTACATTACATTTCTGCTTGAATAAAAAATAAATTTTAACTTAATTGGTTAATCAAACTTAACAAAGCTGATGCCTGTTAAACAAGACAAATTAATAAAACGTTAGAATGATCGAGCAATCGTAGCTTTAAATCCTTAAAGTATTGAAGAAAATAAAATAAACAGCTGTAGCATAATTGTAAATAATTTTTAAACTTCGTCCGTGTATCAAGTTTAAAATGTCTTTAGAGATATTTCGTTGCTTTCTTTTTCGGTAATTCTCATTTCTTCTTTCAGACATATTTTAATGGAAATGGGTCTTAATAGTAGAATAAAAAATGTAAGTTGTAAAACAAGTTATACGTCTTTTTTTTCTGTTTAAATCAATACGAAATATTTCACGTATACTTACTATCAACAGAAGTAATATAGTATCAATATTTTTTAATTTAAAATTTATTTGTTTTATTACAACACGTACCTACTTCTGAATGTTATTTATTATCAATTTTTTCTCGTTGCGTGTTAAAATTCAACATTTCTTCAAGTACATATAGATGCTTGATATATGATTCACATATTGGTTTTAATAAATGCCTTACATTACTGTAATTGTGGAAATTAATTCTTTGTGAAGTTATTTCGTATTCTTCTGGTTTTATTATATGACAATCAATTTTTTTTTTTCAATCGGATATTTAATATTAAATACGGAATTTTCATACCGATAACATTTTATATCTATTATCCAAAAATTAAGAAATTTAATCTGGGTGTTGCATTTAATGTCAATATCATCTTAATGTAGTGACTTGATAGTGAAATGCTGATAGACGCAGTACCAATAATGATTTTTTATATTTTCAGATACCAGATAACAATGCTGTTAGTGGCATGGCTAGCGGTCTTGTGGAAGCTTGGAAGCTATACGGTCAACAAAGGTATGTAAATTTCTGCCATCAACAACTTCAATTAGAAGAATGTAATTATTTATTTTTTATTTAATAACATCTTAAACAGAATATCACCGCCTTCATCAGCGATTCTGTTAACAATAGGGTCTCTCAGTCTTTGTTATCACAGTTCATTGCTATTGTCTCTCATGTACTTACCCTGCATTTAATGTTTTCTAAAACTATGTTTTACAGTGCTCTAATGCTCTTCGTCGTAGAAAATGTCACATACAATATATGTGATCAAAGATTTCTCGAATATGAAGTTCATCGACAGAATCCACAGATCAGTGTTGTCAGGAAATCTCTTACAGAACTTGCAGCCGAAGCTCGTCTTGGGGAAAAGAAAGAATTGATTGTGTACGTGTACTTGATAAGTGACCTTAAGGTGAAGTGAAACTCGCTTAAATAAGACACTTTTTATTAAGGGTGTTGGATCGAACTGTCCGAAACTTTGACACAGGACTTGTGGTCACCTAAGAATTGTCCTTACACTTTCAAAATTTGGATTTTCGAAGAAAATTGTTTAACTTAGTCCAGACCAGAACCAAAATGGCGTCTGGCTTTCATATTTCGATCGATATACAATTATTGAAGGCTCTAATATGAGATACAAATGTGTCAGGACAATTGTACGACAATTTGGAATACTCTGGTAATCGAGAAATTCGCATTTGAACTGGATAGAGGCAAAAAAAGTGTCTTATGCGGTTCTATGCCAAAACGATGGTAATACGAGGTCTCGGAGTGAAAATTTAGTTGACACGGAAACCACAGATGGCGCAGGGGGTCCCTCTGCAGTCAATTAGGGCCTCAGAAACCATGAATCCAGAGGATTTCTGGAGTTTTACTTCGATTTCTTTATAATTATTGTACTAAAACGACAGATGGAATATGCCATTTAGTATACCACCCAATATAATTCGACACAGCTGTTAATATAAAAACGAACGTCGACAACGCAGGTATTTAGAAAAATCATTTCTGACGTCGATCAGGTTCCTCGACGTGTTTCACTTCACCTTAAATATTGCCGTCTCTTTAAAAGTCTGTTTAATTATGTTGAGCGAACGATATCCTAAAATTAGGACACTAGGCTTCATAATTATTAATTTAAAAAATAAGATGATAATTAGTGTACACAGTTACTATAATTCGGATATGCTGCATTTAATATTCTTAATCGAATCAATTTAATTCAGGGGAGATGTTACGATATCAGTGGTATATTTCCGTTCTGGTTACGACCCCAGTTTCTATCCTACAGAGAAGGAATGGTCTGCAAGGTTTCTTATAGAACGGTCTCGTGCCATTAAATGTCCATCAATTCAGTACCATTTGGCTGGTTGTAAGCGAGTAAGTATTCCATGTAATCTATGAATTATATAGGTACAGCTAATAACTTTTAGAAATGATACATGTATGTATTTTCAAGATACAGCAAGTATTGTCCGAGGATAATATTTTATTGAAGTATCTACAGGATCCAGATTTGGTGAGAAGAGCTAAAAATGTCTTCGCTGGGCTCTATTCTTTGGATTTTGTACGTACTAGCTTAGAGGATATTATAGTTTAATATATTTTTCTTTTTATCATTGTCCATTTAAGGTCATGTGAAAGGCGTCGAGAAATTTAATCGATGTCGATAAATTAAAATTCATCTTTACCCTTTTTGGTGGTAACGCCATTTTGAATACTCAAGTAGTAACATAAGCTGGTGCGTCATGTTACTAACATTTATATTTATGTTGAAGTTTGTTGCACTCTACGTTGATAATTATTCGAAATGAACCACGTGTCATTTCAGTAACGTAATAAAAAAGAGATCAATGTAAAACTGTCGAAATCCTGAGGAATCATGGTTTTTGCTACTCTAATAAATCAATGGCGCCATCTGTGGTGCTAGCTAAAATTAATTTGTTCCTCTAAAAACGCTTTACCCACGGGACAAGCCAGCATTGTCTTGGATTCGTTTGTGAAAGTACTTTCCATATTTTCTCATCTGACTCGTAATGTTTCATTTGTAAAGTATTCTAAATTGTTCGAGGTAGGTCCCGAAATTCTTCACTTTCGATTCTAAGCCTTCAAAAAGCGTAAAACATCAAAACGTGCACGGACCACGTCATGTTGGTTCTAGTACATGATAAATAAATAATTTTTTAAATAAAAAATGAAATTTCTTGAGTTTTAGGACCCACTTTAGGGTCTCCATATTCACGTGGTAGAATTTGAAACGAATCGGAGAATACTTTCACGAATGATTTGATCTCTCAGATATATTTAGGCTGACCCTTTCACACACCTTAACCGTAACTATATTTCTCGATGTGTGTGCAAATGTCTTAAATGCAAGGATAGTATTTGTTATTAATGAAATAATTTTCCCTAGAATGAGGAAGGAGAGAAAGCAATTGCTGCGGCGTTAAAAAATCCGGAAAAGTTTGTACTGAAGCCACAACGAGAAGGAGGTGGTAACAACTTGTACGACGACGAACTTCGAGTTAAATTGGAATCTATGAAGCTCTCCGAAGAGCGTTGTGGCTGGATTTTGATGGACCGTTTTTACCCTCCGTCGTTTAACAATTGTTTGATACGAGCTGGTCATTCAGAAGAACCGAAGTTTGAGAAATGTGTAACTGAACTTGGAATATATGGAGTCGTAATTGGGTAAAGAACAGTTTTTATACATTTCACTGTGCTACTTTTTATAAGCAGTACCTTTTACTTACTGTTTTCGATGAGACAGTACTTACATCCAGGATGAATATTTTTATACGAATTAATGAGGAATTATTTTCATAATTGTCATGATTAATGACATATTTTCATAATTGTCATGGTAAAGAACAGTTTTTATACATTTCACTATGCTATTTTTTATAAGCAGTACCTTTTACTTACTGTTCTCGATGAGACAGTACTTACATCTAGGATGAATATTTTTATATGAATTTATGAGGAATTATTTTCATAATTGTCATGATTAATGACATATTTTCATAATTGTCATGATTTTAGGAACAAGGATGAGATAAAAGTCAATAATCAAGTAGGGCATGTGTTAAGAACCAAATCGGTGACGGCAAACGAAGGTGGAATTGTCATGGGGACGGGGGCATTGGATAGTCCACATCTTGTAGACTAACTTGCACACGTACATTCCTTTAACATCTGATAATTTCAAGTGTTGGAACATTTGATAAGGTAAAGTTTAATATATTAACTCGATTAGGAGATATCCTTGCGTTTAAGAACAGAGTTTTCCCCTTTGGGTGTTTCAGATGTACTTTCAGGAATTTTTTGTCACATAACATTGAAGCCTTAAGGTGGTACACTGGGAGACATCAATGCCCTCCCATCTTGCACAGGCGATGCCGTACCTGCAGGGGAGGCATTCATGTTCGCCATTGTACAAACTGTGTTATAGAACCGCTGTTTTACCACCTGGACCACGATTGTGATCGTTCTAATGATCCGAAGAACGAAAAACAGGTATCTTGATAACAGGGAGACGAGTCTTTATCATTTGGACTACAATCGTATTAAGAAAAAAAAAGAATTAAAATGGTGGCATAATTTAAGAAGCTTTGGAAATTTTCTTTTTAAGCCTTATCACACTGAACACCAAACCTAACAGTTACGTAACTTAAAACTAATAAATAACATAATGTTTGTTACAATGTAATAACCTAACAGTTACGTAACATGGAGCTAAGAGGTTGCATAACATTTGTTACTATCATATCTATATAAATATAGCATAACTTTCTTACTCTTATCTTAGATTATGTTACTGTCTTGATATTACCGTGGATATGCAGCACATATTTGTAACAAAACAGAACTACATTGTGCTGTCATCTGTTTTATTACATCTTCGTCGTCATGGTTATAATTCATCATCAAATGTCACAATTTAGTTTTTCCTGCTCACAGATCTGGTTAACCAACCACAGTGGCGTGCAAGAATTATTTTAGTTCTGTGTTTGTAATTCTTAAAGAATCTTGGACTATGATTGTACTTGAGAACGTGCCTTATATTTCAATGTATAATATGTATAACAATTCACAAAATTCTTATTATTCCATTAACTGAGTATCATCGAAGATGTGGGAGTTCAATTTCGCCATGCCGTTTAGAAACCAATGCAATATATTTCACATGCAGTTATCGGAAGATGAATACAGTGTTCTATAATGAGTTAGTGATTTCAGATGATCGTAAAAGCAACGAATGGTAATACAAAAATTATGGGATTGGATTTGAATTTCTTGAAGGGGTCTTATGCCTTCACAGAGGCTTACTCTAGATGACATTTTTCATCCCACAATTATCAGAAAATTGTTAGGGAACGTCTAAACTGTAGCGTGTCCTAAAGTTGGAGTTTCCTAGAATCCTCTCGTCGATTCGGAAGTCACATGTACTGCTTCTTGTACTTCGCATGAAAGCAGGACTATTGCTTGTACTCGCTGTCCCATGTACCAATTGAGTATCCAATGCCGGACGATCTAATCTAGAATGTGTGAAAGAAAGTTTACCGTTGGTTGACAGTCATTGCGGTACGAAGAATCACAATTGTTACCTCATGGTATAATTAGTTTCTCTTCAAGGGTCGAAAGGTCCTGCGCGATGAGGGGGAGCAAGTATGAATATTGGCTCGGTATTTATGAACAGAACTATATCTTCGGTGTACCAGAACAAAGGGCCCCAAGGGTCTATATTAGTCCCTTTTGCATGGTTTTGGGCTTTCGAATATCTTCCGATGTCATCAAAGAAACTGCTGACGTAGTGTCGGCAAGTGTTCCAGGCATTTTTTCTTTTGGGAACCTCGGTTCAGCTTCCTGTTGAATATCTTCTTCTTCGTCTTCAATTGTAGGATTATCCTCACTGTCTTTGTTTCCGTCAATCGACGTGTCTGGCGTATCTGACGAACGAGTCGTCTTCTTTTTCTCATCCTTTGTATGAGATCACGTCGGGGTCACCAATTATGGCGTATTCGGCCACATGCGTGTAGCAATATTTTATCCGACTCGTTCGCCTATTATTTATCCTTTATTAATGATAAATAAAACACTGTATCAACATAATCACAGTACTTATTATTAAGCCTATTTGGCATATATAAACTTACTTTGTTATAAAACTTAATAGACCATGCTTTTTGGTACTTTGTCGTTAGTCTTCTTCTTCTTGTCTTGTACTCTATATCTAACTACACGGTGAACCAAGATGCGATTGCGCGTTGCCCTATCGGAGCGTCGCTTGCGGCGTTTGCCTGAACTGCGTATATAGGTACCGTTTCCTAGCTGCTGACGCCACACTTGTCAAGTACCAAAAAATAATTAAAAATGAAAAATTATATAATTTTGGATAAAATTGCGTCATCTTTTTTATTAAATGTATGAAAAATTAATATTAGTAGTAAAGGTCTTACATGCCGTAATTACGATGTAATGTTACATTTAATTCAAGTAAAAATACAGTAATGCAGTAAATATACAATATCACGGGCATTTATACATTTTCTGTTTTATAATTTTTACATTTTACATTTTTTTAATGTAAAACTTCAGTTACACAGGGTGTAAAAATGTATGTAAATTTCCATGGATTTTTTTCAGTGCACCCTGACAATCCAGTTTTCATATAATGTATTCACCTAATTTGTACTACTTTTAAGTTTCGCTTAACACTATTTCGATACAACATGAAATGAATTAACCGTGTTACAAAAAGGTTAAATGCACGTGTAAGTTGTAAATTGGTATTTGTTTAACGTAAGCTTGTTTCTTTTATCATATTATCAGTCAGAAACTTTGTATATGATGTTCTATAAAAAATATTGCGATAAATGTTATGTAGTTGCGATATATGTTAACGTAGATGAATATGTGTGTTTATTCTTTTGAACGATCCTTGATCCCTTAAAGTTCTCTATTTGAGTTTGTGTGATGTTTACGATTTCTTCTTTCGATTCTCATTGTGACTGGTTTAGCTGCTTTCAGTACAACATCTAATTTCAGTTGAATGTCCTTCACTGGCACGGGATTGTCCTTGATCAGTTTATAATTGCGGAGTACTGTAGACAAAAGTGCCTTCATTGCCATCATTGCATATTTTAGCCCTAAAAGAATAAAAGATTAAAATTAATTGTAATTCGTTTTTCCTTTCAAGTAAAATTCGTGCACTTTTAGAGGTGAATATAAAAACAATTGCATCGGTAGTTTGCAAAATATATAAACCTAGGCAATTTCTGGGTCCAGCACTGAATGGAACCCAACAATAAGGATGGCGTTTGGCGACTTCTTCTGGCAAAAATCTATCTGGGTCAAATTTGAAGGGATCTGGCCAGTAATCCTCATTTCGATGCAGCTTGATGACTCCGAGCACTACTGAACTTCCTTCAGGCAAAATATGGCCGCCTAAAAATTATCAGATACGGAGTTGATATCAAAATATGTGCTTATAAGGTAACTTAAGACAATAAGGCCCATGCTTGTTTTTCGCTATAGAGCAAAAGTGCAATGTTTGTGGCTCCCTCTGTTAATTAGGAGGACAAACAAGAGTCCATACGTTGTAATATACGCGTAGAAAACCACGTATATTACATAACGTGTACCTTCCCAACCCTGCTTTTTTACATAACAACATCTTGAAAGTTTAGAAGACTTCTTACGAGATTTGATCATATTGTAAATATCACTTTTTCCTTATTTCTTTCTGTGGCATCCTTTGCGATTTTTTTTCTTATGACTTAATTAAATTTAGTAATCTTACCAATATCAAAGTCCTGTGTTACCCGTCTCACAAGAATTGGCCCGACTGGAAAAAGTCTTAAAGTCTCTTTAATAACACGTTCAAGATACTCCATTCGCTGCAGATCTTCATTTCTGACGAGTGCTGTCTCTATATCATCAGGTCCATAAATGTCCAGTAACTCTTGATAAACTTTTTCCTAAATGATACATAAATTAGATATTTTTATGATTAAACTAACAGCAACACCATTCAAGATTATTTTTAATATTTGTACTCACTTGCACTTCGGGGAAGCTAGCCAACATTAACATGGCGAAACAATTTACGGTTGCCGTCGTGTCGTTACCCTTGAATAAAAAACATTTGTTTAACTTATCAGGATAGGTAATAATTTTAGTGTAAATTGAGGTAACTTAGAGTAATAAAACCCATGTGGGTAGCAAGGCCCATGCTTGTTTTTCACTATATAGCAAAAGTGCAAAGTTTGTGGCTCCCTCTATCAGTTAGGAGGACAAAGAAGAGTCCATTGGGAGTACTGCTGGAACTGTGGACGAGTCCATGGTAAACTGAGATTGGTACAAAATATTTGGTAGTACATAAAAATAGTGGGTAGCAAGGCCCATGCTTGTTTTTCACTATTTAGCAAAAGTGCAAAGTTTGTGGCTCCCTCTACCAGTTAGGAGGACAAAAAAGTGTCCATTAGGAGTACTGCCGGGACTGTGGACGAGTCCATTGTAAACTGAGAGTGGTACAAAATATTTGGTAGTATATAAAAAATAGTGGGTAGGAAGGCCCATGTTTGTTTTTCACTATTTAGCAAAAGTGCAAAGTTTGTGGCTCCCTCTACCAGTTAGGAGGACAAAAAAGTGTCCATTAGGAGTAAAATAGGGTTATCATTGGGCAAGAAATGGCTTTATGAAGAATGCCCGAAGACAACATTCGAGTATCTTGATGACATAACTTGCCTTAACTGTGTAAATTAATGTGCATCCTCCCACCAATTTCCGAGGGCCTTATTATCCACACGTGCGGGTAACAAAGCCCAGGAGTATCATCCTACAATTTTTTTTTATTACGTTTTTGTTCAGAACTATATTTTATTTGTATAGTTTGTATCTGAAATAGACATTGTTCATGTCCCCTCTGCTCATTTCCCCTTCTATAAATACTTTATATTTTAGTTTTTACAAGCTTTTTAGGTCATGGTGGGCCTTATTACCCTGAGGTACCTTATTGGTTTTTATTGCTATGGCAATGATTGGGTTGATCAAACACTGCTTACGGCAATCATCATTGTGTCCACTTCCTCGCGAAGTTCTTCATCTGTAAATTTAGTCCCTTCGTGTGACAATTCCATCAGCATGTCCAGAAAAATCTTCCTACGCAATCCATCCTCTAAAAAAACACATCATAGTCGTTTGCATCGCGTTTAGATTTATCTTTCACTTCGTCAGACTTACGTGTATTTTCCTTGTTATTATCTTGGCTGTCTTCGGTTCCGCTCAAGGCAGCTTTCTTCTTTTGAATCACCTAATACAAATACATGATATAACATGAATTGCACCATGTACACTTAAGGGGTTACATGCATTTGTCGTAGGCGAAATTCAAGAATTTTTTATCGCAACTAAAATGCATCTTTTAATCGAAAACAGAGCGTGATTTCATAGTACAATTACTGAACTTAATATATAATTTTTTTTCTGTCAAGATACGGTGGTATGAAAAGTGTCCCACCTTTTTAATGCGTGATTATGCACAGTGGTTTAAAAAGAAATAAAATTTCTGTGTACCATGGACCTTTTTATTTTCTAAAATTCCGTGCCTCAAAGGGTTAAGGTGATATGAAAAGGTCATTCTACGTATATAAAACGTGAAAATATTGTTTAACGGGTCAAAGTATCAACGTGTACCACTGTACCGAGATCAGAGTTCGGCGTAATTCGGATATGCGCAGCAATATTTGCGAGTAAGTAGGGAGACCCTGGGAGAGGGGGCCATGGACTGCGAGCGCAAAGCAACCGGCTTCACTTCGATCTGAACTTTCAAGTAAATAATCCCACATAATATGCCAAAAAGGAGTTAACAAATTCTTCGAGGAGAACCCCAATATCCTTCGCGGCATAACAGTACTAACCTCCGCAGAGCTAAGCTCCTGGAAGACTCATAGATTCGCGGAACTAAGTAGTTCTCGATCCGGTGATCAAACCCTCATCCCTAGGGGATAACCTCATGAACTTAGAACAGTCAGTCCTAGTCCGAACTCCGAGCCCGTCGGATCGTAGGTCATACAGTGATTGTCTTGTGCATAATAAGGAACCACATCCAAATGCCAAAAAGGAGTTAACAAATTTTTCGAGGAGAACCCCAATACCCTTCGCGGCATAACAGTCCTAACCTCCGTAGAGCTAAGCTCCTGGAAGAATCATAGACTCGCGGAACTAAGTAGTCCTCGACCCGGTGATCATTAGGAATATCATTAGGATTCATCATCATTAGGATCATTAGGATCATTAGGAATAGATTCAGTTTAGGCTGATCAGCCACACCCACAATAGGGTTAGAATTCTCTGGATGCGATTCAAAAAGGAACCTCAAATTCATTCCTCTAGCATCGGCTACGAATAGAATTCGGTACAAAAATGAAGGAAAACGGGAGGCCGTCAAACTCAATGTACAAATTAGGGACTAACCGCCTAAAATACTTAACAACTTCCAAATTGCATCCAATAACCCGAAATTCCGTTGTTCCAAATCCTGTCGAAACTATAGAGCCCACCGTTGATGGAATAAGCCGTTGTTAAATAGTGTTTATTAATTTGGAATATTTTAGTTAGATTTAGGATAATTTTCATGCGAAAAGGGCATTCTTTACTTACATTGTTAGTTACGTTGTGCAAGTACTTAATACATTGTCGTTGTTCTTTTGCCAAACGTGTGAATTTGAAAATAATATCGGGATGCAACCAGATTTTGAACATTCTTGTTAAGATCAGCTCGAACATTCTGAAAAAGTCAATTCACACGTCCCCAAATAATTGCGTAATTTTGTAACGTTAATAATATTTTTATACGATTCTCGTAAACATCTAAATAATCGTCTGAAATTATTTTTAGATCAATTATGGTAGATCTTATTATTATACCTGGTAGCCGAATCCACATAGACGCAGTCATTGTCAGTTTGTGCCTTCATCGATATCCCCATAGCAGTTTCTATAAAAAATGCATATTATTTAAACGATTTAACATTCATATGTGTACGTTACATTTAATAATTATATTTATAATAATTAACAGGGTACCCATGGCGCAAGGATGGAATAACATGCATTATACAAAAAGTAGTTTAAAATAGTTTGTAAATAAATGGGGGTTTGTAGTATGAATTGAAGTGCCGAAATTTGGCGTTAAGGTGAAGTGAAACCCCCTTCACAGCAATCGATTCGAATACACCACTTTTTTTTAAGGGTATTGGACCAAATTGTCCGAAACTTTGACGCATGACTCGTGATCACCTAAGAATTGTCCTGACACATTCAAAATTTGAATTTTTCAAATAATTTTTTAACTTAGCCCAGACTAGAACCAAAATGGCGTCGAGCTCTCATATTTCGATCACTATACAATTATCGAAGTCTCTGATATGAGAAACAAAAGGGCCAGGACAATTTTACGACAATTTAGAACACCCTGGTAATCGATAAACTCGAATTTGAACGGGATAAAGGCAAAAAAAGTGTTTTATGTGCTTCTGTGACAAAGCGATGGGAATACGAGGTCTCGAAGTGAAAATTTAATTGACCTGGAAATCACAGATGGCGCAGAGTGTCCCTCTGCAGTCAATTAGGGCCCCAGAAAGCATGAATCCAGAGGATTTCTGGAGTTTTACTTCGATTTCTTTATAATTATTGTACGAAAACGACAGGTGGAGTATGCCATTTAGTACAATACTCAATATAATTCGACACAGCTGTCAATATAAAAACGAACGACGGCAACGTAGAAATTTAGAAAAATCTTCTTTATCGACGTAGATCAACTTCCTCGACGTGTTTCACTTCACCTTAAAAACCATAAAACATAAAAAATATGCACGGACGACGCCATGTTGGTTCCAATCCATAAATATAACAATTTTTTATGTTTGCGTTTATGAGTTTCCTGATTACTTACCGCATATAATATCTAAAGTGCAAAGAGATACATATTTAAATATGCCGAACTCCTTGCCGTCTACTTCGACCTCCATCTCGCGGACCATTATCATCGATTGATTTGCAAAAATGTCGACAAAGGACTCCAATATTTTTTGATTGAATGTGGGCATGATCAGCTTTCGGTGGATACGCCATTTTGTAACTAGGGACAAAAGCGTTCATATGTACATTTTCGCATTTAAATTTAACAGACGCATAATATCTATTTTTTAAAAGTTTGGTTAATTAATTAAGACACTTCTGAGAGTGCTCCTTCCTTCTTTGAACCCGGAAAAAACCAAATGCCATATTGGAATGCGTAATTTTTATATTTTTAATTTTGCGGCAGTTTGTTCTTTTATTCTTGCGTAATTTTATTTGTACGTGGTGTCTCGATATTTTACACGTATCTATACCAAACCTGGATATCTATGATTATCTATTATGTATGTACTTTTTCCATGTTTAATATTTTAGTATATTGTGAATATAGATCAACCATAAATATGTATATACCAAACCTGGATATCTACGGTTATTTGAAGAATACCTAATGATTGCATATCCGTGATATAGATTTCCTATGGATGTATGGATATTCCATATAAATCTAATATACGTATATTATACCTATCGTTCCGTGTGGGTATATCTAATGAGTGCGTATCCGTGATATAGATTTCCTATGGATGTATGGATATTCCATATAAATCTAATATACGTATATTATACCTATCGTTCCGTGGGTGTATGGTATATCTAATGAGTGTGTATCCGTGATATAGATTTCCTATGGATGTATAGATATTCCATGTAAATCTAATATACGTATATTATACATATCGTTCCGTGTGTGTATGGTATATCTAATGAGTGCGTATCCGTGATATAGATTTCCTATGGATGTACAGATATTCCATATAAATCTAATATACGTATATTATACCTATCGTTCCGTGTGGGTATGGGCCTTGGTCGGTATCAAGGCGCTTCAAAGAAAATCGAGTTTAATTCCGATTTGGTACTTAGGTATGTTACGTACGACAGGGAAAGTCGCGAATGTTGTCGCTGTCGATTGACTTGAAAAATTTCATCACGTAGGAACAATAAGCTTAACTGGGTTTCTTGTATTCGTGTCACGTTCTTTAGAGTTTCGAAGGACCTCACCTGGAGCTGTAAATATTCCGGTGCCCAGCCAAGGACGAGCGAATTTGTAGAGGTCCTCCTTTTCAAGAGTTTTCGGACTTAGAAAAATTGCCTGTGAACATACATGGTCGTAAATAGTTCTTCTACATTAAGAAATAATGCTAATTAATGCTGTAAGTAATCCGGTGCCCATCTAAGGACGAGCGAATTTGTAGAGGTCCTCCTTTTCAAGAGTTTTCGGACTTAGAAAAATTGCCTGTGAACATACATGGTCGTAAATAGTTCTTCTACATTAAGAAAAAATGCTAAGTAATGCTGTAAGTAATCCGGTGCCCATCTAAGGACGAGCGAATTTGTAGAGATCCTCCTTTTCAAGAGTTTTCGGACTTAGAAAAATTGCCTGTGAACATACATGGTCGTAAATAGTTCTTCTACATTAAGAAAAAATGCTAATTAATGCTGTAAGTCATCCGGTGCACACCCAAGGACGAACGAATTTGTGGAGGTCCTTCTCTTAAAAAGTTTTCAAACTTACAAGGAAGGTATCCCAGGTCGATCTCTCCGATTTGATTTCTTTTATAATATGTTATAGTAGACTAAAAACTAAGCGATACTTAATAATAATTGTACGAAAACGACAGGTGGAGTATGCCATTTAGTACAATACTCAATATAATTCGACACAGCTGTCAATATAAAAACCAACGTCGGCAACGTAGGTATTTAGAAAAATCTTCTTTATCGACGTAGATCAACTTCCTCGACGTGTTTCACTTCACCTTAAAAACCATAAAACATAAAAAATATGCACGGACGACGCCATGTTGGTTCCAATCCATAAATATAACAATTTTTTATGTTTGCGTTTATGAGTTTCCTGATTACTTACCGCATATAATATCTAAAGTGCAAAGAGATACATATTTAAATATGCCGAACTCCTTGCCGTCTACTTCGACCTCCATCTCGCGGACCATTATCATCGATTGATTTGCAAAAATGTCGACAAAGGACTCCAATATTTTTTGATTGAATGTGGGCATGATCAGCTTTCGGTGGATACGCCATTTTGTAACTAGGGACAAAAGCGTTCATATGTACATTTTCGCATTTAAATTTAACAGACGCATAATATCTATTTTTTAAANTATTTAGAAATTATTCTATGCTATTAGGGCAGCGTTTGGAAGGAATGACAGCGATTGTGCTAATTTAAATAAATCAATTTATTTTTAGTTACTTGTCTTTTTTGCAGTATTTTATCGAATATTTGACATGCGTAAATGCAATAAACAATGTGCATGTGAAAATTACCTTCGCTTGGTCGGGATCGTGAACTGCGAAGAAAAGACGACCTCCTAGCCAAGCTCGAAACGGCGAAGGATAAGCGTCCAGAAGCTCGATGATCTTCTTGAAGATATCTTGAAATTGCAAGAAATCTCAAAATTAGAAATTAAGGTGATGTGAAAGCTGCGTAAAAGAGTTCACGAAACTTTTCTCCGAACTGGGTGTACCAAATCGAGTCAAACTTTACAATATAAATATGAAAGGTATAAGGAAAGGTTTGAAACTCATGAAAATCTTCTTTACCGACGTCGATCAAGTTCCTCGACGTTTTTCATTTCACCTTAAGGTGATGTGCCGTCAAAGAGTTCTTGTTTATGAAACTTTTCAAAAGCTGTGAATATAAAAATGAACTTTATTTTACTTTAAATGCCAATAATGAACTAATAGAATGACGCATTAAGGCTGACGAAAACCTTTCTGTGAATGCTACTGATACTAAGATTAAAAAAAGAATAGAAATAGTAATTAACTGTAAATAACAAACAATGCTTTACTTTCAGGAATTTGTTACTTTCGTAATATGCGAACTTGGCGGACCTCCGTGTTATATGGTTTATTAAAAAAAATCTTTAAAAATAAATAAATACCAACCTGCAGTACTTCCTATAAAGATGAGCGAGTTTCCTATAATTGGATATGCCGGCGGTCCAGGAAATTTTGCGGCAGCTCTGTATAAACGTAATCTTTTCCAGTGGTACAAGAAAAGCGCAACAAATCCGCAGAGAACTCCAATTGTTATTAACGAGAGCGTCAGAGGGAGGACCATCGTGTCTTCAAATTCCCGAAAAAAACGACATAGGACATTTAAAATGATATAAATAAAATAGATACACAAGTATTATGAAATTTTATCGTCCCATATAATAAAATCATCCAATATAAAAGAACGAAGAATTCTTTTTAAACGAAGATAAGAACTTGGAGAGGTGTATAATATAAAAATGCAAACATGCAGGAAACCATTTGATGGAACCATTACAACATTTGTTGGTTCAAATACACAATATGGTTATTATATGGACTTATAATGAATCAAATACTTTCATATGACAAACTTCTGCGGTTGGTAACTTTTTGTTGATTACTTTAATTTTAGTGACGGGTCACAGCAAATGGTAAAGTAATCTGGTATATTTAATAAAAATGTGCGGCTTATTAATATGAAAATATTTCATACAAATGAAGAAAACGATTTAATTGATCAAAGCGAATGAGTTTAGTGAAGGGAAATAAAATTAGGCTCGCTGGACCGACATTTTTTTTTCAAATGAATGAAATGCAGTTCATCGGATGATTTCTTTCAATGGAGAGTTTTTTTTTGTCTGCGCGAATGGTCCCTAGTAGCATAGAATAATTTCTAAATATTTCTTTGTAATCTTTGCTAAATATCTCAAGCGACAGATTTTTTAAGAATTCTCGTAGATTTCATTCGAAGATATCTGAAATATTTCTTGAAAATCTCAATGACATATTTGGTTGTAATAATTTATGAATGTAAGTGAAGGTTGTATCTTTCATTTATACGCGTATAATAATAGTACATTTCTTACTTTACGATTATTATTGGACATTTTGGTATCAGGAGACAGGAGGAATTTCATTAGGGCTGCAAAACGCGTGATTTTGATTTTAAATGTTTTTCAGAGATTTATAATGTAATCGTCGGAGAATATTTAAAAAATACTTGTATTGAAATNTAATTCGCTATTAAGACATCAAATGTATAATTTGACTGCAACTTTATGTACTAAGAGTGTATGATTTTTTAAACAATGTATCCTTCACAACGGAAGCATTCAAACGGTATTATAAAATTGTAAATTTACTTAGTATTTTATAATAAATGTACACTAATTCGCTATTAAGACATCAAATGTATAATTCTACTGCAACCTTATGTACTAAGAGTGTATGATTTTTTAAACAGTGCATCCTTCACAATGGAAGCATTCAAACGGTATTATAAAATTGTAAATTTACTTAGCATTTTATAATAAATGTACGGTAATTCGATATTAAGACATCAAATGTTTAATTTTACTGTAACCTTATGCACTAAAAGTGTATGATTTTTTAAACAGTGTATCCTTCACAACGGAAGCAAATGAAAGAAATATCAGTTTCGTAAATTTGTGGGCAGACATTTTCCTCGTACGCGATATCTTTGCCGGAAACTCTTGCTTTAGAGAAGAACCTTCTTAACAACGACAAACTGGTTTTCAAGGTGACTTTTGGCCGACACTTGGCCACGGGTCGACTGTAATCCACGATGAATCTTGAGATAAGAACCAATAAAACAAGGTAAGCACTTCTGATTTATTTGTTGCGACTTGAATTTTTGAAGAATCTTAAAAGAAAACTTGTTATTCACAGCAGACAGGAAAATGGAGAGAAAAACATCTGCAAAATGTAAAGATTTTATCCGTTGAAATACGGAGAGCAGATTAAATCTGTTAACGTTACGGTCAATATTTTGTTACTCAAAACCGTAAAAATTACAGATAAATATCGACAACCATTACATATAAGTATTTTTTGGCCCAGACAGCATAAAATATTCATAGAATATAGAAAAGAAGTTGGAAAATATTCCTCATGTACATCCGACATTGGAATGATATTTTATGCACAATATTAGATTATGTACATATGATAATGTTCCCCAGATATAGTCCAAATATTTAATGTTTTAAAAATATATATACAACATTGGTTTAGCAATGTCATTTGAATTATGGAATACTATTCTATAAATACTACAAGTGTTAGAAAAGGTTTGTGATATATCATTGAAATACTAATGTTAACAATTATTTTATACATTTTCGCATACNTAATTTTAAATGTTTGCAAAAATGAATTACAGATAAGTAGTTGTACAATGGAGGACACGAATGCCTCCCCTGCAGATACGACATCGCCTGTGCAGGATGGGAGGGCATTGATGTCTCCCAATGTACAATGTGGACATGAATGCCTCCCCTGCAGATACGACATCGCCTGTGCAGGATGGGAGGGCATTGATGTCTCCCAGTGTAAGTATTATGGATAAGTAGCTGTAAAACATACAACCTGTATACTTCGTGCGATAATAATAATATATTATTACTTAATTTTAAATGTCTACAAAGATTAATTTCAGATAAGTAGTTGTTCAATGGAGGACACGAATGCCTCCCCTGTAGATACGACATCGCCTGTGCAGGGTGGGAGGGCATTGATGTCTCCCAGTGTAAGTATTACGGATAAGTAGCTGTAAAACATACAACCTAATCCTTACAAAAATAACAGAACAGAATTGCGGAAAGTAACAGGTAATTTTTATGAAAATTGAAAGTGAAATTCTACAATGGTTACAGGTAATTCCGAAGGTGCCACGCCATTAAATTGTTAATATTAGAGCCTTCCCAAATTCTTGAATAGTTCTTTTAATGGCGTATTGTATTATAGGGACAACAAAAGAGAAATTTGAAACTCCTTTGCAATCGAGAATGAATCATATTATTTATTCTTTCCAATAGCTGTAACGGAGTTTTTCATTTGTAATGTGCCATATTGAATACCTATAATTTAAGTATGCCATAAACAGGATTATCAGGAATTTAAAGAAACTGCAATATAAATCTTTCAATGTGATAATTAATTTGGCGCTTGTATTCAAAATTCTTTTGACTTAACTTTGTATAATATCAAATTTCTAACAAGGAAGGTATCCCAGGTCGATCTCTCCGATTTGATTTCTTTATTAATATGTTATAGTAGACTAAAAACTAAGCGACACGTATTTTTTTTTATCTGCCATTAAACACTTTAAGGGGGTGAAACCATCATCCGAAGTAAGGCATGTCAAGGGGCGATTTGGCAGTTTCACCCACAAGAACATAATATTTTTTAACCAATCCACCTGGAAAAGCTCTCTCATAACGAGAAATGAAAAATATAATTTTCTCAATTAAAAAAAAAATTAAGGGATGAGCCACCCCTCACAGGCCTTACTTTGGATAGTGGTTTCACTCCCTTAAAGTGTTTAAAATACTTCCCTTACGTACTTTACGTAAAAAACTGCGAATACCACACAACCCTGAATTACTCACGAGCAGGGTCGCGCGATCGTGTTTTGTGCTGCCCTCGGTGGAGAATGTGAGCGGCTTGTGCACTGGCGATGGTGGTGCCATCTAACAATCGCCGCTAGCGGTTCATGCAGTCGCGATGGTAATACCATTTGGTAGTTGGGGGTGGCTAGAGTTCTAAATCCAGTAAGTTACGTCAGAAACGAAGAGAAATTCCCGGTAACTTATCGGTCATTTCTCCAAAGCCTTTTTTATCGAGAATTATGAGAATTTTAATTTTTCAACAGAGCGAACGAGAGGTTTCGATTAGCTATAGGGAAACATCGTAGAGGGGAATTTCCGTTGTACGTTCTCCGTAGCCAATCAAAACCTCCCATTCGCTTCGTCGCAGAATGAAATATCAGTTCATTTGAAACAAATCGCATGGAATTTTCCGTGAAGTTGTAGATACGTGAATATTTTTAGCTGGAGGTAAATACGACCCTATAATCAATATTTTCTAATAGTAATTATTACTCTATAGCTTGAACTTTAAAGTTGATTGAAAAAAAAAAGTTATTTAAACGAAGAAACCTAAAGTGTAAATAACAAAATTAACGTTCTCTTAAATTCTCAATGTTTCCGGTAACTTACGGTATGTTTCACAGTTACCTTCTCCAATTTAATGTTACCGAGAATTTTCGAACTCTAGACGTAACACCTTCCTTATAGTCTTCCTATTCACGTTGTAAAGTTTCACCCTATTCGGTAAACCGAGTTGGGAGAAAAGTTTTATAAACAAAACCACTTCCACGCCACTTTCACATCACCTTAATATGTGGAATATCGATTGTTCAATTGTTCTTCTAGGTAAGGACAGGAGAAATGCTCAAAAAAACCTGAAGGAACCTGTGAGCATCGCCATACTTGGAAATGATCTGTTCTGGACATTACGGAAATCCAGTCAACTATTTTGGGCACCAAAAAATGGTTCCGATCAGAAGGCCGTTACTTTAAGTAAGTTCAGTATGTACCAATTAGTTATTCCGAATGTAACTTTATAAACCATTCGTGGCTCTTCAAAGTAATGATGTTCAGTCTAATACCCTTAAAAATAAGCGTCATCCTCTTCGACTCTACTCCAGAATTTCTTATTCTCATTGGTAGACCTCCTTTGAATTTCCATTCCCTTTTCTTCCCACCCCTCCGAGTTTTCTTAATAACTTAGAATAATCGAACTCAGTACATTTTAACCAGACTCCGACCTGTTAGGACTAAAGTAACAAAATAAAGACTCCAATCTTAAGGTGAAGTGAAACAAATCAGTCGATTCGAATACAACACTTTTTTTAAAGGGTATTAGACCAAACTGTGCAAAACTTTGACACATCCTGATCATCTAAGAATTGTCCTGACAAATTCAAAATTTGGATTTTTTTAACAAATTTTTTTACTCAGTCCAGACCAAAACCAAAATGGCGTCGAGCTCTGATATTTCGATCAATATACAATTATCGAAGGCTCTGATATGAGAATCGAAAGGGTCAGGACAATTTTACAACAATTTAGAACACTCTGGTAATCGATAAACTCGCATTTGAACGGGATAAAGGCAAAAAAAGTGTTGTATGC